TCGCAGTAATATTTTCTCAAATTTGCTATTGAGCTTACTTGGGACGATGGATTCGTTGACCTATCAGGCAGAATGGAAATACAGGTTCAGCTTCAGGAAAAGTCTCATATAGTCTTTATAACAGAGATACAGGGTGAATTATCGAATTATAATTCCGCCTGATAGGTTAATGAATCCATCGTCCCAAGTAAGCTACATACCATAATTGAGGAAATGTTACTGGGTAGTTTTATACTTATGGACGAGTGAATACTTATTCAAAACCGATAATTCACCCTCTATCTCCGTAATAAAAACTGTGAGACTTAGTAAGTTCTTTCGAGCGATTTTTTGACAAAAATATATCGAATAATCATAATTGACACTGGTTTCATAATTTCAATACTCTTCAAATTGACATACTTTCAGCTTTCTGTTTATGATTGTTACGATGAGAATTGGTGGCGGGAAAACAAGAAGCATCAAATCCAGTTCAGTTTTTCCTCCTCTTTACGATTCCTTTGATGAACTCTGTCAATTATTACATACAGTGTGTTATTTTAATATTTCGAATAAATGTGATTTTTTCCTGAAGCCGAACCTGGATTTTCTCTTCGCCCGATAGTTGAATGAATTCAACGTCCCAAGTTTAAGCTCCATTCCAAATTTTAGAAAAATATACTGGGTAGTTCAATACTTATAGACGAATGAATAATTACTGTCTGTAGACTAAAATCACTCATTCATATGCCAACATCAGTATGACACTGAAAAGTGTCAAACTATACGCAGCACAACTTTCAAAGAAAAATAATTTGCATTTACATGTTGAGAACGGGAGCAGAATCGGTCCCGAAACGTCCAAAGATAAGTACAAATTCGATATTTTTTCAATATATCTATATTTCTTTCCTTCAAAAATTTTTTCAAACAAATTGTCACTGACAAGCTACTGGATTTTTCTTTTAGACTCCCTGATAGAAAAATTTGTTAAACGCAGTGACATTTTGGGGCAAATCATCTGATTTGTCCCTCTACAAATATATTGAAATAATACGAATACTTTTATTTTATCGAGGAGAGAAAATCCCAAAGAACCAAGTAAAATGAATGAATAATTATTCGAAATCGATAAATCGCCCTGTATCTCCGTTATAAAAACTCTAAGACCTATCAAATATGGTATTTTCAGAACCACCTTGGTGACCCCTATCTACCATTGAAATATTTCCCTTCGCCTGTGAAACACCCTGTATAATCATTATTGAATCCGAGGAAATGTGACATCATTTGACAACAACGCATCATTCGGGTATGTTCGGAGACGGAGGGTGAATAGAAAATTGGGTGAATAGAAAATTAGGTGAATCGAAAATTGGGCGAATCGAAAATTGGGCGAATCGAAAATTGGATCAAACGAGACGTTCCCATAATTTTCTAAAACCTCACACGCTAACCTTCACATCTGTGCCATTACCCAAGGAGAGGAATGTGTTAACTAATAGAGAATTCCTTTGGCAGGAACTGTTAGAGTATTTCTCCACTAAGTATTTATTTTCCTCTGTAGAAACACTCCACTAGTTCCTGTCAATGGAATTCACTATAAATCAAATACCAAAACAAGGGGATTTACTCGCGCTGATTGACCGGGATCAAAGCAAGCGGATGAAGCGCGCTGATGCCGGAATAGTGCCGAAAATACTCGTTCCTGCTGAAGAATGGTCTATTATGCGCGAACATTCACGAAAATTCCCCACAGTACGAAGGGAATGTCCCCCCTTTACATCACTATGAATAACACTCATATTGATCTAGATATTTACACTATTCGAAATTTGGTTAGCTTGCCATGTTCGAGATCTAGGAGTGATACTAGATAAAAAATTAACTTTTGAATCACATATTAAGAGATGTTGTTAAAAAAGCACTCCGCACTCTGGGATTTATTCTGAGAAATACTAAAGAATTTCAAAATTATTTATCAGTCACCACTTTATATAAATCATTAGTCAGGCCTATCCTTGAATACTGCTCTACCATTTGGAATCCCGTTTATGACAAATATGTGAATCAAATTGAACATGTTAAAAAAAAAATTGGTCAACAATTTGAACTATAGATTCTTCCGCTTCCGTCACTACATGAGCTATGAGAGCAACTTAAGTTTCTATAGAATAGAGAATCTCATAGAAAAAAACTCCCATCCACGTGTATTTTGAAAAAGTTATGATTTTTTTTTTCAAAATTCCAAAAAAGGGGGCCTGTGGGGTTAATTCTTGCCCGACAAAATATTGTGAGATATACATATCATTCAATACTATCAGTGGAACACATTCATAGAAAAAAACTCCCATCCACGTGTATTTTGAGAAAGTTATTTTTTTTTCGAATTTCCGAAAAAAAGGGGCCTGTGGCGTTAATTCTTGCCGGACAAAATATTTTGAGATATACATATTATTGAGCACCATCAGAGGAACACATTCATAGAAAAAAACTATTTTTGAAAAAGTTATGATTTTTTTTCGATTTTCCGAAAAAGGGGGCTTGTGGGGTTAATTCTTGCCCGACAAAATATTGTGAGATATACATATCATTAAGTACCATCAGAGGAACACATTCATAGGAGAAAACTCCCATCAACATGTATCTTGAAAAAGTTTTAATTTTTTTTCGAATTTTCGAAAAAGGGGGCCTGTAGGGTTAATTCTTGCCCGACAAAATATTGAGAGATATACATATTATTGAGTACTATCAGAGGAACACATTCATAGGAAAAAACTCCCATCCATATGTATTTTGAAAAAGTTATGATTTTTTTTCGAATTTCCGAAAAAGGAGGCCTGTGTGGTTAATTCTTGCCCGACAAAATATTGTAAGATGAACATATCATAAAGTACTTTCAGAGGAACACATTCATAGAAGAAAACTCTTATCCACGTGTATTTTGAAAAAGTTATGATTTTTTTTTCGAATTTCCGAAAAAGGAGGCCTGTGGGGTTAATTCTTGCCCGACAAAATATTGTGAGATATACATATTATCAAGTACTATCAGAGGAACACATTCATAGGAGAAAACTCCCATCCACGTGTATTTTGAAAAAGTTATGATTTTTTTTATAAATTCCTAGAAGGGGGCCTGTGGGGTTAATTCTTGCCTCACAAAATATTGTAAGATATACAGACTATCATAGAACCTCAGAGAAATTCATTGATGTAAAATAGTTTCATCCATGGACATATTTTGGAGGTTTAAGTAATTTCATGGCCAGCCATGAACATAAATTAATAATGAATGACCATTGGTGGTATGGCGTGTGCCTTGAATATTAGGTGAAGTCGTGGCCCCTACATATAAAATGAATTTCTTATTTCATCATGTAGAAGCGACCTCTTGATTTTTTGCACATAATTTCTGGACACCCTGTATATAGCTATTATGTTCAAAGTGAGGTTTTGCATGGGTTTGGTAGGGTTTCAGGTACAAAAGGTATTTGTTTTTGCCTGTTTCTGACAATTTTTCAACATCCCTTTGACAACAACAATTATTTCTTGGTTTCATTTATTATATTTCCATTTCTGATGATATTCTATCTGACAATAATTAATGAGAAAATATAAAATAATAATTTATTACTGAATAACTGAAATAGTGCCCATAGTATTTTTCCCATAGATTTATAATATGAGTTCAGATTCTTGATGATTATTATACAGGGTGAGTTAATCTCACAATAACAACAGCTTGTTGAAGCCTTTCAGTTCAATTCATGTATCAAATTTGAACCCAATTGGGTAATCCCTCTATTTAATATGGCAGATTGAATTTTGTGTCAAAATCCACAAATCCCTCTGTAGTCAGTAAGGAAGAGGTTTTGGATATTTGTATATGGCACTTTGCAATCATATTGGAAGTCCCAATAACCCCATAAGTTTTGTTGGTTTCATCTCTGGACGCTCTGTATCAACATGCTCCTTATTATTAATTATCATTGATTATTGATAATTCCCAATTGCTAATTTAGTTGAATCAGGTTGAATCTATAAACCCAGCTGAAAGTTGATGATGGGTCACTTCTTCTTCTTCTTTCAGTTTTCTTGGTTTTCTGACTCCTTGTGGTGTCAATTCTACCATTTCAGGAATAGGAATTATTTGGATTGTATTAGGATTTTGTTAGATCCAATCCCTAGCATTATACCAAATTTTCTGAACTGTATATTCATTTATGAATGACTTGAATTCCTTGCTTGTGAAAACTGATCCATTGTCACATACAAAGATTTGTGGAACTCCATAAATCAGGAAAACATGATTTTCTATAAATTTAATGATAGCCTTAGATGTGGACTTAGCCAATGGTTGACCAATAAGGAATAAGCACAAACAAAAAACAAATGTGAACCAATGAAAAACAAAGTAAACAGACCACATTGACAACTTTCAAAAACTTGGATAGATAGGGTACACCTATTTTCTATCAGGAATAGTAGAATTTGTCTTATATTTTAACTTGACTTTTCTCAATAAATTTTCCAAGGTTTTTTATTTGTTCTCATTCAAGTCTTATAATGAGTAATTATGTATCTAGGTATTTTAAAAGCAGCAATCATCTGCATCTTCTCAATAAACATTCTAGGTGACAGAAAATAGAATTGTAATACTAGGCAATTACTGAATTATGAATATTATGAGAAAGAATCCAATTACAGTCCCTCAGGGGAAATATGTATTTGTGACCTTTGAATTGTTCATTTTGCATAGCATGAATCCACAGGGTAGTTTCAAGAAACAGAGCATCAAAAAAGCAGGCCAAATTTATATTCTACTAGATACTCATTCTCCAGCTCATTGCAGTCCTCTAGGTACTTTACTGACTACATAATACATCCATTCTGTTACTAGCTACCTTCTCTTTCTGCACATCATTTATGTACATGTGTTGTTATGGAGTAATGCCACCTAATGCCTGAAGCCCACATGTATCTTCATTCGCTCTGTACATTAATTTTACTATAAAACTCACCTCCTATTCTTTCTACTAACTTCACCACCAATTAAAATAAATTTCCCTCCAATATCTATCACATAGAGCCACAAATCTGCTAAACGGTTAACTAATGACCTTGATCTAACTAAAAAATAATAATAGTGGATAGATTATTGAAATCATCTTCAGATTGCCACTATCAAATAAACTCACAATAAATTCTTGCTACACAATGATAATGGATAGGTTTTTGAAGAATATTGAATCCAAAAGCCAAGCGGCCACAGGTACAAAATTACGAGCACACCATAAATAACCGTACCATAAATAGAAATGACGATTGACGTTGACGAATGACGAGTGACGACCAGTGACCAGTGACCAGTGTTGCCAACCAGTAAAGTTTTACCAAAGAATAGTAGGTTAGTCACCTCTTTGGTTTTAAACCTACTATTCTTTGGTACATGAGACTTGAGTGCCCATAGTGACGTCAACTTATAAACATATCAATAGTGACTTAATAGGTCCACATTTCAGTTTCAGTTTTCACTAAACTATAACTATTGAAATATATCGCTAGTGGTGAAAAAAAACTCAATATACACCTTGATAGAGTCCCTTGATGAAAATTGCCGTTAAAGTCATCTTAACTGGATACTCTGGGCACCGAAAGCACCGAACGATTCTTTTTTCATTTAGCCGACATTGACCGAACATAAACTATGTTCGGTGCTCTGGGTTCGGACAGATCTAGGGTCCCTTGATGGAAATTGACGTTAAAGTCATCTTAACAGGGTACGGACAGATCCTCGTCTCCTCTCACTCTAAAGTGTTTGTGAAACAGTTATATAGTTCCATCCTTATTCAATTCTGGGGATAAACACTAGATTTTTGACATTTGTTGTTTTTTAGGTTACATTGAGGTCATTGGCGTATCATAAGTGATTTTCATATGGAATTCCTGATTCAACTATACCAAGATATAGTTGAACAATCCTCTATTTTTAGAGTTTACTACTCCAGCATAATCTTTGCGAGGTAGGGATCGAACATATAATTTGTACTGAAAGCTTTTATTAAGATGACTTTAACGTCAATTTCCATCAAGGGACCCTAGCTAGATCTAGGGTCCCTTGATGTAAATTGACATATTTGTCATCTTAACAGGGTACGGACAGATCCTCGTCTCCTCTCATTCTTAAGTGTTTGTGAAACAGTTATATAGTTCCATCTTCATTCATTTCTGGGGATAAACCATATACGTATTAATAATCAATACGGATAATCTCTATCTGTTTCCATAGCGAAACATGAAGCCGATTTTTGAAGACAAATGACTATCCATAAGGAAAAGTTTTGAAACGATCAGACACATACTGCTTTGATTGAAAGGCTAGTAAACGTCATTGTCCACCGAAACGCATGTCTTTGATGACTACTATAATAGCGCATGGCGCATGCGTATCATGCCACCAAATCCTTATGGATATTCATTTGTTTCATATTTTTGGCTTCATCCTGGCACCCGTTATGATCCGTATTGTATTATTAATACCTCAGACGAATAAAAGAAATAGACCCGTATTATCTATCCTTTTTCTGAAGCCAACATACTTGTCAAGACCCCTCATTAACAAGATAAGAACCGACTGGTTCGTGTATCGTCGGGACGTCGGGTGCATTGAGTTCGGGCTCGTTCGGGCGTGATCATTTCAGTCATTGTTTTGATTTCTGATAGTTTTGAGGTTAGCATTGTTGTCTATCGTAGTTCTGATTTCCTGTGTCTATTTTCAGTGAGAATTGTATTTTTTCGCGTGGAAGACGATTCATAGTGAAAACGGGTAAATCTTGTATGATTTGTGGCCTGAAGAAAGTTCCTGGGGATGAGATATCAGTTCATCGATAAGTACCATAGACGTAGGTAAGGGGTTCAGTTCTGATGAGTACCTATGTCGTATGTTAGATGTAAGATATTAGATGTATTAAATGCATGATTAGACCTTATTTCTGCTTGAATGAATAAAAAAGGGCGTATGAAATGAAATATAGAGAGTTTAAAAATTACAGATTTCCTTCAGATGAGAAAATGAAGAAGCTATGGTGTGATGTCCTAAAATTGGAAGTGGATGATTTGAAAGACCAAGTACTTCCACAAAAAAACATATTATACAATGGCCTAGTAGAACATTCATCAAGAAGGCCGCAATTCCATGTCTCATAGATATTCATCCAGAATCAACTGCTGGTTCTAGTGACCTCCATGACACCATGGTTATTGAATCAGAATCAATGTGAGTACTTGCTTAGTTGAAATAAAAGTGTGTTGAGTGAAAAATAAGTGAAAATAGTATAACTCGTGTTTCAGTGAGGATAGAAAGACCAGTGTTGTGTGGTTTTAATTTTATCCTTGAATTCAGACTTTTTTTGTCTGAATCCAGACTTTTTCCTCTGAATTCGGACTGTTTTGTCTCAATTCAAACTTCTTGTCATATGTGTATGTGTAAAACAGGGTATTCCAAAAATAAACCCCAAAAAACATTGAATTCAGACAACAACGTCTGAATTCAGAGAAGAAAGTCGGAATTCAGACGAAAAAGTATGGATTAAGAGAAAAAAGTCTGAATAAAGAAATAAAATGGAATACACAAAACAGTGGCCTTTCTATGCTTTAGTAGGAATAAACATGGTATTCCTATGAAATTTATTATTATTTTCAACACCATCGTAATTTTGACCTTTTTTCAGATCAACTGAACCAATGCAATGCATCTTCTTACCCACTCAGAGAGCCTGGATGAAATGCAGAACATCATGATTATGTAAATTCATCAAATGTTTGCAACATGACTTTGTATAATGAAGATGTAATAGCTCATACTGCAGGCTCTGTAGTGAGAAAAATAAAACCAAACATACATTGTAATTCATGTCTGATTGTGTTAGAAATTGATGAGAATATTTCAGGTCATTTTATATGAAGAATATTTTATTCAAGAATCAATAAGCTTCAGCAATTTTATTGGTTTTTTGTGTTACCTTTTTGTATAAAGTATATTTCGAGTTTTGATCATTAAAAAATTATTTGCATTGCATTTTTATTTACCATTTTCGAAAAAAATTGAGTATCAAATTCGATTATGAGCCAAGAAAATTTAGCCTCAGATTAATTTCTATGTAGGTACACATTTGTCGTGGTAGACACTTCATTTTCCAGTCTCCAGACATACTTTCTTTTTTTTTTCAACTACAAATACTTACCTACTTTCGATTCCATATAATTTGATATTTGCTTTTATTTTCGCAATATTTTCTTGGAAAATAAGATTTCTACAATTATAATAGTTTTTCTTCGAACAATTCAATCAACCATTTTTCAAAAAATAATATGCGTAATTTAACCATAGAAATTTAATTTGGTCCGCCTATGACTGAGGGGTCTGAGTAAACAGAGATGGATATAGGTCGCACTCTTCTAGCATCAACAGAGATAGCCATATCCCTGTTACAAACAATATAATGCATTGAAGGTAGGGTTGGCGGGTCTATTTCTTTTATTCGTCTGAGATTAATACGTATATGGGATAAACCCTAGATTTCTGACATTTGTTGTTTTTTAGATGATATTGAGGACATTGGCGTATCATACGTAATTCCCACATGTAATTTCTCATTCAACTCTACATATTATATCCAAATGATAATGATAATTTTCGCGTTTTTGATTTTTCATTCTCAGCATAATCTTTGTGAGGCAGTGGGCAAATTTTTCTGAAAGTTTGATACGTTTTACCAAATGGGACTGTTCTTAGGCAGTCCCTATCGATAATTGAATTTTGATTTCAGACTATAAGCCTTATGGTTGAGAAATGGTGAAAAATGTTATGTAGGAATTCAAACTAATGTGCTCATATGTCAAGTGTGCTGTATATATTCATGTTGGGAATCATTTTTGCAGTTTTTCACGAACACTTAATATTTCCTGAATGTAGGTATAATTTTTTAAATGGTACGGCATATGCGTCTTCTCTTGATCCTCGTTTTAATCAGAACTGTTTCTACTAAAATGCATTCGAAAACTTGTGAAGCGGATAATTATAGGCAAGTATAATATGTGATTTCGAATTAGTTTATCCTCGAATATTTTGCTATTTTGCTGATGTATTTACCAATTTTCCCCATTCGGTCACTTCACTTTCCATGTTCTAAGTTCATTTGCATTCGATGGTCGTATTGAGATAAAGATTAGATGAAGTATGGAATTGAAATTTTGTAAAATCTCTTTCAACGCCTATGAATGTGACGTGACAGCAATTTCATGTCAGGGACTCCAATACACGAAACCAAAGTCACAAGATGAATAAAAGAGAAAGGAGCTATGATCTGTCCGTACCCTGTTAGATGACAAATACGTCAGTTTTGCATCAAGGGACCCTAGCTAGATCATCTCTTACTGGATACTGGATGACGAATACTTGATTTGATCACTTGATGAGACTTGATAATGCCCAGTTCTATAGTCTTTGTTGGGAATATTCATGGGATATTCAACACTGATATCAGGTGTACCTACTGGAAAAATTGCTCACTGGGGAATAATGATATTTGGAAAGAATTGTAGTCAAATTGATTCAGTTCAAGTTTTACATTTTTGCAGGAAAAGATGATTACAAAACGCAGCTACTGTAGGTCTGCGTTGCTCAAAGTCAAAGTCGCTGCCAACAATAAGCGTGTATAAGACGTCGCTCACAATACGCACGCTTGGCCCAGCGAGCCGACCTTGTTAAGTTAGATTGTTTAGAAAAGTGGTCCCTTTTGTTCTCTCCTCGTTCTCTCAAGTATCTCTAGTGATATTTCAAAAAATGTACTTTGCAGGGAGACGCTTTATTTGGGCCAGATTGGGTGAAATTGTTTGAAAGAAGTAGTCTTTTTTCTGGTGCTAAATGGATATTTTTCTTCCTTGTGTTCACATTATAGTTATTTATTATGTATAAGGGCGTGAAATTTGCATTCATATAGCTCGAATGATAGCGAGACTATTACCACCCCTAGAAAATACATATATTTTATGCACGCCAGTATATTTGATTTTTTATTGTGGATACCGCTCCACCCTCTCAAGCACGATAGAAAAATATCATGGTTGATGATGGTTGCAGTAGGGAATATATTATCATTGATGAAATCAACGTTACTATGGTATTTTATCTATTTTTTTTTAAGTAGGAGTAGACATATTTTGGATCTCAGGAATATCTGAATCATACAGGAATGCTTATTACGAGTAACCTATACGCCAGGCGATGTATAGTCCATGCCGTAGGCGTTAAAGTGCAACTTCATCAATGATTTTGAATTCATTTGGCGGCATTATATATGCCACTGGCGAAGAAAGATCGAATGGTAGTATACTCGAAATTACTGGGAAAACAGTGAAATTACTCGACCACTTACCGCTCGATCACTTACCTAAACATCTCACCCCCACCGGACTACTTTACCGTCCACTCACTCCTATATCACTCTGGGGCGCTAAAGTGCTACTTTATGTTCGCGAATCCGAACGATGAAGTGTTTTTTTACGCCCGGTCGTGCATAAATCATTATAATTATGCGGCGGTCGCCAGCAGCGGAAGCGACAGCGAACAGCGGCAGCGTCCTGTCGCTATCCACTTTTCTCATATGCAGTGTAAATTACATGTGTGTAGGAAAATGCCAAGGGCAAACTGCTTTCGGTACGAAGAACATGACATATGACACTGATAAGTGACACAAGACACAAAGTGACATTGTAGTGACTCGACTTGATAGTTGTTGACAGTGTTGCCAGCTCAGTGGATTTCACACTAGAACTGCGTGGTTTGGTTTGAGTTCTCGATTTGTGACAAAATGTGACAAAATATGGCATCTAAGGGATGGTGTTCATTTTGGTGAATTTATTTTCAAATTAATGGTGACATATGTTGGTTGACGACGCGTCCGAAATGTCACTTGTTTTATATATTTTGATTTCACCATTGTAATAATACTAGAGGACAGTTTTTATAGAGAAACTAGTTTTAACTGAAATTGGCTGTTTTTGTACGATCTCAAATGTTGTTTTTCATATGTAACATAATATACTCGACTATGTCATTGATGCTATGAATAATTTATTTTGTTCGTTTTATTTTCTGTTGAAAGAAAAAACTTTTTCATCTGATTTTCAGGTGTTATCTAGTGATCTGAACTTTGGTGTTTTATGGGTGTCTTTTAGGTGGCAAATTTGCGACTTTTGGAAATCTGAGTTGGCAACACTGTTTGTTGATTGTTGATGATATGTTGATTGTGTTAGGTGGCTTATAATTGTGTTGAAAAAAAGGGAGGCTAGTTATTGAATTGCAAAATAGAAATCCAAGAAGGAAACGTACATATTACATCTCGAAGATTAATTAATAGAAAATGGTGAGGAATAAATAATATTATAAAATTTTTTAGAATCTGATTGGCATTTCCAAATATTTCATGAAACACAGGATGATTCAAAATCCGATGTACCCAAATGTTTTAAGGACATATTGGGAACAAAATAAAATAAGACTTTTTCTTTATATGAACATGTGTCCTATAATCCACCCCGCACCCCCTCCTACCTAATAGAAGTGTGGACCCCCTCCAACTACCTGAGAACTGGGTTCACATAATTTTTGAAGCATGAAGGAAATGATGTTACCAAAAAGTCAGGGGCTTGCCAAATTTCAGAAGCTTTGATCTGTTATTTTTGTCATAATCAGATAATCTCTTGTTTTTACCTAACTTACAATGGTTGTAGCTGGGAGGGGGTGTTGATTCTTTCCAGGTGGCAGGTCCAGGGCTAACAGTGAACTCAGTGATTGAATTAAAATACTTTTAGAAACTGTTTTAATCTCACCAGCGTGAAAGCAGCCACGTCTTCCAGCCACAACTCCGCTGAAATTTTACGGCGCGCTACAAAACACCAACGGTAGTCAAATATTAAAAACGTGGCTGGCCAGCCACAAAATATCTAAAGCCGTTCGAATTTACTGGACACAGATTTTTTTCTATCACATACAGTGTGAATGAATAAGATTGAATAAAAGCACACAATATTTTGCTTGGCATGAATTTTCTCATATTATTCCACCTCTTAGACTTACGAAAAAAACGATAAATTCCAAACTTCGAAAAATCATGACTCTCTTAAGGGAAGATATATCATTGATTTTCGTTCGAGAATATACAGTGTGTATGATGGTAAATGAGATTTATATCATGCAATATTCAGCCGGACAACATTTTTCCCGAAATCGACTACTCAAACTCGCAAAGAAATCGATAAATCTGAAATTTTGAAAAATCATAGCTCTCTTAATAGACGATATATCATTGATTTTTCTTCGAGTATATACAGTGTGTATGATGATGAATAAGATCTATATCATGCAATATTTTGCCGGCCAAGATTTTTCCCGAAATCGACTACTCAAACTTGCGAAGAAATCGATAAATCTGAACTTTGAAAAATCATAGCTCTCTTAATAGATGATATATCATTGATTTTTCTTAGAGAATATACAGTGTGTATGATGATGAATAAGATCTATATCATGCAATATTTTGCCGGCCAAGATTTTTCCTGAAATCGACTACTCAAACTCGCGAAGAAATCAATGAATCTGAAACTTTGAAAAATCATAGCTCTCTTAATAGACGATATATCATTGATTTTTCTTCGAGTATATACAGGGTGTATGATGGTGAATGAGATCTATATCATGTAATATTTTGCCGGCCAAGATTTTTCCCGAAATCGACTACTCAAACTCGCGATGAAATCGATAAATCTGAAACTTTGAAAAATCATAGCTCCCCTAATAGACGATATATCATTGATTTTTCTTCGAGTACATACAGTGTGTATGATGGTGAATAAGATCTATATCATGTAATATTTTGCCGGCCAAGATCTTTCCCAAAATCGACTACTCAAACTCGCGATGAAATCGATAAATCTGAAACTTTGAAAAATCATAGCTCCCCTAATAGACCATGTATCATTGATTCTTTTTCGAGGATATACAGTGTGTATGATGGTGAATAAGATCTATATCATGTAATATTTTGCCGGCCAAGATTTTTCCCAAAATCGACTACTCAAACTCGCGAAGAAATCGATGAATCTGGAACTTTGAAAAATCATAGCTCTCTTAATAGACGATATATCATTGATTTTTCTTCGAGGATATACAGTGTGTATGATGGTGAATGAGATCTATATCATGCAATATTTTGCCGGCCAAGATTTTTCCCGAAATCGACTACTCAAACTTGCGAAGAAATCGATGAATCTGAAACTTTGAAAAATCATAGCTCTCTTAATAGACGATATATCATTGATTTTTCTTCGAGGATATATAGTGTGTATGATGGTGAATGAGATCTATATCATGCAATATTTTGCCGGCCAAGATTTTTCCCGAAATCGACTACTCAAACTCGCGAAAAAATTGATAAATCTGAAACTTTGAAAAATCATAGCTCTCTTAATAGACGATATATCATTGATTTTTCTTCGAGGATATACAGTGTGTATGATGGTGAATGAGATCTATATCATGTAATATTTTGCCGGCCAAGATTTTTCCCAAAATCGACTACTCAAACTCGCGAAGAAATCGATGAATCTGAAACTTTGAAAAATCATAGCTCTCTTAATAGACGATATATCTTTGATTTTTCTTCGAGGATATACAGTGTGTATGATGACGAATAAGATCTATATCATGCAATATTTTGCCGGCCAAGATTTTTCCTGAAATCGACTACTTAAACTCGCGAAGAAATCGATGAATCTGAAACTTTGAAAAATCATAGCTCTCTTAATAGACGATATATCATTGATTTTTCTTCGAGTATATACAGTGTGTATGATGGTGAATAAGATCTATATCATGCAATATTTTGCCGGCCAAGATTTTTCCCGAAATCGACTACTCAAACTTGCGAAGAAATCGATAAATCTGAACTTTGAAAAATCATAGCTCTCTTAATAGATGATATATCATTGATTTTTCTTAGAGAATATACAGTGTGTATGATGATGAATAAGATCTATATCATGCAATATTTTGCCGGCCAAGATTTTTCCTGAAATCGACTACTCAAACTCGCGAAGAAATCAATGAATCTGAAACTTTGAAAAATCATAGCTCTCTTGATAGACGATATATCATTGATTTTTCTTCGAGTATATACAGGGTGTATGATGGTGAATAAGATCTATATCATGTAATATTTTGCCGGCCAAGATTTTTCCCGAAATCGACTACTCAAACTCGCGATGAAATCGATAAATCTGAAACTTTGAAAAATCATAGCTCCCCTAATAGACGATATATCATTGATTTTTCTTCGAGTACATACAGTGTGTATGCTGGTGAATAAGATCTATATCATGTAATATTTTGCCGGCCAAGATTTTTCCCAAAATCGACTACTCAAACTCGCGAAGAAATCGATAAATCTGAAACTTTGAAAAATCATAGGTCCCCTAATAGACCATGTATCATTGATTTTTTTTCGATGATATACAGTGTGAATGATGGTGAATAAGATCTATATCATGTAATATTTTGCCGGCCAAGATTTTTCCCAAAATCGACTACTCAAACTCGCGAAGAAATCGATGAATCTGAAACTTTGAAAAATCATAGCTCTCTTAATAGACGATATATCATTGATTTTTCTTCGAGGATATACAGTGTGTATGATGATGAATGAGATCTATATCATGCAATATTTTGCCGGCCAAGATTTTTCCCGAAATCGACTACTCAAACTCGCGAAGAAATCAATGAATCTGAAACTTTGAAAAATCATAGCTCTCTTAATAGACGATATATCTTTGATTTTTCTTCGAGGATATACAGTGTGTATGATGACGAATGAGATCTATATCATGCAATATTTTGCCGGCCAAGATTTTTCCTGAAATCGACTACTTAAACTCGCGAAGAAATCGATGAATCTGAAACTTTGAAAAATCATAGCTCTCTTAATAGACGATATATCATTGATTTTTCTTCGAGTATATACAGTGTGTATGATGGTGAATAAGATCTATATCATGCAATATTTTGCCGGCCAAGATTTTTCCCGAAATCGACTACTCAAACTTGCGAAGAAATCGATAAATCTGAAACTTTGAAAAATCATAGCTCTCTTAATAGATGATATATAATTGATTTTTCTTAGAGAATATACAGTGTGTATGATGATGAATAAGATCTATATCATGCAATATTTTGCTGGCCAAGATTTTTCCTGAAATCGACTACTCAAACTCGCGAAGAAATCAATGAATCTGAAACTTTGAAAAATCATAGCTCTCTTAATAGACGATATATCATTGATTTTTCTTCGAGTATATACAGTGTGTATGATGGTGAATAAGATCTATATCATGCAATATTTTGCCGGCCAAGATTTTTCCCGAAATCGACTACTCAAACTTGCGAAGAAATCGATAAATCTGAAACTTTGAAAAATCATAGCTCTCTTAATAGATGATATATCACTGATTTTTCTTAGAGAATATACAGTGTGTATGATGATGAATAAGAACTATATCATGCAATATTTTGTCGGCCAAGATTTTTCCTGAAATCGACTACTCAAACTCGCGAAGAAATCAATGAATCTGAAACTTTGAGAAATCATAGCTCTCTTAAAAGGCGATATATCATTGATTTTTCTACGAGTATATACAGGGTGTATGATGGTGAATAAGATCTATATCATGTAATATTTTGCCGGCCAAGATTTTTCCCGAAATCGACTACTCAAACTCGCGATGAAATCGATAAATCTGAAACTTTGAAAAATCATAGCTCCCCTAATAGACGATATATCATTGATTTTTCTTCGAGTATATACAGTGTGTATGATGGTGAATAAGATCTATATCATGTTATATTTTGCCGGCCAAGATTTTTCCCAAAATCGACTACTCAAACTCGCGATGAAATCGATAAATCTGAAACTTTGAAAAATCATAGCTCTCTTAATAGACCATATATCATTGATTTTTCTTCGAGGATATACAGTGTGTATGATGATGAATGAGATCTATATCATGCAATATTTTGCCGGACCAGATTTTTCCCGAAATCGAATACTCAAACTCGCGAAAAAATTGATAAATCTGAAACTTTGAAAAATCATAGCTCTCTTAATAGACGATATATCATTGATTTTTCTTCGAGGATATACAGTGTGTATGATGGTGAATGAGATCTATATCATGCAATATTTTGCCGGCCAAGATTTTTCCCGAAATCGACTACTCAAACTCGCGAAGAAATTGATAAATCTGAAACTTTGAAAAATCATAGATCACTTAATACACCATGTATCATTGATTTTTCTTCGAGGATTCACAGTGTGTATGATGATGAATGAGATCTATATCATGCAATATTTTGCCGGACTAGATTTTTCCTGAAATCGACTACTCAAAATCGCGAAGAAATCAATGAATCTGAAACTTTGAAAAATCATAGCTCTCTTAATACACCATAAATCATTGTTTTTTCCTCGAGAATATACTCTTTATAGAGCTGGTGGCAAGCATGACACCCGAGATGACACCTCATAATAGTTATGTGATAATCATCCTCCGAGTCATCCTCGTTTTGATCTCAACTTACGATGGAATCCACACGCAGAAAAAGGGACGAAATTGTGAAACCAAAACCAGACATTCTTTAGTACCAATTGGGATTAGGCCGAGTTCTGATCTTCAGTTGCTCATTTTACTGTATTCTTTAATTCATTATTCTAATTCCTTTTGTGTAATTTCGACGAATATACATATTGTTCAAAAGTTACGCCTTGTTCAGTGTGTATACTTCAAATCCTATAGAAGAAAGTGTATTACCAGAATCAGTAACCTATTAAAATACAGTCCACTAAAACCATCTATCGAAACAACAAAACGAAATAACAATTGTGTTATTTATACCATACCTAGCTGTGGATTGAATTAAAATTTTTATTGTGTTTTTTTGATATTATTGATGTTGTTGATGTTGATGCATGTTATTTTCTTGTTGAATACTGTATTGCAATTGAATTAAATAATTAAATAAAGAAATCAAAAGTTTTTTCGAATTTGAATTTCTAATAATTTCCCTCATGTTAAATTAATCTAATTCTGAATGAATCTTGACCGGAATAATCAATATTTATCGTCTATTTTTCAAAGTTAGAGATTTATCGATTTCTTCGCGAGTTTTAGAAATCGATTTCGGGATGTATCTTGGCCGGCAAAATATTGCATGGTATAGATCACATTCACCATCATACACACTGTATATCCTCGAAGAAAAATCAATGATACATGGTCTATTAGGGGAGCTATGATTTTTCAAAGTTTCAGATTTATCGATTTCTTCGCGAGTTTGAGTAGTCGATTTCGGGAAAAATCTTGGCCGGCAAAATATTGCATGATATAGATCTGATTCATCATCATACACACTGTATATTCTCGAAGCAAAATCAATGATAAATGGTCTATTGAGAGAGCTATGATTTTTCAAAGTTTCAGATTTATCGATTTCTTCGCGAGTTTGAGTAGTCGATTTCGGGAAAAATCTTGACCGGCAAAATATTACATGATATAGATCTTATTCACCATCATACACACTGTATATCCTCAAAAAAAAATCGATGATATATCGTCTATTAAGAGAGCTATGATTTTTCAAAGTTTCAGATTTATCGATTTCTTCGCGAGTTTGAGTAGTCGATTTTGGGAAAAATCTTGGCCGGCAAAATATTACATGATATAGATCTTATTCACCATCATACACACTGTATATCCTCGAAGAAAAATCAATGATACATGGTGTATTACGAGAGCTATGATTTTTCAAAGTTTCAGATTTATCAATTTCTTCGCGAGTTTGAGTAGTCGATTTCGGGAAAAATCTTGGCCGGCAAAATATTGCATGATATAGATCTCATTCACCATTATACACACTGTATATCCTCGGAGAAAAATCAATGATATATCGTCTATTAAGAGAGCTATGATTTTTCAAAGTTTCAGATTCATCGATTTCTTCGCGAGTTTGAGTAGTCGATTTCGGGAAAAATCTTGGCCGGCAAGATATTGCATGATATAGATCTCATTCACCATTATACACACTGTATATCCTCGAAGAAAAATCAATGATATATCGTCTATTAAGAGAGCTATGATTTTTCAAAGTTTCAGATTCATCGATTTCTTCGAGAGTTTGAGTAGTCGATTTTGGGAAGAATCTTGGCCGGCAAAATATTACATGATATAGATCTTATTCACCATCCTACACACTGTATATCCTCGAAGAAAAATCGATGATACATGGTGTATTACGAGAGCTATGATTTTTCAAAGTTTCAGATTCATCAATTTCTTCGCGAGTTTGAGTAGTCGATTTCGGGAAAAATCTTGGCCGGCAAAATATTGCATGATATAGATCTTATTCATCATCATACAAACTGTGTATCCTCGAAGAAAAATCAAAGATATATCGTCTATTAAGAGAGCTATGATTTTTCAAAGTTTCAGATTCATTGATTTCTTCGCGAGTTTGAATAGTCGATTTCAGGAAAAATCTTGGCCGGCAAAATATTGCATGATATAGATCTTATTCATCATCATACGCACTGTATATCCTCGAAGAAAAATCAAAGATATATCGTCTATTAAGAGAGCTATGATTTTTCGAAGTTTCAGATTCATTGATTTCTTCGCGAGTTTGAGTAGTCGATTTCAGGAAAAATCTTGGCCGGCAAAATATTGCATGATATAGATCTTATTCATCATCATACACACTGTATATTCTCTAAGAAAAATCAATGATATATCATCTATTAAGAGAGCTATGATTTTTCAAAGTTTCAGATTTATCGATTTCTTCGCAAGTTTGAGTAGTCGATTTCGGGAAAAATCTTGGCCGGCAAAATATTGCATGATATAGATCTTATTCACCATCATACACACTGTATATACTCGAAGAAAAATCAATGATATATCGTCTATTAAGAGAGCTATGATTTTTCAAAATTTCAGATTTATCGATTTCTTTGCGAGTTTGAGTAGTCGATTTCGGGAAAAATGTTGTCCGGCTGAATATTGCATGATATAAATCTCATTTACCATCATACACACTGTATATTCTCGAACGAAAATCAATGATATATCTTCCCTTAGGAGAGTCATGATTTTTCGAGGTTTGGAATTTATCGTTTTTTTCGTAAGTCTGAGAGGTGGAATAATATGAGAAAATTCATGCCAAGCAAAATATTGTGTGTTTTTATTCAATCTTATTCATGCACACTGTATGTGATAGAAAAAATCTGTGTCCAGTAAATTCGAACGGCTTTAGATATTTTGTGGCTGGCCAGCCACGTTTTTAATATTTGACAACCGTTGGTGTTTTGTAGCGCGCCGTAAAATTTCAGCGGAGTCGTGGCTGGAAGACGTGGCTGCTTTCACGCTGGTTTTAATCTCCATGAAATACGAGAATACATAGAATGTGATATTTTTGTTACATTATTATTTTACTTGTTTTAGCAAAACAATCACAACATAAAACAACCAACATTTATAACTCATTTTTTCTTCAGGCCTTCCCTGCCATACACAGAGTGATATGAGAAATATTGTAATAACAACAGGGAACAGGGGGTGCATTTTAGGACACACTTGAGGACACATGTTCATATGAAGAAAAAGTATAATTTTGATCCCAACAATAGATTTACATCAAATTTATGAACACCCTGTATATCCAACATGTTTGAAAATCCACTGCTATATGCATGTTTGTTATTGGCAAATAATTATAACTGGGATCTGTTTTTAGTTAGTTTTAGTTTTGGGTGATTTACACATTCCTCATAGATGTAGCAGTTTACCAGCAAAGTTCAAGAAACTCCTAGTACCAGGAAGAATACAACACATACTCTGCACTGGGAATTTATGCACTAAGGAATCTTATGATTATCTGAAAACATTAGCTAGTGATGTGCATGTAGTTCGTGGTGATTTTGATGATGTAAGTTATATAGAAAAAAAAATCAGGTTCATGAAGGTCAAAACATATTTAGGCCCTCTTTGTGGTCAGGACAAAATTTGTCTATACATTTTGAACCTGCTGTAAAATATTGTCTTCCATAGAAGGAGGAGTATTTTCATATATTTTTCACTTTCCTATTCCAGTTTCACTGGCCCTGACTAGTTTTGAATTTTTGAATGGAACACCCCATATATTGTAATATTTTAAGTCTTGAAGCCTATTCCATTTTTTCAAAGTAATTTCAAATATTCCATCTAGTTAACTATGATCAGATATGAACTATTCTAAGGACCTCAGGGGATGTCAGCAAATAAATAAGCAAAGTTTCAGTGACTGATATGATGGATAAGACAACTGATGGCTAACATTTTCACTCTCACCAGTTGGTGCTACTAAAGCATGAGGTCAGTGTCAAAGTCAAAATTCCCAACATATTGGGCTATGGCTATAGCCTCTTTTATAGAAAATATTCAAAAAAAAATATGCAGAATATTTGAACAAATAGAAAACCTCAGGTTATCAAAAGATGTGAGTTGTCTTACGTTTTTTCACTCAATGTGGAACTTTAGGACCAATTTTTACATTGAAGGAGAAGAAGATATCAAGAGGCCAAATGACCAGAAAATAAGAAGTATATTGATCAGTTCTACCAACCCTGACCTCATGTTTCCATGGTGTAGTGAGTCACATTGTTATTTCCTAAAATGCCACCATTTTTCATCAAGAACTTCTGGATAAAAGGATTTTTTGAGGAATTTTACTTAGGAAATACTGGATAATAATTTATTCACATTTGTTTAGTGTGCCATGGTACTACTCTTCTGAACTGCCATCCTGAAAAAAAACTTTATTTTTTCAGGAATATTTGCCTTATTTTCAGTTGCAATTGTAAATTAGTGCAGAATTTTTTTTCTCCACAACTTCTAATTAACAGTTGCAACTGTAATTTTTAGGTGGAAAAAACTTTTTTTTTTCACATCTCTTACAATTGTAAATTAGGTGAAGTTTCTACACATCTCCTAATTCACTGCTGCAACTGTAAATGAGAGCCTCACAGTTTCAGTTCTCACAATTTCTCATCAGACTACCAGACATAAGCAGCTTTCTTTATAGTAATTTTTGCTAATATTTTCTCAACATGTCCCAAGGATGCTATTATAGTTATTTATGTACCAAGGACGAAAGAATTTCTATTATAGTCGAGCCTGCAAATTGATGGACGAGGCCCCCTCTGAGGCTATCAAGCAGGCGAGACAATTGACAGTTTTTTGTCGAGGTGCATATTGAATTTTTTCTTAGCTCAATCGCCGCGATTTGTCCGGAATTTAGTAGGTAAAATGTCATTTTTCTCCAAATGACATTAGAGGCAGAAACATTACATAAACTTGTGTTGAGGTTGTGGATTCGACTCTCAAGCAGGGCGGTGGTTTTAATTTTCCGTTGTCACTCGACATTAGGGCTCTCCATCGTCTTCACTATTATATTATGTATCTTTTCGGTGGAGTAACCCACAAACGTTATGACTTACTCCGATGAATAATTACAAAACTCGTCCACCATATTGTATCCGCCATCTTGAATTTCCAAATTTTGGCGGAAGAATCATGATCTCCGACCTCGAAAACATCCAGATACAAATATTAAATAGTATCGGATCATAAATACAAAAAACTCGTCCGCCATATAGGATCCGCCATCTTGAATTTTCAAATTTTGACGATAGAATCGTAATCTCCGACTCCAAAAACCCCCAGATTCAAATTGAGAATGGAATCGGATAATGATTACAAACATCGTCCGCCATATTGGATACGCCATCTTGAATTTCCAAATTTTGACGGAAGAATCATAATCTCCGACCTCGAAACCCCCCGTTACCAATTTTGAATATAGAATCGGACCATATTTAAAAAACTCGTCCGCCATTTTGAATGTCCAAATTTTGACAAAGAAATCATAACCTCTGACCCCGAAAACCTCTAGATACTAATTTTGAATAGAATCGGGCCAAAATTATAACACTTGTCCGCCATATTGGATCCGTCATCTTGAATTGGCAAATCTTTATGGAGGAGTCATATTTCCTACCCCGGATACCCCCAGATATCAATTTTGAATAAATCGGATTACAAAACTTGTCCGCCATATTGGATTCGCCGTCTTGAATTTTCAATTTGAAAAATAGCTTAGACATAGCTTATTAGATTAAAATACTTTCCCTTGGAATATTCTTAGATATTTCAAAAGCCTATGACTGTTTGAACCATGATTTACTATTGTATAAATTGAAAAAATATGATGTAAGAAGAAATGCTAAGAACTGGATGAGAGCATACCTTTCAAATAGACAGCAGTGTGTACAAATTATAAAAAACAATAAATTTTTGAAGTTAGGATTTATGCATTGTAATATTGGTGTTCAACAGGGTAGCATATTAGGAACAATTTCACAATAACTAAGTATGCTGAGGTGCTGACGATACAAAGTTTATAGTGAGTTGTTCTGATTTGTCTGGTATTTTAAGAAATTTTAGTTATTTTTTATATTTCACAGAAAATTGGTTTAATGGTGATAAATTGATATTGAATACACAGAAAACTGAAGAAATTCTAAATAAATACAAAAAGCTCAAAGTCCTTTCCACACAATGTTCATAAAATGAACAACAATGATAGATTTCGGCAGAAAAACAACTACTTTCCTAAAAAAATGAGTACGTCACTGGATTCTTCGTTAGCCGTAGTTCTAAGTGCAACATTATCTCTGATAACTTATAGTTATAAAAGTGGTCTAAAGTCAGAAAACTATGAATTTTCAAAATCGCCTGGTATCTCATAAAAGAAAACAGTTATTGAAAATCTGAATAGGCCATCTTGTGTTTCTGAAAGAAAGTTGGACAGGAACGTTGCTCTGTACGGGGTGATCCACCTTTAATTCCCACCCTTCAACTAGGTATTTGGTAAATTTCAAGTACCTATGATTTTTTTGTATTTCAGAATTTGAATTATCCTGAACAAAAAGTAGTAACTGTTGGCCAGTTTAGGATAGGTTTGTCTCATGGCCATCAAGTTGTGCCTTGGGGAGATCCAGAATCCATAGCCTTGATCCAGAGGCAATTAGATGTAGATATTTTGATATCTGGCCATACTCATAAATTTGAAGCTTATGAGCATGAAAATAAATTTTACATCAATCCTGGATCTGCTACAGGAGCATACAATGCTTTAGACCCGTAAGTATATTTTTCAGCAACCATAACTTGGTTACTTTTTACAGTTCTTGAAAATATCTACTTTATCAATTGTATTTCTGAATATCAGATGTATCACAAAAAACTGTCCTATTCACTTTCGGTATCACCAGAAATTGCTCCGGTTTCGAATTTTTAAACGGAATATCCTGAATATGGTAACATTTTTTGATTCCTCAGGCAATTCTGGTTGAGAATGTGACGTTTCTTGAAACTTTTATGCTAACTACTTATATGGTAACTTCGTTTTTTTAGTTGTTTTTAATATTGCATAGAGTTAAGGAACTTTCACTGTCATTACTTTAGTGAGTGTTTTGTTTTCTATGGCGGGTGACACAGACTCATGGTATACCCCTCTTTTCTCCATTGTTTGTGTAGCTATTTATATATCTGAAATTTGTAACATCAATAATGTTCACTAGAGCCACTAGAGGGCACTTTCTCACATTTTGGAATTTTTTTCCGGTTTTCCTGAAAATGACATCAACTGTAGATTTTCAAATAGGGCACCCTATATTTTATTTCATAGGCCAGGAATTATTATAACGAATTCAGATACCGGGTTTGATTGGATTATTGCAAACAGGAGATATTTTAAATTTCCATATGCTCAATGAGTTTGACAGAGAACTAAGAATCGATATTGCGCCGTTTGCGAAACTCTGATCGCAAATATAACTGATTATGGGATAAAATACAAGGTGTTGGAAGTTGATGTTTTCTCGAGGAAAACCGGACGATTTAAAAAAATCCTAAAATGTGATAGTGTCCTCTAGTAGTAGTTGTAGTAGTAGCATATTCGATGTTCAGAATTTCACAAATATAGCTAGAAAAACAAGGGAGTAAAGGCGGCTAAACCATGAGTCTGTGTCAACCGAAGAAGGCTCTATAAAAATGTATTTGGAATATTCATATTATGGCTATCAATGGCACACTTCACAAAAGCGAATGAAATATTCAGTATTTTCTTTATACTCAATTTGTGTTCTAATTTCCAATCCAATCGCAAATAAATCAGAAAAATAATGGTTGAATAAATTGATAGCCGAGGCAAGCAATCAGGCGAGAAAATAGACAGTTTTTCGCCGAGGTGCATATTACTTTTTTTCGTCGACCTCAAACACTTATATTCACATCAAAGTGCGCGGGAATACGCGCACTATCTCCCTCTCGTCCAACAAACGCTTGCAAAACGAAACATTCGAATCTTGATATACAATATACTATTATATGAATTTGCTTGATTTGTCTCATGTCAATTTTTTCATTATTGATTTCAGATCAATCACCCCTTCCTTTGTTCTGATGGATATTCAAAATACAACTGTGGTTACTTATGTGTACCAATTGGTTGGTGAAGATGTCAAAGTAGAAAGAATTGAGTATAAGAAGAATTGATACAGTTTGTGATAGAGGTCTGATTTGAAATTATCTTATAGATCATCAATTTTGAAGTAGGTATATAATATCTGCAAACGAATTATATTACAGTTGAGAGATAAAAATATCTTTCTGTACAGAGGTATATGTATACATATAGGCTTTTTAATTAAGAGAAATCCTTCTTATCAACTGTGATGTGAAGAATATTGTGCATTTAATTGATCTTATTTTACAATTACAGTTAATTGTTTCTAAATGTCTAAGTTTGAACTAGGATCAATATTTTATTTCTATGTATATATGTATTTTAGTGGTATCAAAATATATATCATTGGTCTAAGAATTCCATGATTAAGAATACATATTATATAAAACTTTTCTTTTTATCTTACAGTGACCTACCGATTTTTAAATCGAGAGAAACTTATTATTTCAGAGGATGATGATCATGAAACTCTTCTATAAATATTCTAATGTGATGTCATCAAAATTCGCCGAGAAAGGAAAATCAGGCTTTTTTTTAAGAAGTCAGGTTCAAAAACTGATTTGACATAAATTTGAATATATGTTTCATGTTTGAATCAATTATATTACTCTTGTAGACTGTGAAGTAACACAAAGGACTCGGCAAAATCCTTTGGCAAATTGGGCCCCGTGAGTTTTTCCAAATTTTTTGTTTTATTTTGGTTCATTTGACCCTTTGATCTATGAAATATCAGCATGGCGCCAACCTCGAAAAATATACGTTTTATTGCTAGGGAGACATGAATTCACATTTTGATTACAATAGACCATTTATTTTTGAAAAATTGAACAATATTATTTTTTTTATTCCAATTAATTTTTCCTGGCGATGTACAGGATGATGGTTTATTTTTTGCTTAATAGCTATCTCAGATGAATTATCAAATCAGTGAATGACATCAGTTAGGATCTTCAGTACTAAACCTAAAAGTAATAACATTCTGCATGCTTAAATTTAGAGGTTCCGGAGATATTTGCGAAAAACTTAAGATATGTCTTGAGGTAATATTGAGCAGAGGCCTAATTTGCTGCGTACCATAATGGCATAATGCTAATATTATAAGAGATATCGATATTACTTTTACACCTCGAGAATATTTTTGAATGTCGAAAAAATTTAAAACATTGTGTGGGTGTCAGAAGTAAATCGACAAACTCCAGGTTAATAGTCGTAAGCCATCGTAAATTTGTCAGAACCATCAAACTATCAAAACAACAGTTTTCAATTAAGGGAAACCATGGCAACGTTTTTAATGTGCCAAACAGTAAAAAATTTTAATTATTTCAATAGATTCTTCTTCTTCTTCGAAGCACTGGTGGGCGGGTGAACCCCCTGCACGTGGGCCTCCTTATTCGGGCCCATTGTGCGCCCACATGTTACAACATTCAGCTGGGTATGCCGACTGCCTTGGAGAAGTTCAGCAGCTTCCTCAGCTGAATCTCTTTTACGTCCTCTGGCCTCAAGATTATGTTGCCAAGGACAGCCTTCCTCTGATGCGTCAGTGCTGGACACTCAGTGAGGACATGTGATGACGTTTCGTCATCTTCCAGGCACCATCTGCAAAGGGGGTCATCCTTGATCCCAATAAGCTCTAGGTGCCTATTGAGGTGGTTGTGCCCCGTTAGGAGCCCCACTACCATTTTAAGGTTTCGCCTGTTTAGGAATAAAACCTCTTTTGCGAGCCTCTTCGAAGGTTCCCTTATGTGGAGCTTCGATTGTCTCATTCCTGGTGTGTCCTTCCATATTTTGAGGAATTGCTTTTGCAGCTGTTCCTCTATAGAGGACATTGCCAGGACATTCAATAGATTATTTGGCGCATAGAATATTTATGCGGCAAAGGAAATAAAAAAAATTAAATCAAAGCAATTGTTCGAATGGACCTCCATTTTGTTCCATACATAATTGACATCTTCTGATCATGGACTGTCACACCTTTTGGAAGATGCTTTGTGTATTCTGGATTACCATGCCTGCTGCTAAAATTCTAGCAGTTAAATCTTCTACAGATTCTACAGGTGTAGAACAGACTATGGATTTGAGGTACCCTCCAAAGGAAAAAATCTAGTGGAGTTAAATCAAGAAAACGTGCAGGCCAATGAACGGGACCATATCTACCTATCAACTGATCAGGGAAAATCTGGCCGAGAAACTGACGAACTGTATGCTGGGAATGGGCCGGTGCTCCGTCGTGCTGATACCACATTCTTTAACGGACTGAGTTAGGTATTTCTTCAAGTAAACCAGGTAGAACTTCATTTAGAAATATACTGTAGGACTGTCCATTCAAACGAGGAGGAAGTAGATATGGTCCCACAATATGATTCCCGACAATACCTGCCCAAATACTGACAGAAGACTCCTGTTGGTAGCCTTTTCGGAACATACCATGAGGATTTTCTTCATCCCATAAATGGCTATTCCTGCTATTGAAATATCCATCTCTTGTGAAACATACCAAATCGGTGAATAATAAATATTTAGGAAAGTCATTTGCTTCCTGGTATTTCCCAAAAAAACATTCACAAAAAACCCTACGGGAACCATAGTCACCAGCATATGGGGCCATCATCTTCTGTAAGTGGAACTGCAAACTGCTTATGAAAAAATCTGGGTTTACAATGCTTTTTTGCATATCATAGTACTGAATTATGAATGCCCATAAAAATATATTTTTGCCCATTCGAACGTTTTTGTAAAACCAATATTAACTTGAGATATTGATTGAGACTATGCAAACTTTGATTGGGAGTATACAAACATACAGTTGACATTCAGTTGTTTAATTCTTTAAACAAGGAAACAAATACATAGGTCTGATAAATATGGAATATATTTGAGATACTAGTTACTTGTCCACAGTTTTCATTTTATTTTTCAGTGCTCTAAATATTCATCTGTGCTGTGATAACCAGTAAATAAATTAATTTATAAAAGTCAAAACAATAAATAATATATTACACTGTCCCTTTAAACAAATTCACTCAATTTTGAAGTACATTCCACCATTCAAAATCTTTATACTTATTTCATTTAAAACTTTTAACTAAATCTGCTAGAATAGTCTGTTCCTGCCTCTTCACACTCTTCATCTCCAAAATCTTATGAAATTCTGCCATCTGAGAATCTGGCAACAACTTCTTGTACTGCTCCACGAAATTCTTCTGAGGTTCTAGAGGAGTCATCACAACTTTGAGAATCATCTCTGCCCTCGTCATTCCCTTCGTAACAACTTTGGAATAGGCTGTCAATCAATCAATCAATCAATCAATCAATCAAATATACGCCGAAGATGAAAATCTCATTGGCAAAGCATGGTAAAATAATAAATACATAAGCTATAAATAAAAGTCACAAGAAGTACAGTCATCAAAATAACATAAATTACAGCAACAGGTTGATAAATACTGAAGTAGGTTAAAAATGTAAAATTTAAATGTCATGAATAAAATGCACACACCACAACCAGAATAATACGTCTATTCACAACAATTGATCCTCATAATATTCCTGTAAGTTATAGTTAGCCTTCTCAAGCAGCATGAATGTAACTTCCTTCCGAAAGGAAGAGAATGGTTTAATTGATTTTTTCCATCGACCACGTATTAACTAGTATGATACTTGAAGAGTATTTATTTCTCTCTTATTTACTCAAAATTTCAATACCTAATATCTATTGGGGAAGTACCAATATTTCACGTTTGAGTCCACTAATGAAATTACAAAATAAAACATTGAAGTGTATTTTCAATTTAAATTTTCTCGAACCAACCATGAATTTATACAAACCTAGAGATTTATTAGATCTGACATCACTATATAAACTTAAAATATGTTGTTTTATTCAATTTGTCCTATATTGAAAATTTCGAATTTAAATTTCAATGAAATCAATTCATTACATAATCATGGAACAAGACAATCAAATTTACTAATAGCAAATACGTTCATGTCAAATATCGGCAAACAATCAATTTTTCACACAGGAATCGTTCTATACAACTCATTACCAAGTCAATTGAGGAATAAACAGGAAGCAATTAGATTCAAAATTAACTTAAAAAAATATCTGCTTCAGAGACTTTGATAATTCCATTTCTTATTTGAATACCTACTTATAAAAGACATTGCATGATTATTTGCATTTTTTTTTTACTTGTTATATCTTATTATAATTTCATAATTGTATGTATAACATAATGTATATTGTTTATGTATCCCTATTATAAACAACTATGTTTCTTGGGGTAATAAAGACAATCAATCAATCAAATTGATCGTTAATGACCCTTATTCGCGATAGAAATAAATAACACGTTGCTCCACCTGACGGCAACAACTTCAACACTTTTGAGCGGTTTGTTTTGATGAAGTGAACAATAAGCACAAACAAAAAACAAACGTGAACCAATGAAACAAGGTAAACAGGCCGCTTTGACAGCTTTCAAGAACGCGTACGCTTATTTTTTATCGGGAATTCAGGATCAATTTGTCTAATAATTCATGATTGTTCGAAGATTTTACGTTGACGTGCCTTTCAACGTTTCTGAACCGATTATAATCCCTGTTTTTTAACAAAAAGGATTTATTTCCCATGTTGATTATTTCGACAAATGTCAAATGTCACTAATGTCAGTGACAAGTTGGCCTTCAGGGGGTGCGTTCGAATCCCTACTCCGTGTTAGATTGTGACTATTCTACACACTGTTGCTGTCGTTCGATAATACTGGAGAATTTGACGACGAGTAAAGTCATGTTTCAGTGTTTTTCAAGCGGAATTTCACGCCATTGATAGGTGCATTCAGTTCAACCTCGACAGTAAATACCGGAACAAGGAGATCGCTATCCTTTCCGACAGCCAAAGAGCCATCAAAGCGTTGAGCTCCTTCAACATCAACTCAAAGATGGTTTGGGAATGCCTAGACAAACTCAACAATCTAGACAATAATCCTCTACTGGGTGCCGGGACACATCGGAGTGGAGGGAAATGAACAAAAAGGAGCATCAACGCCACTGATCGGACCAGAACCATTCTGCGGCCTTGGAAATTCCAATTTCAAAAAAGAACTTGATAAAGCTGAAGAAGAAATGAGAGTAACACACTGGCAAAGACTTTCAGGACTGCGGCAGGCCAAAGATCTCCTCGGCAATTTCAACCGAGCCAGATCGAAGACACTGATCAATCTCAGCTAAATTAGTCTCAATGCAATAACGGGATTTCTAACGGGCCATTGTAAACTCAAAGTACACCTAAGGAAGCTTGGCTTAGAGGAGGACAGCACCTGCAGATTCTGCAGGGAACATCCAGAATCACCCCACCACATCTTGCTGGAGTGTTTTGCTGTACACCACAAAAGATCGAACATACTGGGAGCATACCAGCTGACCGTGAAAGAAATACCACAAACAGATCCTCTCAAAATCCTCAGATTCCTGAAAGAATTGAAGCTTGAGGGGCTACTATAAACAAGAAAACCTTGAGATAGCAGAAGAAAATGGGGCACAATAGATCTAATCAGGTCGCAGCACATCTGTCACCATCCACACTTACTAATAAATACCAGTACCAATAGCAAAGTCATGTTACTCCACAAAATAGGTGGGTATATTCACTCCACTAATTTGACACATTTATTTCAAGGCGAACAAGGATGAAGAAGTTTGTTTTGATTTTTCAAGATAAGTTAAGGTAGGGTTAGGGCAATTTGAAACGCACTTTATTATTGTTTTTATATCCTCAAAGAAATCAAACTTGGAGAGAATTTTTTTAACATCATTAAAGACACAGATGTGACTGACTGACTATATTTTAATGCTGAAAAAAATTCATAAAATCTTCAATAAGTGGCACTGAGGTTCTGTTGAAGTCGACATATCTCATAACACGCACGTGTTAGGTACACTAATTTTTTTCTACAAGCGTGCGTGATTCACCCTATACCCACACGCAATTCAGTTTGGGAAGTGTCATTTTCCCGCAACATTGCGGGAAAAACAAAGATATGATAATATGGCAAAATATAAGATGATAGGTGATGGAATATGAGAGTTTGAGTTTGTTTGTTGCAGTATTAAGTATGTATGTTCAGAATCATCCATCAAATTGTACTATTTATTGTGAAAATTAGGAAATATTGAAAAATAAAAATTGATTATTATAAAAATCCCCCTATAGATTTGGATTGATCTGATGGACAACGATTATTGTTGTCAATCAAATGAGTTTGTAATTGTCGAAGTGACAGACACAGCATTACTGTCATTTTCGATTCAGTGGAATTGCCACAATGTGAACAATAATGAAGAAATGAAATTACCGAATAAAGAAGATCTATTTTTGGCTCATTTCCTAGAAGTATCTGAAACATAGAGACCAAACACCGTATGGGCCTGCTGGCTTCCGCAATGAACCTATACATAATGCGTCAAACTGTAAGTTCACAATAGCTATTACCCAATAATCAGTAGATAGAGAATATATTTCTCTTGTTAGCTGTTTCTAAATGAATGAATAATTATTAATTGAACAAATCAATCAATTTCCTACGCTTGTAGAAAAAATATTGTTCCTAACTCATGCGGAAAGTGTCTTTCCCGCTTCGTTCGTGTCAACGGCAGTCGCGTGCGGGACAGAATCACTTTCCGCACTTGTTAGGAAAATTACTATTACTAGCATGCGGAAAAAACTTGAATTGCCCTTTTCCGCATGCTAGTAAAAAAAAATATATTTCAATATTCATAAAAGAAAATCAAGCCTTTTTTAACGTGGATTTCCCTATGCATATTCAAATGTGCCAATCCATTTAGCCTATTTTCACTGGTTGTATTTCACAAATAGGACTTTAGTCGATGTCATGTCCGGAATGATCTTTCCGATAAACAAGTCGATACCGGCAGAGTCGCGAATATTTTAAGTAATATGAAAATAATCTGATATAACAATTTCACAGAGATTCTATAGGAATTTCACCAAAAGTTCGAAATTTTGAATTTGTATGTGAACCGACGTTTTCTCGACAAGACAATACTGAACGTGACAAAACTTTGGCATTTTGTTAAATTAGAGAATGGAAAATGATACCAATACAAAAAACCAAATAATGATATCCAATATGTCAAAAACAACTCTTTCTTGTATAATAAAGAGAGAATTTAACACGTTCGCTGCCACAGATGTATGTGAAACCCTCACTGGGAGCCAATTTTTTTTTCTGTATATTGAAACCAAAGTAAACAAAACGCGTAAACGCGGTGGGGGCATGGCGCGCTTGCCCATTCAAGCGCGTAAACGCGGTGGGGGCAGCCAACGTGTTAAGAGCATCTGACTAGAAAATCCCTGAAAAGATATTCCATACCTGCCGGCGCTTGTCGATTGATCTGCGACGAAATCGAAGGCAGATTGAGCAACACGGTCTTCAGCATGTGTGTGTCCAGGAGCAGTTGCTCGGCCCCTTCCGTGTTAATCGGTTTGCATTTGAAGATGTTCTGGATGAACTTCGGGATGAAGCTGTTGGCGAATTTGATGCAGAACTGAGTGAAATATTTCCTGGAATGCGAGAGGTTTTCGCGGATAATTGGAACTGTGTTTTTCAGGTGGGTGGTGATTGCAGTGATGTATGGACTCTGGTCTCCCACTGTATCGACATTTTGCCACTGGATCTATAAAAGTAAATAGTTATTTTATTAATGACGTTTGCAATTCAACCGATTTTCAGTCAAATTGCAGTGTTCAGTTTTTCAGTTATGACATACCAAGTGTTCAAAAAGAGTGTTACATAAGCGATAAAAGTTCCCGTATTCCCCAGGAATTTTTTCATCCTTCTGCAAATCAGCTTTCTCCAATCTTGCAGGATGTGAGATATCGATATTTTTCGATTATCTGTATTTGAATGCATTTCTGTGGATTTGAAAAAGTTCAGGCGATATACAAACCGTATTGCACTGTAATACGATCGAATTCATTCCTGGTGAAGTTATCCACCTGGTTTCTAGAGCAGCAGAACTTTCGACAACAACAAAATAAGCGGTTTTAGAATAATGTGTGAGATTTTCTGAAATCGTCTGCTTATATTGATGCTGCTACAATAATGTGCTTGTGAAATTATGAATCATTCATTCAGATGGATTGATTGCCCCTAAGCAAGTGATTACGTTTCAATCATTCCAAAACTAAAAATATCCAATTATGAAAGGACTGCCAAGCTCGAAGCAACTGTAATTTTTATACAGTAATCATTGCTGGTTTCAAACAGTAATAATAGTTCAGTCATTGGGGATCCAAAATAAAGCTTACCTGGAAAAAAGTCCGGAAGTTTTGAAACTTTGTAGGATTATAGTTTTGGGTGTCCAGAACTAAAATTCACAAAATGCACATTCCGGGACATGCCGCCGGCGCCGCCATCTTGCCAAGATGGCGCTCAAAAACGGTTTTTTGAAAATATCTCCAAAACGGTGCGTTTTTAGAAAAAATATGAGAACATAAAAATTAAAGATGAAGAAATTTTCTACAATAAATGTTCCGAGCATTTTTCTGCTAAAGAGAGCCGTTTAGGCTCAAGAGCTGATTGAATGACAACATATTCTGTTAATTTCTATAAACTGCCCCTAACTATCTCCATATATGCGTATAAATTCATATTTTATAATAAAACGGGCTATTCAATTCGTTCCTCGTTATTGGACGATTTTTAGATCAATTATGCGACAAAAATTTTGCATTTGTGACTTGCGATTATTTGGGCGATATAAAAATTGCATTATCGACGAATCTGGCGACTTTGCTCCAGAAGTATGTGGGTGCAGGATGGTTATGAGTAAATTTCGTACCTATACTATGTATCCGTAGATATAGGTACCTTCTCGTACTGTAAAACCGCCCATAAATTCATAGAAATTTGAAATTTTGCTTTCTTGTCTTTACCACTCCATCCCAATATGAGTAAATACACAAAATATATATTTCAGATGAGATATTTTTATGAACGGTAAAAACACAAGAACTTTTTCATCAACTAAATTACCTTTCCTAACGAACACAATTTACCAATCAGTAATTTTACGAGAAAAACGGACATGAAAAAATTGCGAGTCCGTATTTAACCAAGGAAAAATGAAGTTTCTAACAACATTAGAAAAACATAGAGTTACAAGATCATATTAAAGTTTTTAAAAATGAACATGCCACCCCTGATCAAGTTGCCTTTGCTGGTGAGAAATTTTTCCTTGCACTCTATGGATTCAAAGACACAAATTACACCAATCTTGATAAATATCGATACCAGTGTTTCGTGAAGTCGGTAACAAAAAGTAAATTCAATTTGGCATCTTCACCACCGACAAGCGAAGCTGCACGACAGCATTCGTTGAGAACGTACTATCAGGTTCAACTATGGCGTGGTTGTCCGAAAGTAGTTGAATAATGGGGTTGGAAGAAAACACAAACTGGCCTCACTCCAATAACTACTTGGAAAGATCCTGCTTCCAAAGCACTACTTGCTTTTTTATCTTGTAAGTGCAAGGCGGCTTGTGGTAGAGCCTGCGGATGCAGGAAAGCAGGATTGCGATGTTCGATGATTTGCGGTGTCTGCAACGGGAAAACTTGTGAAAATATCAGCCAAGTGACACTGGACGAATCCGATGAAGAAGACCTCCATTCGCTGCATGATGATTCTTTATCGACTGCAGAAGAAGAATCCGACGAGTTGAAGGAAATTAACATCGATTCTGGAGCTGAGGTAACCAGTTTCCCCGTTGAATATATCGAAATCAACGAGCCAGGTCCGTCTGGCCTTTGCCAAAAATAATTTCAGTACCTGAGTGTATTAAAAAAACGCGCCGTGTACTTAGCCTCTTGGGTGGTGTGGAAACAAGTACAACATTTAAAATCTAAATTGATTGATCATAAATTATTAACATGGATTAATTGATGAATTCATCGATTAAATGAATGATGGATATCCACCGTTTCGTGATAAATATTTTTAAAGTCGTTGAATATCAGATTTGGGGACCCCTAATACACATATTATTTCCGAAACTCGCCACTACAGAAAACTTACGCAACATTTTTAATTTGGTAAGGGCACTTGTGCCTTAACGAGGGTACTTTAGCGAGAATATTCTAGGAACATATTTTATAGGAAATATCCTGTGTCAGCAAGCTTTAAATATAACGAGAAACCAATTAGATAGCCCGTTTCATTATAAAAGATAAATTTATACGCATATTTGGAGATAGTTAATGGCAGTTTATTGAAATGAACAGAATATGATGTCATTCAATCAGCTCTTGGGCCTAAACGGCTCACTTCAGCAAAAATATACTGGGAACATTTCTTGTAGAAAATGTTTTCATCTTGAATTTTTATGTCCTCAATTTTTTTCTAAAAACCCACCGTTTTGGAGATATTTTCAAAAAACCGTTTTTGAGCGCCATCTTGGCAAGATGGCGGCGCCAGCGGCATGTCCCGGAATGTGCATTTTGTGAATTTCAGTTCTGGACACCCAAAACTATAATCCTACTAAGTTTCAAAACTTCCGGACTTTTTTCCAGGTAAAAATCCCCAATGACTGGCCTATAATGTAACTTCAATGACTAGGCTGATTAAGTAGGATTAGAGTCCCTGTATATACCTTAGACAAGAGTCCGGACACAAATCTGACAGCCGTTGGGGTTTTTAATATTTTGTTCCATTAGGGGCCAGGTAACCGTGCGGACAGAGTGTCCATATTCTAATCCGCATTCGCTTGCCGGTCGTGGGTTCGAGTCCCGCCGACTGCAGAAATTTTTCTGATGGCCCAAGAAAGTGTTTGGGATCACACGTTAAAAGGTAAGACCCCCGTCATTCCTTGCTCGCACAAGACTCTCGAATACTTCTGAGGGTTGCTCGTAAGGGGGCAACCGAATGACGGATAGAACAATTTTAGAACAATTTTAGAATTTGGTTTGCCCATGTGACGAAACACCATAGTCGTCCCGCCCGCTTTTTTTAATTATTTCGAATTTCTGTCTCTGTCACTGAAATTCTATGAACGCCAAAATTTAGCATTTTAAATTATTTCAATGTCCTGTTGCGTACATTATTGCGATAATTCATTAGGAAAGGGATTCAAGTTATTCAATTTTCCGTATGATCCTTTAAAGATAATGTCATGGAAGAATGCAATGAAACGTCCAGAATAGAAAATTAATTTCAGGAAATCCGCAATATGTGAGGTGAATATTCAAATTTACTTGAAAAAACAGTACAAAAAAGATGAATTTTAGGCCCATTTTGATAGAGATTCTTTCAAGCTGATGGATTTCAAATTGAAAGAGTCTGCTGTGCCGTCAATTTATAAAATAGAGACGTTCAAAAAATAGTTCCGTCGTCATCGTATTGGGAATTACTGAATGATACGATCGCAGAGAAAGAAAATGAGAATGAGATGATGCGGAAAGGAATTGAAAGTTTGAAATCAAAACTAGAAGATTTAGAGAAATTGCAATGTGCTGTCATCAGTCCACGGTGTTTTCAATTCATATCAAATTCAAAATTTACAGGTGAATGTAGACTGCATTGAGACAATTATATATCTTCTATTTTTTCATATCCCAACAGAAAACAACTCCATTTTCTTGGCTATATGTGATACCACGTAAAACACTTAAATTATCTTTTTTATATCTAATGAAGTGAAGAAATATCTGATGACAAAAATTTGCAATAGCCATCTCAGGAATTGATTATGAAAATTATCGATTCGAAATTTGAACACCCTGTTGTTCATTATTTGAAAATCTAATAGTAATTCTAGTTAAAATAGCCCTATTTCTAACTTCTACCTACGGCTATGAACGGTTTGACAAATAATCTAACCTTCAAAATTTTTTCTGACAATCATTGATCCTAGGGGAATTGAGAAGACAGAGCTCGATATATATGTCTTATTCCTTTATTCAATCATCAATGCATTTTTTGAAAACAGAAAAGGACAGAAGTATAGCTGTGTCCGGACTCTTGTCTAAGGTATATACAGGGACTCTAAGTAGGATAATGGCAGTTGTTGTCAAGAGCTTGGCAGTCCTTTCATAATGGAATGTTATATTGAGTGTTGGAATGATTTAAATGTAATCAATTGCTTAGAATCGTGTTTTCATAGTAACTGTTCCTTCTTCAATATTTCATGTGAAGTAATGAATAATGCAAAATTGCCCCTTGCGGCCCCAAGAATTGGCTTATCTAGAAAATCACGAAATAGTTTCGAGATGTTTACTGGGGCAATCCATCTGAATGAAGGAAGGATTCATCATTTTACAAGCACATTATTGTAGCAGCATTAATATGGGCAGACACGATTTCACAAAATATCACACATTTTTCGAAAAATGCCAGGTGGATTTCTTGACCAGGAATCAATTCGATCGTATTACAGTGCAGTACGGTTTGAATATCGCCTGAACTTTTTTGAATTCCCTGAAATGCATAATAATGCAGAATATAGGAAAATATCGATATTTCACATCCTGTATGAGGAAGGTCAGAAATTCCAAAACCATCGAAAATTCGAGTGGTCCACTTAATTCTTTGAGCACTTTAGGTTGAGCAAAGTTTTTTTGTGAGATTTTCTCTCCTCTTCGATATAAGTACAAATGTGAGTATTATTTCAAAATAAACTACAAAATAGGGTATTCCATAACAAGTGAGACGCATTTCGAGTGATGGTGAAGCGTCTCAAGAAGATGAGAAAGTTCCCATAAACAAAGGAGGTAAAGGCTTCGTTTGCCATATACAGGACGTTGAAGTTGCAAATATTCATAGAAGTTTCTTATATCCACCCAGTATTGCTTATCATGGCTCTTATGTGACTGGCATAGTGCCGCAATTGCAGAAGCATATCTATCATGGGTATAGAGTAATCTGAACAGATGTCTCGAATAGACTAAACGACAGCTAAATAAAATTTTGAAGTTGAATTTTGTTATTAATTTTTTCTCGAAAATTGTGTGGGTACCTTAACGAGCTTCAACAGTTGGTGCATTTTTCTACAACATTGTATCCTCTTTGATATTTTCGAATGAAATTTCGGAGTTTCATCGCCACCTATGCTTTTTATGAGAAATTATACATCAATACCACTTAACGGTGCCACTGAAACTCAAATCAACAAAATAATGCTACCTATTCATATCTGGAAAAATACAACGTGTTTGTGACAAGTTTCGAGTGAAAACTGTGATCAAAACTAAAAATAGAGTGAGGTCAAATCTTACTCAAAGAGAACAAGAAAAATTGAATAAAACTCATCAAAGAATTGTATTTACCAAAACTTGTTTGTCAACAGAACGCCAAAACTTAGGAATTCTTTGCCAAACGAAGTATTGCCAACTTATCTGTAAAAATAAAATAAAAACAATGTCTACCTTCTCTCCTTGTTTGTGGAAAGTAATGTACAGGGGAAACGGAAACATCTCTCAGTAAGGACAAAAACATAAGGACAATATAAAGAAAATATAAAATCAAATCTAAATTAGCTGAACACAACACATCCTCAATGAAAATGGAATGGAATATTTTAATCAGAGGAGGCATCCTTTTAAACGGATACAATATCACTGAAAAGTATCAAAGATAATTTTCCAAGAAAATTTAATCCTATTTTATGTTGAAAACGGCAGCGTTCTCGAAACGTTCAAAACTAAAGTGAGAATTTATTTTTTTGATATATCTATATTCCTCTTTCCTTTTGATACTATCCATTAAATTTCTCTCTTAGGCTCTCTAATACTGAAATTTACAAAGGCTGTGGCATTTTGGGGCAAAAAATATGATTCGTTCTCATTACATATTGAAATAATACTCATATTTTTATTTACCGAAACGCGAGGGGAGAAGGAGGTCTAGAGAAATGATTTTTTTTGTTCTATTTGAACTTAACTGAATTAACTTGAAAGGATGTATTCAGAATTTAATTCCATCCTCATGCTCCATTACATAAAATATATCAGTAAATGTTTTGGCTGTTATAATAACGATTTTCTGGAATGAAGGAATGGCAGATTCTTTGATGACAAATCACATTAGAAATGTGTGGAATAAAGAGAATGATGCAATTCAAAAATATGGAAACTCTTGAAGAAATTCGAACACAAACAAAAATAATGAGAAACAAAGATAACGGAAGTGGAAATACAGTGCATTGATGTAATTCCTTTATCTCTGCTTTTCATGGTCCTAAATGCATTTTTGAGAACAAAAAGTATGAAGGAAATAAATACTTACTTTGCCCATAGCTGTTAGAGCTGGCTCACAGGCATTTTCCAAATCTTGAACAAGTATTTGTATACAATTCGATATAACCCTGAAAATATAATATATCGTTTGAAATGGTCATCTTCAAATGTTCTGTCAAGCATACTCACTTATGAAAATTGTCTTGCTCTTTGGATAAATCTATCTGATCTGCTAAAGTTGGATCTATTTTTTCTTTCAGTTTGTCAGATAATTGTTGAGTTGTTTCCAAACAATATTCAGCAGTTGTTAGTATGCAACAAATTTTAGCCTGTTCGTCTTTGGAAAATCTGAAAAAAAAAAAACATGTTTCAGTAAAAATAGCAGTCTTTTGCCAAATTTTCTTAATGGACCTTTTCTGCTCAGAATCAAACTCTGTGAGGAAAACTTCGACACTGAATCATTATTGCCATATGGATTGAAATAATCCATATATATATCCAGTCGAGCGGCCTAACAGAAGTGTGGAGGCGCCATTTTGAAAGATACCTACATATTTTTATTGGAATCAAAATGTAGCACAACCATTGGAGCAAAAAAAAGTTCAGCCCTTCAAATGATGAACAAAAGGAATAAATGTTGTAAACAAACCTGCAAGTACCCAAATTGTGTACTACACCACAATCAGTACATACGTCATAAAAAATAAGTTACCAGAAAAGTCATCAAACTGAAAAACTCTCACTTCTACCAACAAATTCAACAAGTTGGAAATGACACAAAAAGAACTTGGTCAGTTTTGAACACATCACTGATTAATAAGAATAAAAACCCTAGACTACTGGAATTCTGCATGAACAAACGTCTAGAAAAATTACTGGACCAAAAAAACTTTTTATATGAAGACCAATATGGCTTTCGTGAGTCAAGTGATACAGAAATTGCAGCAATTGACTCAATATCAGATATTCAAATGAAGATTGACCTACGAAAGGCATTTGATACTGTGGATCACCCTATACTGTTAACTAAACCGAAAAACCTTGGGGTTAGTGGAAATGCCTTGGATTGGTTCCGTTATTACTTATCAGGTAGGGAGCAATTTGTAACAGTAGATAATTTTCGAAGTAACAGACGATCAATTTGTTGCGGTTTTCCACACGGTTCCATTCTTGGCCCTACCTTATTTCTCATATATATCAACGCTTTCAGTAAACTACGTCTTGAAGGAAGAGTGAAGCTGTATGCTAACTATACCACATTAGTATATAATTCGAAAACTGAAGAATCCATTCATCCCTCAATTGCAAATTATCTAGCAGCTATTCAAAATATGCTGAGCTCCCACAAGCTCACTCTTGGAGTTGATACATCTAGTTAAATCTATATTAGTAAGTCAGGAAGCAAGAAAGTCAACCCAATCGATTTTGGCAATTCTCGGTTGATGTATAATCACACAGTAAAATATCTGTGTCTTCTGATAGATGAAACATTATCATTCAATGTCTTGGCACCAAGAAAAAAAATTCAATGTTTAAATAAAGCAGTGCTTCTCAGTATCTTACTGCAAGCAACTATACTTTTCCCATATCTATTCTAGAACACAATATTTAGCTTCCATATGGGGCTTCCTTTGTAAATTTTACAAAACCTGGGACATAAAGAATATCTGCCCCCTACCTCGTCTAACCCCAACCACCGAACTTTACTCTCCAAAAGGTTCTCCCAGTAGACAATACCTACTACTATAAAAGCAGCGTCTACATTTATGCAACATCAAATAAAAGAAAACATACTATCACACAATTCAGATCCACTCATGATGTTCACGTTCACTCTACAAGAAACTGTACAAATATTTACATATCCCATTCATCAGATCCAAATATGGAATGAACTCCTTTCATAAATTCCGAACGGAATTGAAAAAACGGATTCTAGGTGAATGACATACATGTTATAGGTATTATAATTCATATGTCATCATCATGTTGCAATCTCTGTACTACTTAACCTGTGTACTAAAGTATGTATGTATATTTATGTATATTCAACTGTTATTATTATTATCATTATTATTATTATTAATACTCTTCATCTTACCTTCTTTGTTCTTAGCATAAACAAAATTGTATGTTTTATAATTAGAACAAATAAAACACTTTTCTATAATGTTAAATTGGAAGGACCAAGTTACCTCAAGAGTGTTTATCTTCTGTATTTATCAAAACATGGATATTCAAACTATAGAAGTTTGAACCTTTTTTTTATATGATTTTCGAGAAAGTTATTAACAAAGAAGAATTTTTTTTTCGTTCTTCTGAATATACAGGGTATTTGTTTTGAACAACTATTTCGGATTTTGAATTTCACCTTTCATATATTATGTTGAAAGTTATAGTTACCTTGTTAATTCACCTTCTTTCAGAAGTGAAGAAAAATTATGGATCAATCCAGAAGTCGACATCTTCTGTAGATCTTTAGTAAAGTTTTGCACAGATGTCCCCAGGGTTTGAGATTCGAGTTTGGGTAAATTATTCTGCAGCAGTTTCTCCGAATATTCATGTAAATATTTCTGGAAGGTTTTCGTGAGGCTCAGCATAGTCTGCCCTCTATCAAGTTGATTGCATTGAATCATACTCTTCTTGTAAAAGACGAATAAGTCCGGACAGCTTGGTAAAATCGAGGCTTGGGTTTCCGTAGCCTCGGTGGGCTTTGCTTGCTTCTGGTCCAAAACAAATCTCTCAATGAGATCAGACAAGTTCCGATCCACGCTTTCGATGTAGATTTCTAAATGCGGAATGAAGCATTTACCTACAATATAAATGTGAGGTTTTATTCTTATTATATCCATATTAGCCAGAAATATGAAGATTTTGTTGTGTTTGTGTAACTATCTGAAATAATTCATTACTAGTTCATCTAATGGCATACAGGGTCTCCGGAAATTATGCGCAAAAAATCAATGAGGTGATTCTACATAATGAAATAAGAAATTTATTTCATATGTACATGGGTCCGGAAATGCAGAGTTTTCAACATACAGTGTGTTGAACTTTGAAAAAAAAAAATGGATTTTTATAAATATCTCAAATGTCCTTCCACCGATTTTCTTGAAATTTGGCAATTACATTTTTTTTCATGAGGGGCTGATACAACCATAATTCAATTGGAATTCTGAAATCCAGTAGCGATCTGGGAGCAACCTACCGAATATTATTGTCAATAAAATGTGCGCCACTGATTTTTTTGAATTCTGTATCTTCATAACCTATTGACCAACTGAAAATACAACATTTTGGTGTCTTGAATTGTTTTGATATTTTGCTTCATTTCCATAGAAAAACATAAATACCAATTTATTTGTGCCAAGAAATTCCTTCAAAAACTAGGGTGAAAATAAATGCGAGATCCATGTCCATAGACATAGATTAAGAATGAAGATTTATTTTCTTCAATTATTTGTGTGATGTGATGTAATGTATTATTCTACATGGTAAATAAATTTATTATTATATTATTATTATTTCATGATACTTGTTTGACATACTCTACACTCTGTATACTGAGAACTATGTATTCTCGGTCCATGAAGGCGTAGTTTTCAATGATACAAAGTGTGTCAAACATTTATTATAAAATATTTGAAGCAAATGAATCTTCATTCTTATTCTATGTCCATGGACATGGATTACACATTACAATATCCACCCCTGTTTATGAAGGAATGTTTTGCACGAATTTATACAATAAATTGGTAATTATTTTTTCCACGGAAACGAAGCAAAATATCAAAACAATTCAAGAGACCAAAATGCTGTATTTTCAGTTGGTCAATAGGAAATGAAGATATAGAATTCGAAAAAATCAGTGGCGCACATTTTATTGACAATAATATTCGGTAGGGTGTCGCATGGTGCATGGTAGGTCAGATGATGCAACATCTGATTCACTCCAAATCATAGCCTGGAAATGTGCTCTTCAGACTGCAAGACAAAATGAAGCTAAAGTTCACTTAAACAGTAATGCTTTGGTTCCCTCAAGTAGACAGAACAAAGATATTCTTCTAACCCACTATAGATTTCATCTGTTAAGGACAAAGTTCTACCAAGAGATGAAAGTGCCTGAAGCACTCTTCCATTTGCATCCATGAAGCGGTTCCAAAAAGCAGTTTTTGTTTTTCCAGAGAACGCTCCAGTGACATCAGCACCTGAAATTGCATGCATTCCAGGCAGTGCAGCTGCTCGCTGGGGCCCAAGTTTTGCTTAAATTTTGTCAACTTCAATTTCCCTGGGTTTGGGTCCCATTAGACAGAAGGACGTCTTCTTTGGGAGCTGTTGATACCAACTGATAAGCAGGACCAGAACATCAGTGTGGGTTAGAAGAATATCTTTGTTCTGTCTACTTGAGGAAACCAAAGCATTACTGCTTAAGTGAACTAAGGTGGTGGCTATTTTCCAAAAAGCGAGTTGAAGGTGCTAGTCTGCCCCCAACTTTAGCTTCATTTCGTCCTGCAGTCCGAAGAGCACATTTCCAGGCTATGATTTGGAGTAAATCAGATGTTGCAACACCTGACCTACCATGTTCATCAGAATGTGGTTGGAACTTAGAGAACGGTGAATTTGTTCCAGAGATGAGTGAACTACCATGTGGACCACACTTCTATTGAAGCATGGACTTCCATGTACAGAGATGTGCAATTGTTCTGGAAATGAACAAAACTGTGACAATGTTCCCAATGAGGCCTGTGAACCGTTGGATGAAAACGACGATGAAACTGACACTGACAATGACCCTCGAATCTCTTCACTGATGAACAATATAATTCTTATCTGTTGTTTTCAATTCAACTTGTAGAACCCGCTGGTAGTGATTTTGAGCTGCAAATATTGTATTTCATTATCAGTGACTACTACTAGTTACTTTCCATGACAATAGACCAAATAATTAGTTTTTCGTTCAAAAATCGTTTGTTTTCACCATAATTTAAAAGTTGTTGTATTTAGCGTGAAATGTGTGATTATCTAAAAGATAGCGCTCGTAAAGGTCTACAAACGAAAAAAAAAACTTTCAAAATCGGTTGAAAAATGGCCGAGATATGGCTGTTTTTAATATGTAGTTTGGCAGCCATCTTGGAATGGCCGCCATATTGGCCAGTCGCGTATCTGAGACCTCCACCATCGCATTTCGTGTTCTCCAATGAGTACTTGAAGAGATAAAACTACCCGCAATACTTAATCATTAAATTGCACACGCGGAGGATGGGTTAAGGAAACCGATTAATATAAATGTAATGATTTCTCATGCAGAATCACCCCCCTGATTTTTTGCGCATAATTTCCGGACACCCTGTGTAAGTATAGAATAGCTATAATGAAATAAAGGTTCACTTAATCTATTCTAGTGTAAAATTGCCTCAACTGAGTTTAGGACACATAATGCAGGAAAGTAGTTGTTTTCTGTTAGATATTTTTACAAAGATTTTCGTATTTCTCAAAAAACTTATTCCCGACCAAGGGATTATTTGGACAATGAAATAATAAGATGTCATCCTATAAACATTGGTCGTACGTTTTCAAGATACAGGGCGTTGAAATTGGGAATAATCGTGAACATGTTTTTATAAACACCCTGTATGAGCTATCGTCACAGCAACTTAGTCTGTCAATTTATAATCGCTTGGAGCGCACTAAAGGGAATACGTATAATGTTCGAAGAACATCGTGCATTTTTTTTCAACTTCTTGGAAATAATTCCTCGGGCAATGAATTCCAGAGCCGTTCTATAGACAAACAAGTTTTGATAAAGTGCTGTTCCACATATTTCGAGGTTGACAATGCAAAGATGTTGCTGACTGGGCTTGTCGAGTTCGTCTGACTGGGTTTGCTAGTGATGGTTATGGTTATCCAGTAATCAGTGGCGGCTCGTGACTTTCATGACAGAGGAGGCTGAATGATATGAGATTTATTGTGCAAAACAACTCTCTACTCACCCAAATCAATAGCTTTAATGACTTTCTGTTTACCAGTTAACCTGAACTTGATACTTGAAGAGATGTGTTCCTGTGATTCGCAGTGTCTATCCAATACGCGAGGCAAATTTTTCAAATCATTATATCCTAATCGCCCCCAACATGATGACTTATCGGTTGAAAATAATACGCAGTACCAACAAAATAGCTTATTCCTTACCTCAGATCCCGTCAGCCAGATATATTTTTTATAATTATCAGAATTGAACGAACGATTTTGTTTGTTACCTATTGCATTCAGATTTTTTAATTCCGGTGTCGGACGTTTGTTTTTCATAATCAATTTATCTTCATAAGACAAAGCACTGAATGGGTTCACCAAAAAGTATTCCACTAAATTGCAATCGTTTAAAACACTCATTTTTCAGAAATTTATAGAGCCCCTAACCATTAACCCAACATAAACATAAACAATGCCCGCAAACACGTGCTATTCGGGCGTATTCGGGCATTTGCATTGCGCGAGTACTGTTGCGCTCAAGGTTGCGCTTGCGCATTGTGAAGGAGTCTAGCTTCCTATAGATGTTGTCAAGTTGAATATTTCACGCGTGATTTGCAGACTTCAACGTGTGATGCGTGGGCAAGCACTGTTGCCAATTCAAAAATATTTACCTAAAAACAGGAAATAAAATCAAAATCCATGTATTTTGGTGTCCTTTTAATGAGAAAGTATAGGTAATATCAGTTCAAAGAAAATCTCTGAGGAGGCTCAGCCTCCGTTGCCTCCTCTGAGGAGCAGCCACTGCCAGTAATCCGAACATATTATGTCTTTAATGAAAAATCCGACACCTACACCAAAATTTGTAGTCAAATTTGGTTTTTTCGTTTTCATTCATCAAGTTCTAACAGTAGGCCATTTTTCCTATAATGCTGATCATTCTTCCATATTTCATGAATACATTTTAAAATTTCTACCATTAGGTACCTGTTGAAACGTGATCATAAGTATATTGATATTGCCCTATCCACTCCACTAGTATTCTTATCAGCTGAAAATACCACAAACGTGTTTGCTCACAGATACTCAGTACATCTCCAGGATCTCGTATTTCTGTTGAGTAGTTTTCTAGTGAATGAGGGAAAATCAAGGCAGTTGTCATCTTATTTTTTCAGGTACTATATAAATCCGAAAAATTCCCCACATTTTCCCTAATTATTCATAGGTTCAGAGAACGGTTTGAGATGGGTAGGGATGGGTCCTAATCTTGATCCATAGGAATATTTTTTCTTTTTTTTTTTAAATTGAATCATCACTCAACCACCTTTCAATTCCTAAGTTATATAAAACATCTATTCATTTTCCTTCTTATGTGTTGTGGCTTATTGCTTATAATAAAAGAACCCGCACTTCTAGTACGTAAAATGGTTCTCTGGAAATTTCCTGAATTTTCAGTATGTTGTAGAATTCGATGAACTGATTGAACTTGCAGATTCGTAAATATCTTTGATGAACAGATTCTGAAATACAAAGCGTTAAAGTTACAAATCGGTAATTTTTATTTAATTATTTTCTTAAAACGTACCTCCATATTACTCCATATTACTCAATATAATTCAGATGGTTCAGATTATGTTTTGTTTCCAGAGTGAAACATTTTAGTAATGTCCGAAAATTCGATGTAATAATGAAATATCGATAATTTATTTAGGCATGCAATATACTATTCTCATTCCATCATGAATCACAATTCATACATTTCATACAGGGTGATTTGAAAAATTGGTGACACATATGTCCGATTTATTCATACCTATTGTCCCTATTGACACAGTGGAGTAATTGAATACCAATTATTCACTATCGGTCCAGTAGCTCATTCCCTGTTGATTGTAACATGTTCAAAGAGTTTCAGATCAGCTAAAGTGATTAGGTGACTAGTCACGAAAAGATATTTTGGGCAACACTTGATTTATGATGCCCAAGCCAGAAGGAATATTAATAGCATTTTCAAATTATATTCATAGTTTTCCTGGTAACCATAGGATGGCAACTTAGTAACCCTAAGATAGCATCTTAGTTGCATTCTAGGAAAGGAGTTTATAAGAAAAACTTTAATTTATTTTTAGAGATCTATAGAGATTGTCCATATGGTCCCAAAAAATTGAATCCTTACCTATTAACCCATAAAATGGAGACAAACTTGGATCACTGTCTTGGTCCTCACTTTGAAGGTCAATTTCATTAGTTTTGTTATTCTTGTCATCCAAAGACTTTTCATTGAATTCATTCAAAGTGATGCCAGTAAACCGCCTGAGTAAGAGATTCTCAAATGCAGTCGTTTTCTGAATAGCATATAGCAATAATTTAACATCTATTTCATTCTTCCTTTTGGCCATTATTTTAGACAGCTCTTCCCGAGTGTTATAACAAAACTGAACAGCTATTCTTTCAGATACTTCCCAATTTTGCGGAAACATATTTCCTGGATACAAAAAAAAACAATAATTATTCAAAACTTCTCAAGACGTGGGTTGCATTCACCTAGTCGATCCTCAAACTCCAGTAGATGTCTTTTTATCCAGGCGTACCGTTTATCTATTTTATCCAACCAAGCAGTATCCTCAGTTTCTTGAAAAAGATGACTATATTCTTGAAGCTGCAGATCAATAAACCATTTCAATAACTCCTGTTTCACTTTTGGATCCAAAATTGATACTACCAAGCATGCCTGAGCCAACTGCTTATTAGGTAGAACTGGTTTACTATTGGAACCTAGAAAACAAAATTTGACCAAAAATTGTTAAAATGAGGAAGAGATGAACGTCAGAATTGAAATAAAATCTCATGAACTATTGAGAAAAAAGAATGAATGAAAATGTCCTGCTATTCAATGAATTGCGGGAATTCTGAAGGGAATGGCGATTTCATTTCTTCAATTTTCCAAAGGAAATATCAAGCATTCCCTTTTAGAAGGAATGTATGAAACGGCCTGGATGAGAAATTGATTTGAAGATAGGCAAAATTTGTGAGGTAAGTACATACACCGTGTCCCAGCTAAAATGTCCCCCCATGTAAAATATTAACCGCGCGATCGAATGACTTGAAATTCGGTCACCCAGTATATTTGATGATGGTCACTCGAAATATGCTATTGAATGAATCGTAGGTATACAGGGTCACACCGAACTGCACCTAAACTTTTCTATTTGAATAGGGACCCCCAGGATATTATTCCATATTCAAGTAGAGTTCATTATTACAAATTCAACAATGCCGGGTTTGACGGGATTTTTTCAAACGACTACGAAGATATGACAAAAAATAAAACGATTCAATAAAAAAATTTATATCGAATTCGAATGAAAAGATAATAATTAAAACCTCAACTGCTCATTATGTGGTCCATTCTGCTGCAAACATTTCCTAGCTCTTGTGATAACGTTCAACATTGTGACCCTATGTATCACGTTGCGATCAATTTGTGCGTATAAATTCGTGATTTTCTTTTTCATTTCTTCCATATTCACAAGTGGCGACTCATAAACCTGTTGTTTCAAGTAGCCCCACAAATAAAAATCAAGCGGGGTGAGGTCTGGCGACCGAGCTGGCCAGTTGCGATCACCATCGAGACAATTGGTGGTTATTAAATTTTAATTATTTTCTGTTCATTCGATTTCAATCGTGTTATATTGATAATATCTAGTCAAATACATTTTTTATTCAATCGTTTTATTTTTTGCCATATCTTCGTAGTCGTTTGAAAAAATCCCATCAACCCCGGCATTGTTGAATTTGTGATAATGAAGTCTAATGGAATATGGAATAGTATACTGGGTGTCCCTATTCAAATAAGAAAGTTGAGGTGCACTTCGGTGTGACCCTGTATACCTACGATTTATTCAATAGCATATTCCGAGTGAGCATCATCAAATATACTGGGTCACCAAATTTCAAGTCATTCGATCGCGCGGTTGATTTTTTACAGGGGGGGACATTTTAGCTGGGACACGGTGTATATTAAAATTCACTTCTTATAACAGCAGATTGAAATGAAACTATATTTCGAGCCCATTTTCAAACAGAAGATTTATAATATCCGTTGTTCCATTGATTCACAAAACAGATTATTGAATAAAACTCCAATATTATCTATCATCACACGGAATTCGAAACCAAAATTAGAGGAATTGATTGCAAACCTACGTATAATGAAATTGAAAATTTGAGAACGAAACTGAGGAAATCAAGTAAATTGCAACGTGATATAATATCATCATATAGTGTTTTCAATACCGACAAAATTCAAAATTTATCAGTAAAAGTGAATGCAGAAAAAAAGTGGAAAATCAACACAAAATCAAGTTTTGAACTTTTTTACTCGGGTGCAGTTTTACATACAATAAGGGACTAGCTATAAGTATCCATATGTGTTTATTTTGTCATATTAACTATCACTATATAAATTGAAGTGGGTCTTTACACCCAATTTATGTTTTCCATCTACGACAATGATGATTTGACAGAAAATCTAACCTCTAAAATCTGACAATCAGGCGCTACTAGGGGAATTGAAGAGACAGAGACAAAGAGCAGAATATATGTCTTATTCTTTTATTCCCTCAAACAATTGTAATATAGAAATAGAAAAGGACAGAAGTTCAGATGTGTCCGAACTCTTATTTAACTAATAACATCCAGTGACTTTAGGTACACCTAGAGAGAATGATCATCTGTAAAAAAATTCGTCCACTGTACATTAGCATCTGATTTCAAAGATACCATTCATTTGAACTGTAGGGAAGTTGTAGGTTGTATCTGTTCTTCTGATACGTTGAATAAAAAATACAGTAAAAATGGTATACACTGAACTCACCCAGTAAACAAACTAGTTATATTTATATACATATGCCATCAATTTCAAAAAAACGAATGTTCCATAACTCAATTCTCTCAAATTGACGTCAATGTACTGTAAATCGTAGATAAAAAACATAATCCTATTCCCCTTAAATTTACAGCAATGTTCCATATAACAGTGATACTTCATTTACATAATATTCTTATATATTAGTTATATAACATCTTCATAACTATGATTATGTCAATACAATATCTCGGGAATTATGCCAATTTCACATTAATTTATGCACAACAACGACCAATTTAATTGCAGTATCTCTCGAATTTTCACGAGCTAATACGAACGAAGAGGTCTCGTCACTCTAGTCTCTTGTCTAGTCGTCTCAAGTTAGAAATAAAATAGCGTCAGCGTTGTTACGTTTTATTGTGTTATGTTATTTGTAACTTGATCAGCAAGATAAGCGAGTTTCCTTGAGAATTAATTGATCTTAGTTTCAGAAAATTGATTGAAACGTGAAATACTCTATTTAGGTGAGTTGAATAATATGTTTAATAGTTTAATGCTAAAACAATGTCCGCAATTTGAGGTAACTAATTGTTTAATAAAGTACCTATCAGTCAAGTCAGAATATTGAAGAAATTTTGAGATATGATTTTATTGTTTTGTGTCATGGTTTTAGATCACCAATATAAAATCCATAGGAAGCAGGGATATGTAAATCATGGCATCAGCAACTATCGCAAACGAAAATGGAGGTCAAGCAGGAGGTATATTATTGGTATGGAAAAGGTGGAGTATAGGTCGCGTGCACGATGACCGACCCTGGAGGTGAAATATTGAATCACAACTTCACTCTTCTGTAAAACATTGAAACACAATCTCACTTTTTTATTTGTTTACAGAGTATTTCTATTAGCTCCTATCGCAGAAGAAATTCCGATGAGAAATCAGAGAAATTATCTAATTTCAAAATGAAAACTATATGTGAGTAACTAAGTAGGTACTTACTTTTGAATCATAATGTACCAACCGGATTCCTTCGTCTCTCGCTGCATTTTTTGTGCATTATACAACAGCACAATGTGATGGCATGTGCGAATTAATGAATAGCCGAAAAACACGATTCATATGCCAAAATAATTGTGAAAAACGATTTCAACCAGTTGTAAACAAATAAGAAGTGAGGTTGTCTTTCAATGTTTCACCTCCAGGGTGTGTCATCTGACAGTTCTTGCACGCAATCCATAAAAGTGGCAGACTCAACCTCTAAGAACATCGTACAACTTGTAGGTTGGTGAATGTTTACATTTTATGATGTATTCTCTGTTCAATAAAGTATTAATTTACTGATTATTGTTTTTTATTCATAATACCAGAAGTATGGAATAGTAAACTTGCAATTATATAAGTGAGACGTAGTTGTTATCTAGATTCTGACGTCACATTGACATCTCATTGATGTAACAATAATGTTACTAGTGTCACATTGAATTGATGTAACGTGTTACGGACTTTATGCACAGTCAACTCATGAATTTTGAACCTACTTATTACCTTATTTGATACGTACCTGATCAACAAAATTATGTTATGTTTATGCCTTAGTTACGGAAATGTGTTTTCTGGGCAGAAATATAAAAAACTTTTCAAAAAGAGAAACAAAGCTGCTCAAAGTGGGAGTATCGGCATATACAGGGTGACTGAATACTGCCAAAGAATACCCCAAGCTGTATCACAGTGATTTTTCGTCCTATTTTGGCGAAATGAATAGTAATAAACAATTACTCAAATTAAGGAGACACTGATTATACGTGTATGTTCGATTCTTACGCCCAATCTTTATAGGAACTTTTCTTTTAAAATAAAATCTTCTATAGATAGTATCAGTTTTGCTAATACTAAGGAATTGATTCCTTCATTTCCAAAAGTATGCACAAAAATTATTCAAAGGAGTGTGACGGATTAACTTATAAGGGATTAATGCAAATTTTTCTAAGAAAGCAAAAAATTCAAACAACCGTAAATTAACTAGTAGGTCGTGAAGTAACATTTTTGAATATTTGAATGAATAATCTCAGTGAGGATGAAGAATTTTCCTTTTTACTTCAGCTGATGATGAACTTTGACCCAATTTGATGTAAACCTTTCCCAGTGTGGTTTGATTCAAGTTGTGGAGATGATTTAGAGTTATTCTTCTACTGGAAAATATATTTTATTGTTCTGTTGAAAGTACTTAATTTGACACATATCCACCCAATCTCATGTTAAGTAATGGGATCAAACTAGCTGGGGAAGTGTGGTGAGTAATGGAATGCCTCTAACCGTTTTGGATACATACACTTACTGATAAACTTACTACTAATCCACTATTGACCAAACAGGATGAATAATTGAAAAGGTTACTACTAATCCACTATTATCCAAATAGGATAAATAATTGAAAAGGTTGAGTCATGATGTCATATTAAGTTGGGCTTTCAATATGACTGCATTTCCCTTCAAACCGGAAGTCTCGATTTTAACAAAAACGGGTCTATAACTTTCAGTTGATACAAGAAAAATCTTCATTTTTTTTGTAGTGAACAAAAAAATGTAAATAGACCTAGGTATGTAGGTAGGTAGGTAGGTAGGTAGGTACACCACCTGGTGGGGTTTTTGGAAGCTGTTTCAACAGTCTGTTTACATTAGTTCTTGATTGTGCTTATTGGTCATATCAAAACAAAAGGCTCAATCAAGTGTTCAAGTAATAGCAACAAATTAATATCATAAATTTATCATAAAAATGGACTATATTCAAGTTGGCTACCCTTCATCAGAAAAATATATAAATGCAGAAATTTACACAAGAGCATTGGTAAATGGTTCACACTCCACTATTTTTTGTTAGTATGTTTTTCATTGAATTAGAATTATTTGAATTACTTTTTCAGAATCCAGAAGAATTTTTGCCAAAACTTCATCAGAAAATATCTAGTGAAATGTGTAACCTACCACAGTTCTGATTTTTCTCAAAAACTGTATGTCCTATCAAAATTTGACAAGTATAGCCTTTTCATAGCAATTTCATTTGCTCATTAGAGGAAGAGATGAACATTTGAAGAAACCTATTGGAACTTTTTTCATGGGACACAAGTTTTTCCAATGAAAATTAAAATATTGTCATAAAATTTTTTTATGAAAATAATCAAATAAACTTTGATGGTTCATTGTATAGAGATGGTAGGTACCAAGTTAGTAGTTTACCAATTGTTAAGTTACCTAATACCAAATCCCCCCATTTTAATAAAGGTATCAGGCACAGTATCAGGACATCAATTGCAACATTTGTTATTTGAATGAAGTTTACCATGTTGTTTGCAATACTAGTTTATTATTATAATCATCACCTGTGAATGCTTCCTTGAAGTCATGTGTAATCTGCTCAGCAAGCTCAACATGAATTGATTTGACTTGATCACTCAGTTTCTTAACTTGTGGTATATCAGAATAATTCTCAAAATGGGTCATAACTTCACTAATAGCTTGTAGTGGAAGTGCTATTTCTCCATACAAATGTTTTTGTGTGAGGGATTTCAAAGTATCTACCCCACCTACAAGCATATGCAGATGATTGAGAGTTGTGATAGCAAGAGTCAAGTTTCTCTTAGCACAATCTAACTGTTTGATATCTCTTGTTATTTCCCTAACCATTTCTTCAGATTTCTCTGCACGTTCTTTGATATCAGTTATATGCAGGAATAAATGTTTGATGAGTTTTTGGGCTTCCTCTAATGCTTGCCTGCCATCTTCACTTGCAGTTATCTGTCCTCTAACAACAGTGCTGATTTCATTATCAATTAAATTGATTTTATTCTCCATCTTTAGTACAACTTCATCTATGTTGGATAGGGATTGCTCAGTTGGGAAAAGAGAATTGATATAGTCTATACTGTTGAAATCAGGTTCATCCAAAGGATCTTTGCTAGGCAAAACCTGAAAAACCACTGTATTTATCACAGGTAGATATTGAATTTGATTTATTTGTGAAAATTAATCAATCTACAAATACCTTTTCTATCGCTTTTTGTACTAGAGGAGGAAAATGAATGAATAAGTCTTTATCATCATCCTCTGTGATGTCTTCTTCACTTGGTGAGTTTTCCATTGTATATTTTCCAAGATGTTTTCAATTTGATATGCACAAATTTCAAACTGGAATCAACATTTTTTGGAAATATAATTTAATCATCTGAGAATGAGAAACATTTCTACTAGAGAATGAACATAGAGATAAGAGAACACATTATTGAAATATATTATATTTGTTTCAGATATTTCTCCTTGTTCAATTCATATAATTATTTAACATTTCCTCATATTTGAAAAAAACCAACACAATAAAAAAGGAAGTGTATAGACTGCCGACCAGTCGGCATTGTCGGCTAGGAATTATAAACATCTCAGTCGGCAATCTATACTTTTTTTTAGGAATGAAAAATCAGCAGATTCAGTACTGCGTCAGTTGAATTACTAGCCGTGTGAATCAGCCTTTTTGTGGAAATGAGACATTTATTCAAAATTTTCAATCATCATGATACAATTTTTATCAAAAAACGTGACACTGGTCTTTGGGTAACTTCGGATATCCTGGGATGGAGATTGGAGACCCTGCTGCCAGGCAGCCAGATATAAGTTTTATTAAAAAAACGTGACGCCACTGGTCTTCGGGTAACATCGGAAATGCTGGCAAATGGAAATCCTTATCCTAGCAGCTGCCAGTTGCCAGGCAGCCAGGTTCACACGGCTGGAAAGAGTGAGGTTACAATCATCATTTCAGCGAGTGTTTACAGTTGTTTATATTATATGTTCAATATACATTTTCAAATGGTATTTTTATTTTCAAATCAAGCTATTATTTATTGAATAAAGATGGGGAAAAATCATAGACACAAAAAAGATTTGAAAGCAGATAAGGCTAAAGTTAAATTGAAGCAAACAAAAACCAAGTTTCTGCCCAAAGGCCTGAATGTAACAAATACTTCTTTTAAAATCAAGCCCATAGTTTTGGCTGAGCAGCTGAAGGAGAAAGACCAGAATGTTCCTCTGAGTAGACGAAAATTGGACGTCAAAGTAAGTTCAGCAATTCCTTGAATTTTTGGTTTTGTTTTACTTCATTAAAATTGGTTGAGGTATCTGGGAATCTTTGTGATCATTTCTTTTACCATCTCAGTGTAATTCAGAAAGCCACAGTATCAGGAGCTGTATTTCATTGCCACCAAGAGCTCCTGACTTCAACTCCTTTGACTATTCCATTTGAGGCCATTTGGGAAAATTGGTCTCTGCTGTGTATATATAAATGGAGGGCTTAAACTGATTACATCAAAACCTATCAGGAAGTCAAAATGACCAGATATTTAACTATTGATTTGAAAAAGATTGTCACCTTCAACAAAAATTAATTTCACAAAGAGAGAGAAACTCAGTCATTACCACATACTAGTTCATAAAATGAACAATAATGGTAGATAACGGGAGAAAAACAACTACTTTCCTGGCTATATGCCATGCAGAACATTGCATTACATCCTCCTGAAATCAAATCTATGCTATAGTTCCTATAAATGAATAAAATCGCAAGTGTTTCCTTCCTAAATTCATTTTATGAACTAGTATGTGGTAATGACTTTGAGTTTTTCTCTCTTTGTGACCATTGTATTCCACTTTGAGTATTGGCTTTTTCCCTAGTTGAAAAATGAATTTTACTGCAACCAGCTCTGGAAATGAACATGTTGATCAAGATGTTGATAGTCACTGTTATGGAGCATAGAACATTTTTTCCATGATATTTTGGTTTTGGCAACTCTAGTGGAAGTCAATAGGCTGAATCAAATGCAGGTGAACAATCCACTTGAAATCAGGGCTTTGTTTTTATTTAGACATATACCAATATTTTGAACTTTCAAAGGGACCAATTGCCCACAGTGATGGGTTGTTCCGAGGGTTGTTCCAACTGACTTTGCATAGACTTTGACCTTTAACAAAGGGAACATACTTCTACTGAGATGACTTGAACTCTGCTGTGATCACTACACTTATTTTAATTCTGACTCCTTTCTTTTCATCATTATTATTCTCCTTATTATTTCAATGCAAATGCAAAGTATGGAAGTATCATATTTAGAAAATTCTGCTGCAATCACTACACTTCCTTTACTTGCTAGCTGTTTTTTTTTTCATCATTATTATTACAATGCAGATGCAAACTAAGGCCTTTGACACTGTGAATCATAATATTTTATTGACTAAATTATTTGAAGAACAGAAAACAGTATGTTGATGTGAATAATACTTGTAGTTCCTTGATGAATATTACATATGGTGTACCGCAAGGGTCAGTTTTGTGGCCAATTTTATTTATAATTTACATTAACTCAATATCTACTTTAAAATTGAAAGGAAAACTAAAATTATTTAGAGATAATACAACAATAATCTATACTTTGAAATATTTTAACAATATCAATATTAAAAATGATTTGAAACAAATACCATCTTGGCTAACGACCAATAAGTTGACTCTTAATTATAGTAAATCTATGTATATGTACATCTCAAGAAGAACAAAGGATATATTGAATAACAAATCCATTGAATATACAAATGTAACAAAATTTTTAGGTTTTTATATTTGATAAGAATCTCAGAAATTCATGGTATTCATTATATATAAAATTCGTAATTTCATTCCTGTTAGATATCTAAAGAGTACTTATTTCTGACTTTTTTATTCAAATTTACAATATCTAATATCTATTAGGGGAAGTACAAAAATTTCACATTTGAAGCCACTCATGAAATTACAAAATAAAACAATAAAGTGCATTTTCAATTTACCTTTTTTTAGAATCAACTGTAAATCTATACAAAACTAAAGACTTGCTGAATCTAGTTTCATTATATAAACTTAAAATTTGTTGTTCTATTCATTTTGTCAGGAAGGAATTGAAAATATCAAATTTGAATTTTAATGAAGTTGATATGATTCACGCCCATGAAACAAGGCAATTTAATTCATTGATAGCAAATAATTATAAGCCAAATTTTGGTAAACAATCAATATTCCATATTGAAATAATTTTATATAACTCCTTACCTAATCAGTTGAAAAATATTCGCGAAATTCACGAAGTGGGTGACATCTAGGTTACATAATACGAACTTCAAACTGGGGGAAAAAAACTGTTGTCTATGGATAAACTGCATAGACTAGTAGTCAAACTTGTCAATGACATAAAGTGTTGGCACTGTTGGTAGTGATGATGGTTGAGTTGGTTAATTTTTTTACATTATTACATTTTTATTAGTTCAGTGAACAGTGAACGGGTGAAGAATTGGAGATAGTTCAAACAATTCAAACTAATTATGTCGAGCAAATCAATTGACATATAAAAGAACAGCTACAACATGTTTACAATACCCAGATTGTCCTGCTTTGCAGGAACAAATACAAATCCATTGTTCTACAGGAGTTCCTCTGGACCCCAACTTCAATTTTACTTCATATGGGGAAGATTTCATCGCCGAAGTTTGTAGACAAAGTGCAAAAATGTGCCTTTTGTTGAAGTCTTCTGCCTCACGCAAAATCACATGATTAGCACGGAGAACTGCTTCTCCTTCCACTACTGGTCGGCTTTTTCCATCTAAATAGAGCAAAATAACTTCCAAGCCAACAAAGAACATCTACAACAGGCGTTTTTGATCGAATATTGACAATTCATGTCAAGAAATTTGAAAACTTATCACTCTTATCAGTACACAGTACACAAGCTAATGACACTAATGGGGTTGAGTGAGGATTGAGTTTGTTTTCCCCCAGTTTTGACGTACCTTTGTCATGGAACGATGACAACTGAGCGCCACCTGGTAACATTGATTCCCGCGAATAGAAGCAGAAAAATGTAAAATCAATTTGAAGAAATAACTGCTCAGTAATCTTTAATTCCATATCATCTAATCATTCACAATTTGATTACAATTTTTTTTTATGAAAAACAATAATTGTGCAATTATTATAGTTTCGTTTTATTTTGTTATATGTATGTTTTGTTGTAGGTATATATCCCTATCATGAACAATAATGTTTCTTGGGGTAATAAAGACAATCAATCAATCAAAAATATTTAGGAAATTCCAGTATTATATTTGCTTTCGCCTGTTTGTAATAATTTTTTTGTTTTTATTTTTTTTTGACCTCTGCAGCACTGCAGTGCTTATGCACCAGCCGCCACTGAAATAAGGACAAATTGAATGATTTTTCCCAAAACTTCACTGCCTTCAAAATGTCTTTATTAGAAACCCAAAAAATAAATTCAATCAATAGTCAGTTTTCCTGTAAAAAAATCTCAATATAATTGAAACAGAAAACCAAGTTTTTGGGATTCACTTTTAGCAATTGATCTCACGTGATTTTCCCACGAAAGGTCATTGCTGATAGTGATACCAAGCATCGAAATGGATGTCTTCAAAGGTATGGTTACTCCTGACAAGCTTATGGTGGGCACAGTGAGATCGGCTTTTCTAGAGAAAAGGCATGCTTGTGTTTTTTTGCATTGAAACTTCCAACAAATCGTTGATATGGAGTAGAAATAGTGTTGGTGCTAGAATTGATCCTTGCCAGCATTTATGATAAGAGAGTCAGATGAAACTCCGTCAACCACTATATGGAGAGACCTGTTTGAGAGAAAACTAGCTAGCAGATAAAATAGCTGGGGAGGCAAGCTATAAGATGGAAGCTTGGCGAGGAGTCCGTGGTGCCAGACTCAATCGAATGCCTTGGAGATATGAAGTGCCACGGCTAAGGTTTCACCATATTATTCAATAGATTGCTGCCATATATGTGAGACGTAAGCGAGCAGGTCACCAGTTGATCTCTGATGACGGAAGCCATATTGCCTATCGTTGATAATACCTGAATGTTCCAGGTATTTCATGAGCTCGATGTTGATAGCTTTCTCCATGATCTTTGAAATAATAGATAGCAGTACGATCGGTCTGTAGTTGCTAGGTAGGGTCTTTTTGCCTTTTTTAGGTTCTCGTACTCTTGCAATTTTCGGGTTGGATGGGAATATCCCCAATTTGTTAGAGTAGTTGAACAACTTGCAGAGAACAGGTGTTAGTTCGGGAGCACATTTCTTGAGGACAATCGGTGGGATTCCGTCGGAGCCACAAGCTTTGTTGGTGTTGAGACCCAATAAAATCTTCCTTATAGTACGTTGGCGAAAGGTGATCTCGGGCATATGACTGTCAATTGGCGTTATGTTTGGAAGTTGTTTTCCCGATGAATCCAGAGTGGAATTTCCAGCAAATTAATGCGCAAAAATGTTGGCTTTCTCCTGGGCAGTTGTGGCTAGTGTTCCATCTTCCCTGGTTAGAGGAGGAAACGAGCTGGAAGTGAAGTTTCTTCCTACAGCTTTGGCGAAGCACCAAAATGAAACGGGATCTGTTAGGATTTGTGATCTTCTCATAATTAAACTGTTGGAGATTTATTGTTACTTTACTATGTTCATTTTTGGCAGATGTATCTCATTCTACGTTAAAAAGTGCATGAAGAAAGTTTTTCCGTTTAGAGAAATATCCAAAAATAAAAATGTTATGGCATATTTTCGAAATCGGTCAAATATCAAATTTCGCCTATCTCTCGGAAACGGTTAGAGATATCGAAATGCGGTTTTCACCAATCTACGTTTCACAAAAATCGAGCTTTAGACCCTTTGGTTAGTTTTTCTCTATCTGTTCTGGAATCACTTAAGATCAGTCTACCCCTGATCGTTCCTTCTCCACTAATTGCTGATTAATTGATTGACTGATCATGTTTGTTCATTTGTGAAGCATCCTCAGAAATCTTCTTTTTTTCAGGATTTACTTAACAGACTGAAGCATTACAATGAGAATGTTCGATGTACTGCTTGTGAAGAATTGTCGTCAATGTTCAAAATTCATAGTGATGAGCTCATTCAACAGAACTTATCAGAAATTATACTTGCTGTCAGCACTTTAATGCAAGATAGGGAGAGCAAAGTGAGAAAGGCAACAGTCAAAGCAATCAATACCATTTTGGAAAGTGTGAGTATCTTGCAAAATAATCTTCATCCATCAAACAGATGGGTGAACGTCAACCTTACTTTGGATCTTAGACTATATGTGACACATTATTTTTTTATTATAAAGTGGTATTTTTGTTGCAGACTCCTCAAGAGAAATTAGAACCGTTTTTCAATTATTTCTCAACGAATTTACGTTGTGCTATGACGAATATCAGTAAGAATATCCAAGAAGATTCTCTATTTTTCTTGGACTGTTTCATAAACAATGACTGTGGGCTTATTACAAAAACGGCAGAAAAGCTATTGCCAGATTTTTTCACACTTATTTCTAAACTTCGAAGTGATTCCAATTTAAATCGCACGCTAACACTGAACTTAGGAAGCAAGATGACCAGTGTGACTTGGAGAATAAAAGTATTGAATAAATTGCATGCTGTATTGGAATGTATATTGAGGAAGAACATATATGAAAATACTAGAACAGCTAAAATGTGAGTAGATTTATTTGAACATTTTTCGACAGTCCTAGTAGTCCAAGAGAAGGCTGCAAATTTCGACCGTCATCTGATAACGAAATGATATGTCCCAAAGGCATGTAAACATACTGTAGTTCATCTAACGGCACCTGTGCCAATCAATATCCTGAGCAAAATGATTGAAAAATTACACTACAATTTTGCACTCGATTTCGCGATTTTGATAGCAAGATAAGAATTATGCCATCCGATACCAATTGAATGGTAGATTTCAAAAACCTTCCTGTGCCACACCTCAGTCTGAGCCAAATCTACGGCACAGCAATTTATTTGCTGCTATTATTCCGGACATACTTCCGTCATGTGATAACGAGTTGAAACAAGAAGCAAATAGAAGGGGATGATGTCACCTTTGCGAATATCCAAATGTGCTGCGATTCAAACTGATATGAGTTAGTGGCAGAGCGTCAATACTTCCGAAAATTTTGAATTGACTCGGCCGTTACTTGATGGAAATCCATGCCAAATGTAAAAACTTCACAAATGATAAGATTTCTACAAAAATCTTATACACACAACATGTTTCGCTAACACAGTAGCTTCGTCAAGTGATATACAACCAACGTTGGCTTGCTTAACTTCTTTATATCCTACTTTCCCAACTTAGCGGGTTAATTACCTGTGGACAGAATCGATAAACCTCTATTTTCGGAAATTAGGCACAATGTAATAATAAATTACGGTATACTGGATTAACTTGAAGTTTGAGTTTGTTGATTTCTAATGATTCAAAATGATTGAGTTTCATTCCTTTATTTTCTACATGTAGAATTTCGAAATTATCATCAAAACTATGGTTTTCATCTAATATATGGTTGGCGTATGTTGAATTTGTTTTCTTTTTTAAAAAATTCATCTTATGTTCATGAATGCGCTGATCAAACGTACGACCTGTCTGACCGATATGTACCTTAGGACAAGATCCACAGTTGAGTTTGTATACCCCTGATTTTTCGAATTTAGAAGTTTTGTCTTTATTATTTTTGATAAACCTTCCCAACGTGTTATTTGTTCTATAATTTTCAAAATTTCACCCTACTCGACAACACAAGATTCATTTCATTTGATGTTCAAAACCTATTTCCAAGTATACCTCCCGAAGATACAATAATTTTAGTTGAAGAGTTATTAGATGAAAACCATGTTAATCCGATTACCAAACAAGAGATTTTAGACCTTCTGTCGATATGTCTCAAACGAAATTACTTTCAATTTGACAACAAAATATATTCCGCGGCAAAAGGGTTAATTATGGGAAATCCACTGAGCCCTTTACTTACTGAAGTTTTCATGGATAACCTAGAGCAAATAATACATAAACATGCATTGATAAAACAAAGTTTGTACTGGTATAGATACGTAGATGACTTGATAGTATGCTTTAAAGGAACCAATAGACAATTAGACAGTTTTCACCAATATATCAATCAATATCCAAACATAAAATTCACAATGGAAATGGAAACAGAAAAGTCAATCAATTTTTTAGATTTGACAATAAGTAAAATTAATGATAAACATGATTTTTCAATTTTTCATAAACCTTCCCACACTGATATCACTATCCATAATAATTCAACACACCCTTATCAACATAAAATTGCAGCATATAATAGTATGATACACATGTCCCTCTTCCAGAAGTAAATTTTAATAAAGAACTCAATATTATAAATCAGATTGCAGTCAACAACGGATACAACGTTAATCTGATAGACAGTATTCTTTCTAAAAAACTTCATAATAAAGCTATTCAAGAAGTTTATCCTACCATCAAGAATGATAATCAAAATTATAGAACTTCAACCTATTTCGGATCATCAACGATCAATTAGATCTCTTGCTCTTTGATCTAACTGAAATTTGTTTATCAATTCAATTTGAATTTACAATTGCTGTCTTTTCCATTTTCAATTTGTCTTATACTTATATAAAATCATGTTTGGTTTTCTATTGTAGATGCACTTTGTTATATTCTTTTGACTGAAGATGGCCATTTGAATGGCCGAAACATGTATCAACCTTAATGAAGCAGGATTGACTGCCAGATTATACATTAAATATTGTGGAGACGACTTTGGGTTTTTTCTCTATTAATATTCTTTACTACCAAGGTGTATGTTGAATTTTTTCACCACTAGCAATATATTATTTCAATTATTATAGTTCTGTGAAACTGAAATGTGGACCTATGTCACTATGAAAGCACTTCTTTTCAATTCAAAAATGTATTTATTCTTGTCAAGCTGTGATACATCGTTAAATTCAGAAAAAATAGTAAATTCAGAAAAAATAGCTGGTTCATATGAGCAGAAACTGTAAAGAAACCGCTGTTTGACGTTGAAAATAAAATGAAATTTGCAACAGTCTTTATCAAACCATTGCATTTGTTTATTCATGTTGTTTGAAAATGATAATGATGTGAAAAAATGTGGAGTTACATTTTGTGACATTTTTTATATAGGTACTGTCTAGGCAGTAGTGACTTTGAAAAATGTTGAACCAAATTGAGACAATTTTATTATGCATTGCTCAGAAAACAATGAAAGTTGGTGCATCGTCTATAAAACATCAATTTTTCAAAATTTCGATTGATATTATAGTGTTTTTCAAAAAAATATGAATCCACCTCAATCACTATGTTACTTTACGATTCTTAAGGGTGAAACAGATATCGAAACATAAATCTAGCATCAGGAAAATGCAAACTTGCATTTTTAATAAATCTGTTGTATTTTCATGGCGTAACATTCTTGAACCCCTGTATTTTGTTGAGATTTTTAGGGAAGTGGATCATGTAGCTGCTAATTCTGGTAACATATTTCCAATTTATAAGGACTCATTCAGCGACGTACTAGAATGTACGGATATCAGTTGTATGGTCAATTCAAATAACGTCGGTTCTACTGCATATACTTTGGATAAACATATAGTTACGTTGGTACCATTGCTTTATGAAACTTGGCTAGAAGTATTACCTGAAAAGAGGTCCACGAAAACGGTCACTGGTAAGATTTTTGTTGAAAATATACATTTTTATTTAGCTCTTTTTAATATAAGCTCTGTAAGAGATAGTAAAAATACCATTTTTTTAGGGTTTCACTTAGGTTTTCAAATACTATACTTAAAAAACAATTGTCCCACTCCTCCTGGAATGAAATAATGGAAACATACAGGGTGGGTCACGGTCGATGATACCTTAGACGTTTGCGAAGAACGGGAATAGGATCATACTAACAATTTGGTTACTCACGTAATTGCTCTTGGTCTATCGATCTAGAAAATTTTCACAATGCAGGAAGTAGTAGCAACTACCAAAGCATTGAAAAAAACTTCGATATTACATTCTTAGATTCTTCCTGAAGAGCTGATTTCATCACACTTGGGGTCTAGCTGGAATGATCACAGAGATATAGGGTTTTGTTTATACAGGGTGTTTCCGAAATAGGAGCGATCTTTGAAATGGGTAATAGAAGACGAAAAAACAAAACAAAATGGAAGAATACATTTTTGCGAAAAACAAATTATTTTGGAAGATATTGAATTTTGAAATTTTAGCATGGCCCAACACTGGTCAGCCGCGACAATAGAGTTCCGACTAGCTAGACTCTATAGAGGTCACCGACCGCCGTCGACTCGTAATGATCAAGGGCAGAGGGATCTTGTGGGGGTTGAATAATTACTTATGGTTTAAAGGAATTTCATTATGGTAAGAGATGAATGAGTTGTTGAACTAACCAAGGAGGATTAATAGAATATTTTTTTTCACCAGTAGTTTAAGAATAGTGTCTTGATAAGATGTGACAGCTTTGATAGTTTCATGTGTTTACATTACCAATCTTGTTGTTATCCAGTGTAGAATGCATCACAATAGCAAGCTAAAAAACAGAAATTCTAGGAAAATAATGCGAATAGGTATTCGACAGAAAATATCAAAATTAATTTTATTCAGTAAGTTTAGTGCTAGTTGATAATCTACATAATTCACATTATTTCTATTTTTGAGTAGCTTTGTTTAATTTTTAACAATCCAAAAAAAACCTTGATGATAAAAAAAGAATTCGCGACTCCTGAAATCGCACGAATTCAATACTATCCGAATAGAAGCTTCTAGAGACAGGACGCAAATGAAACAGGTAGACAGTTAGTAGGCGAGAGCTTATTATACCTCTTCGCAGTAGGTTACCTACTAGTTTGTCATTTAGATCGACAATGGTTGAACTATGCCATTACATTTCAATGCATTACAGTATTAGAGGGAGGAAGATATCATACAAACTAAGAATTCTATTTTTCCTTCAATAAATAGGAATCCATTTTCACATACATTATCAGAAACAGAAAAAAGAGACTATTTCATTGCGTCAGAGAAATTGAAATTTTAGAGACATGTAGGCTGCCTATTGTCCGTAAGAAATGAAATGTATTTTTCTGCTGCGGGAAAAAAATGACAGTTTATCTCTATTGATAGGTAACTAAATATCACTTTTCATAAATTTACTTTTATCGATTGAAAAAGGTCTACTTTCTCATTTTTGATTGATCGATTTTATTTTCAAGTTCTTATTGTTTGTGTTCAATAGATATGATTCAATGTTCGTCGTGGCATATAGCCACCAGAGTAGTTGTTTTCATTGAATATACCGAGAAAGAAATAATATTGTTGCCACATAGAGAATGCGAATTCTATATGTATTTCTTTATATCATTCAATGTTCATAATATATCTGAGAATGTTGCTTTTCAATACTGAGATATGTGGTGTTCAAAATTGAGCTTATTCAACTTTAGGATTTTTTTGTGTCGAAACTATTCATCATCGGTCAAAATGGCTTACATGTCCCTATCTCAACTTTTGATTTACTATCTAGTGACTTTCAATTACAATAAATACAGGGTGGTTCAAGATTCAGAATTCTGATCACCCTGTATATGTTCTATTTAAATGTCAGTAGATAGTAAATCAAAAGTTGAGATAGGGACATGTCAGCCGTTTTCACCGATAATGAATAGTTTCGATACAAAAAAATCCTGAAGTTGAAAAATCTCTGTTGATCTCTGTAATCATTTCCGATAGACCCCAAGTGTGGAACATTGATGAAATCAGCTCTCCAGGAAGAATCTTAAGATGTAATGAAATACAGGGTGTTCCATTTGAAATATCAAAGTTGCTACTTCTTCCTGGTATAATTAGCAATGCTCCATTGCTGAAAATATTTCAGATCGATAGACCTAGAGCAACTACTTGAGTAACCAAATTTTCAGATTGATCCTAAACGCCTAAGGTACCATCGACCGTGATCCACCCTATAACCTCATAAAACTAGCAAAAATCAAACAACAACAATAATAATGATAATTATATACTATAGATGATCAGCCAAAACCTATTGCACTTCTGTCGATTTGGAAGGGTAGTTCATTCATAGCTCAAAATCATCTTTTTTTTATAGAGAGTACCTTATTGAGTGAAGAAGCTGCATCAATACTATCCTGTATTATGAAAACACTACACTTATTGTGGAAATATTCTGAACAGGTTAAAAATGATGAAGAATTTATGGTAAGTTCCATTTGTAATTTCTCGAATATGCATGGCAAATGAAACATGCACAAAAATTCCACAAAACTCTCCCTGTTTGGATATTTGAAAATTACTAATTCCCTCTTAGTAATTAAAAATAACTGAACAGTTAAAGAATATCAGAATCTTGCTATGAACATTTCTGAATGTTACATTTTCAATTTTTTTAAAAATCGTTCGTTATTAGTCCACAGACGAGACACCTTTTAAAAAATGTCGCTTCTATGGTATCTCTTAACAATTTCAGATTCATGATATAAACCACAAATTTTGTATGACATTGCAATTGCGATGTGATTTTGAATAATTTCATTGAACAATTCTGAAAATATCAGCTGGTTGGTAATAAATTATCATTATTTTGACAACTTTCGAGGTGGTGCATTTTTGCACTTTTGTTGATCAAATATCACAAAGTGAATAGAATACCTCTTCCGTGGACTAAATCTTTGTATTAATAATAAAACTTAAACTAATCATATCTACATATGTCACGTGTTTTAAGTAAAAGGGTTGAATCGAAGGATAAACTGGTTTTTCAATAATTTTTTCAGATTTTTAGAATTTTCTCTTTTCCCTCCAAAATGTCACTGCGTTTTGAAAATGTTGCTATCAGAGAGCCTAAAAGAAAAATTCAATCAGTTATCAGTGATACGTTGTTTCAAAAAATGTTTGAAACATGGAGAGAAAATCTGAAAAAATCATATATATATTTTGACCCTCACCTACAGCTCTCGTCATCTACCATTGTTGTTCATTTTATGAACATTTGTGGGAGTGCTTTTCAGCTTTTTTTCTATTTATTCAATCTTTTGACTTGACATCAAACATGGAGAGAAAATCTGAAAAAATCATATATATATTTTGACCCTCACCTACAGCTCTCGTCATCTACCATTGTTGTTCATTTTATGAACATTTGTGGGAATGCTTTTCAGCTTTTTTTCTATTTATTCAATCTTTTGACTTGACATCTCTGTCGGTTTTGCTATTGAACTGAGTTATTCCGTAGGGGGAAATTACGAAATAGTAAACAACTGTTTTTGACTTTTTTTCCTATTTTGCGATTCGCATTTGTTTATTTAAGGAGTTCCTGAAGATAGTACGGATGAAACCCTACAACTTTCATATTTGAAGTTTTTTTCCACTTCATATAGTCGAAGCTGTAGGTAGGGGTCAAAATATAAGGATACACTTGTACCACCTCCTCGATTAACCTACTTTGATTTTTCGAATTTGTCTCCAATTTCATACTCATCCACACGCGAGTGTAGACTTTGTAATATTTGTCATTGTTTGTAATTGTGATTTAACGTTTCAGAAAGAAATTTTTCTGTCGACAGATGGGAAGAAATTCATGACCAATCTTGTAAAAAACTTTCCTTACTGTCAGAATGATAATGTTTCTGCACAGCAAAATAAAACCAAAGGGAAAGGTCTGAGCCTAGATATCAACCGTGATCCCAAATGTGTGAAAGAAAACATTATGATATGCTATATGTTTTTCATTCTGAACGGAAGTATTCATTCCAATACAAAACCATTGGAAATGGAAGCCATAATGGCATACATAAACAGTAAGTCAAACAAGAGCAATCGAAATTACGAAATAGTAATTTTCCTAAGAAGTGCGAAAAGACACTTTCCTCATGAGTTAGGAACAATATTTTGTACACAGGCCTACGAAATTGATTAATTTGTTCAATTAATCATTCATACTTATAGGAACAACTACAAGAGTAATATATTCTATATCTACTAATTATGCTTATGAGGTGTTTGGCCTCTAGGTTTCAGACATTTCTAGGAAATGTGCCAAAAATACTTCTTCTTTATTTGGTGTTTCCATTTTTATATTGGTGCATCATTCAATAAAACGCGTGTGTTGCTTCTCATACCTTTGTTGAGACTTCGTTGGCAATAACGCATCTGTATCGCATCTTTAGGATCTGTCATTCCGATCATTACAATCTAATATTTTGCGAGAATATGATATAAATGTTTTTCCCGCACTACTGCGGGAAAATGACACTTTCCAAACTAAATTGCGTGCTAGTATAGGGTGAATCACGCACGCTTGTAGAAAACCCAATAATAAGCAGTGCTATAGTGCTTTGTTTCACTAGCGAGAATACCAACTTTTGAATTTGACATGATCATGGGATGTAAAATGTCACTCAATCGTTAAGTAATTTTTTTATCTCGGTGCTCACGAGAGGGAATTCCCATAATGTTCGAAGAACATCTTGCCTACCGAGGATAGGGAGAAGAAGTAGGCATTGGGTTAAAAATGAGTAATATAATTAAAGTTATTTTGATTATTCGATAAACATGCGAGTTCACTTTGTAGAAGACTCAGAATTAAAAAAAATGTATGGCCCTAAATATATTTCCTTCAGATATACTTGAAACCAAATTTTTTTCAATTCTTTGGAGCCCACGAAAGGGAATCCCTATTATGTTAGAGGAACATCGTGCGTAACTGCAGAGGATTGGGAGAGAAGGTAGATTTTGGTCATAATAGCTAAACCTCAAAATTTTCTTAGACACATCAGAAGTATAAGATGTCCTAAATTGGTAATTTGCATAGGGTATCTCTGTTATTATTTGCTCCAAATAAAGCGACCACGTTTTCCTGCCCTCTTTTTTTGAGACAACTGTAGTAGAGTTCCACTTTCATTCGTTACCATAATTTCTCTTCTGGACAATAGTCTTTAGTTTAGGCGTCACTGTTGACTTTTCAGTTTTTAACCATTGAAGTTGAAGTGTAAAAAGCATGTAAGTATATGCCATTGAAGTTGTCTAAAAACAATCGGGATACGTGGTCTGTTTTTTTTTTCTTTTCGAGAATGAATATTAACGACGATGCGTGACGCCAATTTTGGGAAGCTTGTTAAATGTAACCAATATTTCTGGGAGTAGTTCTCAATTACCGGAATTTGAATGTTCTATATATATTCTTTATTCTTTTCAGAATGTCTGCAGTCTAGGAAAATCATTCGTGGAACCAACATACAATATTTGATTGAATTCTTAAAAATGTGTTTGTTAGAGAACTCCTATCTATGGAAAAAAGCCGGCTCAAAAATCGTTAGTGTTTTAGAACATACTATTAGTTTTTACAATAGTAATATGATGAGTGACAAGTATAAATTGGAACTATTTAAAGTTCTATGTGGTGTGGCAGATACAATTCAATTATATGGGTAATATATATTTTACAAAATTATGAAGAATATCAATAGATACAGATTCATCATGAAAATAATCTTTGAGGAAAATATTCCAAAATATTCAAAACAAAGTACAGACCATTGTAACTAGCTTTTCCATTCTGATCGACAATGTACAGACTTTTGAATATCATTCAGTTTTTAGGTGTAACTGGAAATAACTTGTATATATTTGTGTTTCAGACCTGATAATAAAGGCAATTTGCCAGTTTCAAAAACTTCATTCTCTGGGTAAGTCAAACCATATAAAAATTAATATTATTTGTATCTTATATTCGTATTTAGTGGCAGAATTTGAAGCAGCCTGAAGTCCATATGGCAATATGCATTTCATTGTATAATATTCTGTACAAGAATCAACTCGTCATATCCATAATTCACCTACACTTGCAAGAAAAGAATAATCAAACCGGACTGTTTATTTCAAAAGTCCCCAAAATGACAAAAATCTCGAAAAACTTAAGACTTTGTGCTGAAGTTAAATAAAACGTCTCCCGTCAGCTCCTAATGGGTTTGCATTAGGGTCCCTTGATGTAACTTGACGTATTTGTCATCTTAACAGGGTACGGACAGATCCTCGTCTCCTCTCACTCTAAAGTGTTTGTGTAACAGTTATATAGTTCCATATTTATTCATTTATGGTGATAAACACTAGATTTCTGACATTTGTTGTTTTTTAGGTTATATTGAGAACATTGGCGTATCATACGTAATTTCCACATGTAATTTCTCATTCAACTCTACATATTATATCCAAATGATGATGATAATTTTCGAGTTTTTGATTCTTCAACTCCAGCATAATCTTTGTGAGGCAGTGAGCAAATTTTTCTGAAAGTTTAATACGTTTCACTAATGGGACTGTTTTTAGGCAGTACCTATCGATAAATGAATTTTGATTTCAGACTAAGCCTTATGGTTGAGAAATGGTGAAAAATTGTATGTAGGTATTCAAATTAATGTGCTCATATGTTATGTGTGCTGTATATATTCATGTTGGGAATCATTTTTGCAGTTTTTCACGAACACTTAATATTTCCTGAATGTAGGTATAATTTTTTAAATGGTAGGGCATATGCCTCTTCTTTTAATACTCCTATAAAATCAAAACTGTTTCTACTGAAATGCATTCAAAAACTTGTGGAGTGGATAATTATAGGCACAATGAGAAAGTATAATATGTGATTTCGTATTAGTTTTACCTCGAATATTTTGCTATTTTGCTGATGTATTTACCAATTTTCCCCATTCGGTCACTTTCACTTTCTATGTTCTAAGTTTATTTGCATTTGATGGAAACCAAAATCACTAGATGATTGAAAGAGAAAGGAGCTATGATCTGTCCGTACCCTGTTAGATGACAAATACGTCAGTTTGCATCAAGGGACTTACGAAAAACATCGAATTTGGTCTACTGTGTGATATGTATGAACAGTGTGACGTCAAAGCTATATTTAATATTGTTTATAAGCTATTATGAGTGTTTGCAAAATACCAGTAGTATCAGGTATTTCTAAACGCAAAACTGATTGCATTGTCATGTTCGTATACCTCTAAAGTGGTCATATATCAAATTTCACTATTTTCAATTAAAAACATTCTGTATACAATATTGTATTCAGGGTGAATTTTTTTTTCAGAAGTATCCGAACATGATGCTGCAATTAGTTTTGCATTCGAAGATTTCCGGATATTATCAACAGTTGTTTTGTCTTTATCAGTCATAGTTGGCCATGCAATAGTGAAATGAAGAAATTGAATATATATTAATGTAGATGTCATCGAGAAATACATGTTGAAGATAATTTTTGATATCGGTCCATGAATAAGAATATACAAGGGTGATGCTACTCAAAGTGAAACAATGTAGATCTGTTTCCCATTTTGTTGAATAATTCTTTAAGAAATGTTTCTATTTTAGATGTCCTCAATACAATGACTGGCTATCATCTCTACCAGATCTCTTGTGTATGCCCTCAATAAGTGACACTATTGTATCCAGTTTACTCGAATTGTCCAGAAAAAACAACGCTGTTGTTCATAGAGCTCTTCTGAGCAAGTTACCTAATATTCTAGGTGAGCATCTCTAAAATATACTTACATCATTTCCCAGCTAAACTGATCCCTATTTGCTGACGGAAGGTCTCATTGAATTTATGATATGTTATTTCATTCATAATCTGACCAATCACAAGCCAGAGACAACGTGTCCTTATTGTAAAAACATGAGCTAACTTTCAATTTTGATTAGTCTGACAGCGTTCATGTTTTCAACGATGTAACCATGGATAGCAAATCAAAGTCAGGATGTAACCATAGGTAGCGAAGCAAAATCTGTCAGTTTAACATAAAATAATTATGGCTGTACTTGTCAGAATGAATCACTCATTTACAATAAATGCTTTTTATGCTTCGTGAACGTGAAATAGTGTAGCAAAATACCTCTCTGTTCTGAATATCTTCTCATAATTCTGTCTTTCATTGTTACCTCAATTGTGTTGCCGTACAGCAATACCACTCGGCCTGTCGGACTCGTGGTGTTGCTCGGCAACACAATTTCTTGAACAATGAAGCGACAGAATTATCTCGAATGTTCAGCACATCGTGATATTACTTATGACCATATTATACTTGGACAGGGAGAGGCATTTCGTGATGTATGAATGTAAGGTATCCTGTCAATGCTAGTTGAAGTTAGTTCCAGAATTGAGGGTCCAAGAATTTGTTTCTGCTCTGATTTTCAATCATTCACAATTCAAAGTTTCTGATCTAATAGGAAGTGAATAATTGTTCGAAGTGACCCTGATTTTATTCACATTTGACAACATTCTACATAATATGAAATGCTTTACCCTTGAAAATACGATCAATTTGATTTCCAAAAAGATGCTGCACATCTCTACTCTCAAGTTGTGGCTGATTTTATGATACTATGATATGATCTATGCCACATTTTATCAAGGAACACAGGGTGTGGGATGAGAAATGGACCGTTCAACCTTACCTTTGATTGGTCTAGACTCCAAGCGAGTTGACACTAGCGTTAACGTTATTAATGACTGTTATTGATGAAGAATGTTTTTTTTTTTTAATTCTTTCTGACCAGTCTGGAATAAAATCCAAAGTTGAAATGATTGACTATCGATGTTTTATCTATACGTGAGTATCGCCAATCAATTTATATGATATAAATAACTTCAATGTCAACTAATTAATATTCTTATTGTGACATTCACTCGAAAAATAATAATTCAATCAATATCATTCTCAAATATTTGTCTTCGGCAGTTTTGCAAGCTAATCCATACCATCTTCTCTATTCTAATCTGGAACATGCAATAGTTCAAGTCATTCTGAACAAAAGACCTCATGGGCACTATGAATACATTATTCGTTTTATATTTTGTTCCATAGCAAATAATGGAAAACGCTCTTCTCAGGAATCAAGATGTAAACTTTGAACAGGAGAACAGAGTGAGGCACTATAAGGAGCTTTTACCAATCTTCTCTTGCAATTGGTCGACAACCCCAGGATATGGGGCTATACTATTTCTATAATGGAACATGACCTATACTTGGTGATTCTCTAAGGTGGCTCACCCCTATAACTTTTTTATCATTGAAGATAGGATACGAAATTTGGAGTTGTGTAATATGGTTCAATTTACATTTTTTACACTTGATTTTCCGAACTTCCGGTGCGACCAGAAATGACCCCAACTTTCAATTTTTAAATGGGACATCCTTTATATTTTTACTTATTCCGATCGAGAATAACATTCTGAATCCACCAACACCTCACTTGTCAATATCTGGCGAATGATGTGATTTTTAATTAAATTTCAAATTTTCGATCTTGAATGTCATGGATCATGTGAATTGCTTCATTTTTCATCATATTACATGGAAAAAATACAACTTTGATGCTTAAACTACAGTCGTTTTAGGAATTATATAAAGCAAACATGAATTTTTCCAGTTAACTTGATTTTTTCGAATGTAATGGGGATGGCTTATTGGCTATTTATGATATATCATTTTCGTACGAATAATTTGAAGGTCATTGTTATAGAAATAGCTACTATGTTATTACTTAGTTATTTGATAGTTTAGAGTTACGTCGCACTGTACAAAACAAGATGACGCAGCCAGTCAGGGTCTTGTCAAGAGTGGAGACAAATGGCTGAATAAATAAAAACCTTGTTGAGTTCAAAATGTGAGTGCTAAACAGTCATTCTCGATCGAAATAAGTAAAAATATATATGGTGTCTCATTTAAAAATCGAAAGTTGGTATCGATCATTTCCGGTCAAACCGGAAGTACGGAAAATAAAATGTCAAAAAATGCAAATTCCGTTATCCTATCTTCAATAATAAAAAAATTATAGGGGTTAGCCAACTTGGAGAATCACCCGCTATAGTGATCAACTATTACTTCGATTTTGAAGACGCAAAATATGATATATATCTTTTAACTCAATTTCTTTTCTTGTTGAATTGTTTTAATCCAAAATTCAACTGAAGAGTCCATTGTGCATAAGAACGATTCTCATCATTTACTATAAAAAAATTTGAGCGCCAATAATGTCTAAACTAGCCTATATAAAAAATTGGCTGATGGATACTCTTCATTCACATTGACTTGAACTGCATCATTTCCCAAATTCAGTCAATTTGACATGAGGCCTCTATTCCTGTCGACGTAGGCGGTATACTTCGTTTCTTAACCTCACTGGTTACAATAGGTCACATGATACATTAAAGTCTATGGGTAGTTATTCATGGATTCAACGTGATACGCAAATATCTTTATAATTTGTTCTGTGATTCCATTCGTATGCGCCAGAAATGTATCATGTCTTGGGACCAATGAAACAAACAAAATCAAACATGCAATACATCTCATTTCACCATGTGCTCATCCATAAGGACGTGTTTAAAGATCAAGAAATTTTCCAGAAAACTTGGATTCATTGAATGTGATTGTTACTCTGCCTACTATAAGTAACCCAGAGGAGATGATGAAGCGAAATATTTTGTTCATGTATATTTATGTGCCAAATATATCACGCGCTTGTATGCAGACATTGTCGAATTACATTTCGAAGCACGAAAAAAGTCAATTTATGGACTATTTATTGGTAAGAAATATCAGTTTATTCTCAATCTTGTACTAATAAACAACGTTTTCAGGACGAGCTGCAAAAACATTGTGAACGTTGAGCTTCTACATGTAAAGCATTATATTTGGTCAATTTTTTTTTGTTATTTGAAAGAACATATTAAAATTATGTCTTTCAAAAAATTGTTGCATAATTTGATGTTATATTTAACAACATAATATTTCTTGTCTGTCGACTTCTTGCTTTGCTTCGAAGATTCGGTACTTTTTTTATCTGAAGGACTTTTACTGGCCTTTTCTTTCTTACCAGATTCCTTAATTTCTTTTTTCTTTTTCAACAATGCCTCCGTAGTACCAAATCCAATTTTTATACTCTTGGAAGAACTTTCTTCTAAATGCAATTGATTTTCCTCAACATTGAGCAATTCAAAAAAGGAAGCACCTGCAAATAGAAATTGATTGATTGACATTTGTAACAATAAATCCACATTATTCAATATAAATCTGCCAAGTGTGGCAAGTCACTGCATAACGTTTGTATTGTATAAAACATGAGAACCAGAAGATTCTAGTTATTCTTGATGAAATTGATAAATGTCTGAGTTGGGTGATTTTCAAACCGTCATAAAATGTATCTTGAATATCTTGGATAGACCACAATTCAGATGGCTGCCATTAAAAAAAAATAAACATTTACTATGAGTTGAGACATGTAATCAATCAAGACTTCGTATAATGATGGTTTCACGTTATGAACTTGTCTGCAAATATTTTGACAGGTGATGAATTTCTGGTATACCTTCAATTTTCGTGAAATTATTTCTGATAGAATCTTTCTCAACTTCTGTTAAATTGCCGGAAACAGCTTCTTTTTTCGAAACTTTTTGTTTACTCTTCTCAGGCTTCTGAGATTTTTTCGCTCTATTTCCCTTTTTTTCATGATCGACGTCCTTCGTTTGGCAAATTTCCAGTTGGCTCCGATCAATTTCTCTGAAGAACCCTTCAAGTTCAACAACTTTTTCAAAATTGATTTTCAGCTTGGCACTACTTTTGTTGATTATCTATAAAAAATCGGTTCATCTACAGTACTTCCATTTGAAGATTGCACAAAGAAGGCCAAACTGTATAAGAACTGTAAGAGCTAATAGCAAGCAAAGGAGGTTTTTCTAGTTATACAGGGTGAGTCAATAGTGTATTCTCCTTCTATTAGCCAAACCGTCAGTAATATAGAAAAAAATCGAATAAAACAGTTATAGGTTTTCTTGGGAACTATCACCTAAAATTATCTTCATTTCTATAGGGTGTTCGAATTCCAAGATATCGGTTGATGATGGGTGTTTTCAAATGAGACACCTTGTATATTATTACATTTTTAAATTCTCTCTTAAGAGCTGATTTCATCATGATTTCATCAATGTATCGCACTTGGGGACTAGCTGAAATGTTTATAGAGATATAGGGTGTTCAAAATCTATATTTTTCAACTTTGTGATATTTTTGTGTTGAAACCATTTATTATTGGTCGAAGCGGCTTACATGTCCCTACCTCAACTTCTGATTCACCATCTACTGACACTTAATTGGAACAAATATAGGGTGGTTCAAAATTCAAGATTTCTGATCACCTTGTATCTATTCCAATTAAATTTCAGTAAATAGTAAATCAAACGTTGAGATAGAAACATGTAAGCCGTTTCGACCAATAATGAATAGTTCTGACCCAAAAAAATCCCAAATTTGAAAATTTTCGATTCTGAACAGCCTATATCTCTGTAATCATTTCCATGTAATGATATACAGGGTCCCATTTAAAAGCATCCATTATCAGCCGATATCTTGGAATTCGAACATCCTATAGATATGAAAATAATTTTAGATGATAGCTCTCATAAAATCCTATAACTGTCGTATTCAAATATTTTTTATATCCTGACGGTTTGGCTAATATCGAAGGAGAACACACTATTGACTCACCCTGTAGAATAGCCTCGAATGTCTAGCTGCTTGTACTCGAATATTTGACTTCTTGAAGGATTACAAGAAAAGGATATTCACCTGTAGTGTGCACTCTGCTGCTTTGTTTTTTGGTGATTCCAAACGAAAAACCGAGTTGTTTGGCTTGAAGTCGATTTCTGGGGTTACTCCTTTCCCGTCTAGTATCAACGATAGTATTGTTCGTCCTGAAGTTATTTCAAAATATTCTTCAACCTATGAATAAATCAAGGATAAGTAAATAGTTATTTATTATTCCAGGGAAAAAAATAGTAGATTTTAGCTCGAGGTTGTGTTGTATTTCGACGCTGAGCACAGGGAGACAAAAAACCGTGAGCTAAAATCTAATATTTTCCCGTGTATTTTTTTATGTGACAGAAAAAAGGACGAATCAATATTGAGAAGGTATAACATTATATTGAAATCAAAAAATTATCTACGTGAAATTTCAAGTTTTCAACAGGAATAATAACACCTGCGTCACAGGCATCTTTATCATCCTTTTGAAGTAATCAAATATCTGTTAGTCTAATTCTGTGATTTGATTTTAAAAAATTGCGAACTCAGTGGATGTTTAGTAATTTACATAACCGCGAAGTGGAATGGAAGATGAAAGGACTTGCAGTTCTTCAGACGGTGTTATTGGCTAATTTTTCGGAACTACCACAACAAAATCCATCAGCAGTGAATATATATATCTGGGAAAAAGCACTCTTTTTTTCGGTGGGAAAATAATTATTTATTATACAAGGGAAAAAAGTAGTAGATTTTAGCTCCAGGTTGTGTTGTCTCCCGACGCGTAGCGGAGGGAGACAACACAACCTAGGCAGAAAAGCACAAGATTTATTGTGGATTTATGCAGCAGTCATGAATCATAAGTCATTAGTCTTAAGTAATAAGTAATAGTCATAAGTCATAAGAAAAATCTATAGCAATTTTTGCAGAAATGTCACATCATAAGAAGAGTCCCGTTCATTGGCCAATTTTGCGCAATCGCACTAATTTAAGGAACAGCTGAGCTTTTGCTGGTTATGTTTTTGTTTTCATGTTTTGAAAATTGAAGTCAAATATTCATGCAGATTGATGGAAGAAGATTTAATTGTAATGTTTATGTTAACTTCAATGACAACAACAACGCTCTATTCAATCAAGTGACCATCATCATTTTTCATTTTGGGAACTTTTTATATTCAAATTTCAAATGAAAAAAGGCCAAAATTGATAAAAGAATAAACACAGTATTACGAAAATAACAATAAGAATACTGAAAGGTTATGAATTTCTTCTTCAGACATGCGCAAAGTGAATTTATCATAAGTTTTAGTCATAAGAGATGAATGTTGGCCAACTTTTCTTATGACTTAAGACTTATGACTAAAACTTATGACTTATGATGAAGTGTATAATCACTGGTATTGAATATCAATGACTGAACTTTCTTATGACTATTATTTATTACTTATGACTTATGACTGCTGCATAAACCCACCATTAATGCAGCGGCTGGTGTTTCATAGAAAAGGCGTTGCCGAGGCTAGAAAACCAGCCAAGGCATTAAATCTGCTTTTCTTCCGTGTGAAACATATAATTTTTTCTCCAAATTTGTCCAATTTCATGCAAACTTCAAATAATCCATCATTTTGTGTTCACCCAACGTCAGTGTCAATTTTGATTACCAATTTGATTCGAATTATTACTTGGAACGTTGCATAGCAACAAACTTTTTCTGCCTAGGCAGTTGAAGTACACCTTTTCTGCCTGTTAAGTGTCATTAAAAAGCCACTTTTAATGTCATTTCGAGAAAAACATATAAACGTGCAGGTGCTGAAAGGCCAGGATTTCTGATATTACACTTTCGTGGCTGGGGGTCATCTGTCATCAACATGTCATGGGATCCATTATGTGATCATTCCATAGGTTCTCCAGTAACACATGGATAACAATTTGAAATTTCAATCTTGTTTATACTCAACCTAAGATATGTGGTGGTTGAAGGTATGGCGAATTCAGAAGTGAATTTACCTATTCAGGCCTTAGAGAAGGGATGATTCGTTCGATACGCAACTCATTGATAATTCTTCAGTTCAACCCCATGGTGATTATAAAAGTGCTAGTTGCTAAGATCCCTGATAGACCTCTAACTAGGTTGTTCAATGCATGTTGAGTATGTGTGAAGGTACCAGGGGGCTAAATACCAGCAGAGGGCTTTCTGCTAAGACCTGGTAAAATAATTTCGATAGGTATGTGTGTAGTTGAAGCAATAATGGAGTTAGTTTCTTTTTGTGACAGGAAAAACAATCCAAAGAAGAAAATACACTTGAGATTAGAATCAGAATATTTGATTTAACAGAAAGATTATTAAAAAAATAGATCGACTCAGTAGGGCTACACCTGCAGATTCTGCGCGGAACGTCCAGAAACACCCCTACCACATCTTGCTGGAGTGTTTTGCTGTACACCACAAGAGATCGAATATACTGGGAGCATACCAGCTAACCGTGAAAGAAATACCACAAACAGATCCCCTCAAAATCCTTAGATTCCTAAACTAGTTGAAGCTTGAGGGGCTGCTATAAACAAGAAAACCTTGAGATAGCAGAAGCAATACCAGTAGGGCTACAACTTATTCGTCGGTTTACTTCAGATTTGTGGTATTCTATCACTATTTGAGTGATTTTCACTTTCCTGTTTGAAGAAATGGAAAATCATGCATGGCTGGTTGAGGTTGTCTGGCGAATCTGGAGGGAAGGAAGTGAAACAAGACTTTCAGGTTCAACAAGATATGTTGAAGGAATGTCAAGATTCAACCCAAGTAGCACACATATATTGGGACAATATCGGTGCAATATTACGAAAATATCGGCAAAATATTGTGAAAGTAATATTGGCGAGAAAAAAAATGTGAACATTCGGCGATATTGGTACAATATCAGTTTCCAAATGTGGGTAGAATATTCTCATATCAATATTGGTTGAATATTCGTAGAGTTATATCGGACACAAAATGTAATATCAACATTGGCGAGAAATCAATGGTGAACATTCGGCAATATTGGTGTAATATATGGAAATATCGGTGAATCATTGGAAATCATCATGAAGGTATGTTGTCTCAGAAATATTGGTAGAATATTCTCATACCAATATTTCTGGTATATTCGTGAAGTTATATTGATCACGAAATGTGATATCAACATACTGGTGCAATATTGGTTGGAAATATTGGTACATTATTGAAAATCATTATGTAGCTATGTTGTCTTCAAAATATTGGTGGAATATTTTCATACCAATATTTGCGAGTTATTCGCATCAGGAATAATCACAAAGGTCAGCCCAGCCGGAGTGCAATGGGAGGGCCTTGCCCTAGGGAAGCCGCCTTGTTGATCACGGTTAACCCCTACTCCAGGTTATAATACTTTACAATCGTCTAGAGCCAATATTTAAATTCTCTCGTCGGATCGGCAATGAGAGTACGTTACCAATCATTTATAGCGCCATCTATCGACATCGGTTTGGGAGTGCGTAATATGGAATAAATATCGAAATTTCGATATCGATATGTATTCTCAAAACAATATGTGAACAATATTGCTTACATGATATAGTGAATCACATATCAGCCAATATAAGATGATATTATTTTCTGAATATGGCTAGAAAACTATTCACCCGATATGCAATTGAACTTGAAAATACAATATTGTTTTTCTCTTCTATGTCCGATATAAGATACATATTGAATTGCCGTTATCGATATTCATATTTGAATCATTGAAAACCCCTTCAGAATCGACATGGGGAGAATGTTCAAATTGCTATATTGTTTATAATTGTTGGAAACAATATGTATACGATATCTTCCACATGATATGGATAGAATGATATTAATCAAGATAGGTGAATATGATATTTCGCATATTGTTGAAACAATATTCAACCAATATGCCGTCGAACTCGAATGTACAATATTGCACAACCGCTTCAGAATCAACATGGGGACAATATTCAAATCGCGATATTGGTTATAAATGTAAGAACCAAATTGTATACGATATCTTCCGCATGATATAGATAAAATGATATCAATCAAGATGGGTGAATAGAATGTTTCAAATATTGTTAAAACAATATCCAACCGATATGCCGTTTAACTTGAATATACAATATTGCATAACCGCTTCAGAATCGACATGGGGAGAATGTTCAAATTGCAATATTGGTTGTGAATGTCGGGAACAATATGTATACGATGTTGTTGTATCGACATTCGTAAAACAATATTATATAACATTCATAGATATGTTTTTCAACACATTGTTAACGAATTTTACAACCAATATTGCTCCAATATTGTAGCTGACAATCCATATTCAGCTCAGGTTGAACCAATATTTCACCAATATTATCATTCCAATATTGTTTGTCCAATATACTCTCATATTGGACCTATATTATTTTTCACATGTACGATATATCTATATCGGCCCAATATGAAATCGGGTTCCAGCCAATATGATGTGCTACCTGGGAATGGTTCATAAAATGAAATTATAGGGAATTTATCAGAATGAATTACTTTGGTACAGTTGCTGAACAGAACACTGATATTGCAAAGTGTATTCTTCAAGGGTGGCACCAAAATATGAAATCTGGTCAATGTTGGAATTTGTCAATAGTCAATTATTGGGAAATAACCAAGGGGCACAAGAAATAAGAGACAAGAATTAACCTCAAAATTCTTCAGACTGAATCATATTTATGTGTTCAATGTAATGTACTTATTTCAAAAGCACCTTGTATATTGAATAGCTTGACATTATTGAAAAAAGACTGACATTTCCATTTTTCTTAAAATTTCCATAAACGAAAATATGCCTGATAGACCTTTTGAAACCGCGGCACCTTTTGGGGTAGCTACAAAACGTTTCATAAAACTTGGGTTCCATCCTGAATTAGATGTATCAGGAGCGATGAAGAAAACAATAACCAAAGTAGGGCCTGGCAGTTACAATCCTAAATATACAACTTGTAAATCAAAAAGAGGAATGAGGTGAGGACTCAAGAATAACAAAGAGGTAACAATAAATAACAGGTAGTTTATTCATATTCCAGTTGGAAGGTAAAAGTGGAAACGGAACTATTCTCGAAATTCTTGAACTATAAGAATGCCACCTTATTGCATGAGCGAGAATTCTACAAATCTTTGCGAGGACCCGGTACTAATGATGTGAACAAAAATCTGTACGAGAAACAGACCTCAGCGGTTCTAGAAAATAAAGGCTTTGGTGCAAACGAACGTTTCAAGCAGCATGATTCTACAAATATACCGCCACCAGGTAATACAAAAACATCACTATCAATGATGATATAGTGTTCTATAATATTTTTGTTTGATTTTAGATACTTATTTTCGAAACTTGGATGATATATCGTCTGTAACGCGTAAGCAGTTTTCCAAAACACCTACATTTGAATGGGATGGATTCACAGATAGATTCAAATCTACTGCACCAAAAAACACGTTGGCAGCAAATAGATACCATGTTCAAGATAACAAAGGTAAGTATTCAAGTATTGTCTAATTTTCACTAGATTAAATTTCATCAATAGTAGCTTATTTATGAACATGGTTGCAAAGCAAAACACAATGAAGCAAGTTAACGTCACCTAACAACATAGTTATAGAAATAACCAAATACAAAAATATACTCAAAATACCACAATAATATTCATAAAAAAACTTGAAAACGTTTTCGGTACTACCAAGTTGCCATTCTCGGTAGAACTTATTTGGATCAAAGATCTATACTCACACTTTTTCCCACCAACCGAGTTGTCTACGGTTCATGAACACTTTGAAGGCTATCCTATATCATTAATACAGCTTTTGCTCTAGCTATTCTGGAGTCAATAAGCTCCAACATTGAAAATGTGTGTTTCAGTGACTATTTCACTCATCACATAATCTGACCAATCACAAGCCAGAGACAACTTGTGTTATCGCGAAAACAGTAGCTGTCTTTCAATGCCGATTGGTCTATCAGAGTTGGAGATTTCAACGATGTAACCATGGATCAAGGATTATAAACTCTAGACATGGATAGCGAAGCAAAGTCTGTCAGTTTGGCATGAAATAATTATAGCTGTAGTTGTCAGAATGAATCTCTCATTTATAACAAATGCTTTTTATGCTTCGTGGACGGGAAGTAGTCTAGCAAACTACCACTCTGTTCTGAAATTCTTCTCTTAATTATGTCTTTCATCGTTAACTCAATTGTGTGGCCGTACAACAATACCACTCGTCCTGAAGGACTCGTGTTACTCGGCAACACACTTTCGTGAACTATGAAACGACAGAATTATCTTGAATATTCAGAACATTACTTATGACTATTTCACTCATCTTGAAATTCTCAGATAATTTGACCGATTACAAGCCAATGACAACTTGTATTATCGCGAAAATACTAGCTGTCCTTTCAATTCTGATTGGTGTATCAGCTTCGGTGTTTTCAACGATGTAACCTTGGATAGCAAAGTAAAGTCTGTCAGTTTGACATAAAAGACATAATTATAGCTGTAGATGTCAGAATGAATCGCTTTGGTTATATGACTTTGGTTATATGACATAATGATATGCTCAAAGGATTTAGTGGATCACTCGAATTTTCGACGTTTTTTAAAATGTGATAAGTTTTTTGCAAATCAACCGATTTTCAATCGGAATGCAGTGTTCAAAAGATGCGTCCTTTCTGTTTAAGATCTGTTGTTCGAAACTTTTTGAAGCTTTCCAGTTATGACATACCAAGTGGTAAAAAAGAGTGTTACATAATCGAAAAAGTTCATGAGCTTCCGTATTCCCCAGGATATTTTGCATCCTTCTGAATATCACCTTTCTTAAAGATTCAAGTCAATATCTAGAATCGGTTTTAGAATTTATGACCTTCCTCATACAGGATGTGACATATCGAAATTTTTCGATATTCTGCGTATTTTTATGCATTTCTGTGGATTCAAAAAAGTTCAGGCGATAATCAAACCGTACTGCACTGTAATACGATCGAATTCATTCCTGGTGAAGTTATCCACCTGGCTCTAAGAGCAGCAGAACTTTCGACAACAACAAAATGCGCGTTTTTCGAATAATATGTGAGATTTTGTGAAATCGTCTACTCATATAGATGCTGTACATATTGATGCTGCTACAATAGTGAGCTTGCGAAATTATGAATTCATTCAGATGGATTGTCCCAGTCAACAACAATTTCGTGATTTTTCTAGATAAGTCGATTCCTGGGGCCGCAAAGAAGCACTTCTGCATTATTCAGTACTTAACATGAAATATTGAAGAAACTTACTGAGTTGGTATGAAATTGAGAATCAATCCTCTATAATGCACGTTTCCTTCATCACTTGGGAATCGGGCAAGTGAAAAGACGATTCTCAGCAAGTGATTATATGTCAATCATTTCAACACTTAATATAACATCCCATTATGAAAGAACTGCCAAGCTGGTGACAACAACTGTCATCATACTACATTAACCAGTATAATCATTAAAGTTACCTTATCACTGTTCAGGTTTATTGAAACTAGCAATGATTAGACTGAATACTGTACGACTGGTAGGTTATCTGTCAATCTAAGAATATTTTTATTTTCTGAGTCAACTGTCACCCATCAGTTGTAGTAGGTGCAATTTGAAATATAACCATATAATCCGATATTACCCCTGCGATTCGATATAGCTCCGGTTGACGGTACTAGACACAGACACTAGAATGGCCAAAAATGGAATAAAAACTTGAGGATCCAAAGTATTCCTTTTATTTTTACACCCCAACACTGAATACTTCATCGTTTAAATACTGTCTGTAGGTTAATCGAGGTGGAGATACATTCATTTTACCTGATTATTTGGGATTTTCTCCTCGTTTCTATAAAATAAAAATATGAGTAATATTTCAATATATGTGTAGTAGGACAAATCAGATGCTTTGCCCCAAAATTTCACTGCGTTTAACAAATTGTTCTATCAGGGAGCCTAGAAGAAAAATCCAATAGCATGTCAGTGACACTTTGTTTGGAAAAATGTTTGGAGAGAAGAAATATAGATATATCAAATTTTTACTTATCTTTGGACGTTTCGTGAACGAATCTGATGAGTGTGATGTTCAGTTTTCAGTAGTAAAAACCATGTTCTATCTATATCAACTGAACAGGAAGCAATGCTATTGTCTCCGTTCAGAAGGATGCAAGCGGATTCCTTGATTTTTCTCTTGAATACTCTATGGATTCTTTAGTCTATAAAAATTTATATTTTTTCCACCACAAACCTGAGTAATCACCATTATTCGAGGATTTCCTCTAATGAGAAGTACCTAACACTTTTTGAACTGATGAATTAATTAAGACATTTTACCTACGTAGATGAAACTGTCAATAGTGTCAATGATATGCAATATACACATAAGATACCGGTGCGAATGCAACCAATGAAAAATGAAACATTCCTAAAACCAAATATAAACTACTCAACACTAATTTCGTCGCACACCAAAATGTCGCCCCTGTTATAATGTGAATAACTTTTTTCAATTTATAATAATTTGAATTTGGTTCACACTGTTCGATAGCCCAGTCCTTCAGCTATAATCTGGTACTTCAATGAAACATAAGGGTATTCACATAAAATCTCTACATGGTGTTTTCCGACACTGTGCAAAATTTCGGAATATTCAAAAGGCTCTCAAATGGTGAAAAAATATGTTTTCTCAACTTCGACAACAGAGGCATGCAGATGATCTCATTACCTCGAGATATTTCGCGAATTAACTTCCTATCTCTCTTATTTACAGAGTGATCTCAAAAAAACAACTTTTTGGTTTTGCAGCCATAACTTTTTTTCACTTCAACCGATTTTGGAAATCTTAGGCTCATTTTGAAGATAAAACTTCAGATGAAGAGATCAGAATATCATAATTGACTCAAGATGGCTATCAAAGATCTAGAGTTTTCTTGAAAGTGACCCAAATCTGGAACGCCGTCTGAATCTCGATTGGGAGGAGAATTGAATGAAAATCAACGTCATCTCGGAAAAACAATTCATTCTGGATGCGTCCATATTTTCCTCGCTCTCAGTAGTCAAGAAGGTGCGTGAGAAAACACAATTGAAACATGTTCTTGCAGAAACATCAGACCATTTCTCCTCTGTAATGCATGGCCCGTAACCAACGTTACAAGAATCACAGTAAGTGACTGACAAGTCAGGTTAGACGTCGTTTTCGAATCATAAACAGATTTCGATAGTTTCGATGCCGCGTCTAACGCAAATGTGGGTGACAACTTTGTTCTCGTTGATGACAATGCGAGACCGCATAGGGTTGTTGGTACACCATTTATGATGAGCCTTAGCTGGTCGGGTTTGTCAGTCCATTGTGATTCTTGTAACGTTGGTTACGGGCCATGCATTACAGAGGAGAAATGGTCTGATGTTTTTGCAAGAACATGTTTCAATTGTGTTTTCCCACGCACAATTCTTGACTACTCAGCAAGGAAAATATGGACGCATCCAGAATGAATTGTTTTTTCAAGAACAAGTTGATTTTCATTCAATTCTCCTCCCAACCGAGATTCGAAGGGCGTTTCAGATTTGGGTCACTTTCAAGAAAACTCTAGATCTTTGACAGCCATCTCGAGTCAATTCTGATATTCAGATCTCTTCATCTGAAGTTTTATCTTCAAAATGAGCCTAAGATTTCTGAAATCGGTTGACGTGGAAAAAAGTTATGGCTCAAAAACCAAAAAGTTGATTTTTTGAGATCACTCTGTAAATAAGAGAGATAGGAAAATGATTCACGAAACATCTCGAGGTAATGAGATTATCTTCATGCCACTGTTGTCGAAGTTGAGAAAAAAATTGTTTTCACCATTTGAGAGCCTTTTGAATATTCCGAAATTTTGCACAGTGTCGGAAAACACCATGTAGAGATTTTATGTGATTACCCTTATGTTTCAATGAAGTACGAGATTATAGCTGAAGGACTGGGCTATCGAACAGTGTGAACCAAATTCAAATTGTTCTAAACTGAAAAAAAATATTCACATTATAACAGGGGCGACATTTTGGTGTGCGACGAAATTAGTGTTGAGTAGTTTAGTTGAAACTACAAATCTCATTACAGCTGAAAGAAATTACAGAAGTATGAGATTTGTTCGGAATAATGTGATTATTATTAATTCTAAAAATGTCAACACAAATCATACGTGATCTGTGATTGTCATGTGAGAATTAATGAATTAGACCAAGAATTCAAACAACCATGACTTCGGTATGGACACATTTTTCAGCTATGCCGGTCGATACGATATGATATGTACCAGTTTAATGATTGTTATTGATCAATGGTATCATGGGCGATATTCATGAGGTTTAAATATTTCAAGACATTTGAATGAATACTTCATCCTCCCTAACTTCATGCGTCATGCTTCCTATCAAAATGAATGTCACTTAAATTCCAATCCGGTTTTGTAGTTACTCACAATTTCTATTCGCGATAGAAAATAACACGTCACCTCATCTGACTGTAACAATTTGAACACTTTGGAGCGGTTTGTTTTGAAGGATTAACGAATAATTACAAACGAAAAACAAATGTGAACCAATGAAAACAAAGTGTGAAGAATTTCACTGGATGAATGATAACACTTTGACACTGTTAATACTTTAATCACGAACGAACCACCACCATATGCTAACAATTAAATATTACAAAATAACTCCTGTCACCGTCGTGATCAGGCAGAGACTGACTAATAATTCCTTTCGCATCATTCTTCCCCACATTTCGGGATGAGTAAGGCGTTATACAACTTCTTGTGTTGAACTATCGTACCATGTATACCGGGCGTCTTTTACAAAAGTAAACAGACCGCACTGACAGCTTTCAAAAACTCCAATAGTTGGCGTACGCATATTTTCTATCGCGAATTAGAATTTATACAGCGTTCATTTTTTGACAGCTAAGTAGAATTTCCTTCTCGTTTTGTTTGACAACTGAACTCATAGGCTTTACTTGATATACATATCAAAATTTTAGTAATATGCTGAATTTACACGGTGAATGGCATTGCTCCTTAGTTAGTGGTGGAAAAAATATTATACATATATACTTACCTCGGGTGAGAATGCTATTATGTAGCTCGCATATTATATCCTTCGACGCTTCGCGCCTTCGGATATAGAAGAGCTTGCTATACCGGGTGACACAGGCTATCGGGCCACCCCTGTAACTTCTGCATTCGTCAACGGATTTTTCTGAAATTCGGTACAGTTATATAAGCAACTATTTCGGATTTGATCACATTACAATCCAATATGGCGGACTTCCGGTTTTTCTGGAAATGCCAGCAATTTTGTTTTTTCAAATGGAACACCCTGTATATTTTTACATATTCAAGTTCAACAGGTCAAAACAAGTGCAATCTTGATGTCAAATGTCAATTTATTCCACAGCCTACCTTGTTGAAAAATTATTCTAACTGCAAGGAAATTCATAAACTAGTTGTTGATTTTTGAATGTATACAATTTGTTACTGAACCAAAAAACAAAAATGATATTTCATTTTGTTCCTTAATGTATGTTCTAGAGAAACGGGTAGGTGGCCCATAAGGGTTCCATTTAAAAAAAAATAATTTTTGATCAAAAAGTGATGTGGCTGAATTGATTCCTGGATAAGTGACACAAAAAACAATTTTTCTGAAAAAATTATGTTCTTCTGTTATGTGTGACTCATTGTGAATAGTCTTGACCACATCTCATTTATCCACGAGGTAAAATGAAAAAACAATTTCAATTTAATTTCTTTCGGAAAAATGACATTTGAAATAAAGATTGCACTTGTTCCGACCTGTTGAACTTGAATATGTAAAAATATACAGGGTGTTTCATTTGAAAAAACAAAGTTGCTGGCATTTCCAGAAATACCGGAAGTCCGCCATATTGGATTGTAATGTGATCAAATCCGAAATAATTGCTTATATAACTGTACCGAATTTTCAGAAAAATCCGATGACGAAAGCAGAAGTTACAGGGGTGGCCCGATACCCTGTGTCACCCGGTATAATAGCTCACTTCTCACCATAGGTGTATAATATACTATTATCTGGTTCGACAGCGAGGTCCTCTCCTCTTGCGAGGCTATATTAAAATAACAATTTTATTTCTTCATAGGTATCGATACAATATTGAAGAAAGTTGTTTCCACTAAAGGTCCATACGAGTTATTCACTGGTCCCAGAGATCAAACCACTATCAAAAACCATTTTGGACCGCCTAGTACGATAGTACCTGAATACTATTATGTGAAACCTAGTGATGCAGATGTTTTATTGAAACATCCTTCAAAAGCCATGTAAGTACCGGAGTTGAATCAACTACAGCTTATTCAGGATTGTTTATTGTTTATTGAGAAACTAGCTTCCAGTCAGAAATAGAATTCTGGTATGAGGAAGTTGATTACATACAATAATAATAAAATAATATAAGGTGACAACAACGACAACAAAAAATGAACAAAAAATCTAAAAATGCTAAATCGATCAAGCCATAAAAAAAGCCACAGGGACTAATCAGTAGATGGCAAATTATCAATTTTATCCATTTCGTAATAAAATCATGTTTTTTCAATTCAATTTTAAATTTTGAAATGTGTCTGCAATTTTTTATATTGTGTGGTAATTTATTGAATTCAGCTAGAGCAGCGTGAGTAATTTTTTTTTTCCAATTATAGAAGTAGTAGAATCAAGATGAAATAAGTCTAATTGTCTCGTGTGATAACCATGAATTTCTGAGTTTCTTATCAAAACAAAATTGGATTTCAGATTATTGTTCATGATATTATATGAAACTTTAAGAGAATCTATTTTATATAATTCATCCAATGAAAATTTGTCTGTTATCGCATACATATCATTTGTTGGGATATCAAATGAGAGACGATACAATATTTTCAGTGCAGATATTATACTGAAATAATTTTTAACAAGATCTCCGAACGTTTATCATATAGGTAATACGACTGAGTATATGAGAATGAAGTACTATGTTTATGACTTTTTTGTAAAGTTTAGGACATCTTCGCAAAGCTCCAATGATTGGAGATATTTTTTGTATCAGAACCGCTATATGCTTGTTCCATTTCAATTTTTCATCAATCCACATACCAAGATATTTTATATGTGTTTCTTTTCAATATTTAATTTTTTATTTAAATATATCTCAAGTGGGATATCACAAGATCTTTTTTCATCCAGTATCACTTCTGTGTTTTCTTTGATCATGTTTATCCGATATGAAACTGCCATTTTGAAGTTCTTGGATATGAAATTGTTAAAATAGAATATATTATTGGATTCCTCTGTCGAAGTATTCAAGCAGATGCTGTTGAAATGAATCGAAACAGCTTTTGTCTAACATGTTCCTCTAATTTTGTACATTTACTTCAAGCATTAACTCACTTTTTTCAGTAGTTTAAATTCTACAGCAATAATAGCACCATACCTTTTATTTATAATCCAGAAAAACCTACTTTCTTCAGATTGTTATTATGTTTCATATTATTTTTAGGGCTGGAAAATTTATGAAAGCGGTGAGATTTACAAAGAAGCCAACAAAAAGACATATGCACAATGATTTGAGTTTATGTTATAGAAATCCAAATGATCCAAGTCCTGCCACCTATAATATTTCTGATAAAATAAGGTAAGTGGTATATTAGGGGTATCGCAGGTCTCCGAATTTCTCATCCTATAATCACGAGAATTAAATATCCTATGAAAATCAACTAATCATTAGTGTAGATTATACAGATTATTTATCGATTCGTTACATATTAAGAAAGACATTTGGCAACATGGTATGGTTATGGAGAGCAACGCTCTCCGTTAGATTTAGAGAATTTCAGTTTTCATTTTGTTTAGATGATATTCCAGCGGAGGTATACGATAGCTGAATCAGTGTCTTGCTATGTTGCCATTCACATGCCCTATGTGTAACGATTGGGCAAACAATGTGTACATAATGATTGGTCAATTTCGTAAGTATTCGAGAAAAATTCGAGGGACCCGGAATACCACTATTGATTGACAGTTCTATAAATAAGTGAACTGATGACAATCGTCTAAAATATCTACAAATATCTTATCTAATTATAAAGTCCTTGTTGAGCGGCATCTAGTATTGAATAAGGATCAATATAATTCTACCTCTCTATATTTCTACGTACTTTTAGGAACAATGACCTCAGCGTATTCCCTGAAAAAAGTTTCTTTCTTGGGGAATTTTTCACATTCTCGTTATATGTGGCTATTATATAATATTCAATCTACATTGTTGCCAATTCGAGTAATTCTTCGAAAGAAAAGTTATAGTGAAAACCCCTCCCAGTAAATTGCTGTGGTTTGAACTAGGTCACTGGATGGGTATTAGTTAGATGGAAGTTCGGACACAGATGAACTTCTGTCCTTTTATATTCTCTATATTACCATGGTTTGAGTGAATAAAAGAATAAGACATATTCTGCTCTTTGCCTTTTCAATTTCCCTAGTAGCGCCTGATTTTTAGATCCAATTTTTGAGGTTAGATTTTGTGTCAAATCAATCATGGCCGTAGATGGGAAATAGAAATAGAATTAGGGTATTATAAACACTCACACCAATTTATAGCGATACATTTTTCGCAGAACAGCATTTTTTAAAATGGAAAGAATGCATGTACCAACATTTTAATATGATAAAAATAGACACTATACGGATATACTTATGTCTAGTTCCTTATTGTATGTATGTACCTCACAAATTTTGCATGGCTTCAAATTCATTTTCCATCCAGGCCGATTTATACATTTACAGCAGGTCATTTTCATGTATGCTTTTTACTCAATAGTTTATGAAATTATATTTCAATTTATTGTCAAAATCAAACAATAAATTGTGAATGAAATAGCGTGGGAAGATTATGGTGCTCTTGTCACAATGCAAGGTATGTAACTTAATAAATCAAAACATTCAAAAACACTAACAGTTGTCATTTCTGTGTCCCAACTCTTATCTAACAATACCATCCAGTCACTCTAGATTGAACTATAGAAATATAATGATCTTTGTCAATTATATTCTACACATTTGACTTTTGCCAAACAAAAATAATTATACACTCCATATAGTCACATTCAAATTCCAGTAATACAGGATTATACAGGGTGTTCCTAAATAGTCTTTACAGAACCTTTGAATCACTAAAATTCAAATTTTGTCGAAACCATGAAAGTAATCGAATTTTATCAAGAATCCATTTTCTTGTAGCAAACAAGTTACGCTATCCACATTTCACATTCAACCCCTATCTTTCCATTGGCGTAGAAGTTATATATGTTTATTTACTGAAAATATCAAGTTCTAAGCCCATGGAATCATATTCGTCATAATCATGTTAAGGATTTTATTGGCAATCTCATGAGCCGTTTCGAAGTTATTAAGCAAAAACGATTCGGAAATTGTAGATTCAGAGCCATCTAGTGCCAAACTAAGCTGAGGTACTGAGGTAAGTGTTCTTGTATCGAATTGTTTTGTTCTGAGGAATGTGGTAAACTATTGTAAAGACCTTTTAGGGATACCCTGTATAATAACTCCAGTCTACATTCACATGTGCCATAATGTGTTGACTCCTTTTCAAATTGTCAATGTCGATATATAAAAAGACATATCTTGTCTTCCAGTGTGTCTGCAAGTAAATCACCATACGCCTTCAATACTTCAAAAGAATTCATCAGGCCCCCACCAAATTGGACTGTATTCCCTGGACCCGGTAGATACTCGCCAAAGGCTCCCAAATGCATGAAACCCAAAAAAGCATCTTGGGTGTTCCTGTCGAAACTAGAGAGAGCATTTTTCATCCCTATTCCCAGTACTTCTTATAATGAATAATCGGCTCAATATCAAAATCTATCATTGATGTATGAAAATGTGAGTAAAACATTTTTTGGATGCCCCCATCTCATTCCATTATACTAATATATTCATCTAGCAATGTTTCTAGTTACCATATAATTATTTTTATATATTCACATACCTAACAAAAATGTAGAAAACTTCATAGTAAGCGCCAAATATTAACCTCAATATTTATTTCTTTACGAACTATATTTGGGAAGATGAAAAGGCAGAAACTTTGTTGTTTTTTACAACCCTCGAGGTATAATCACCAAATTGTTATTTTCGATTTGCTCTCTTCAATTTGTTGAATCAAAAGTGAATCTCCACCTCATTTCAAACAAATTTTATACTTATTATTTCAATCAATTTTTTGCATAAAAAATATGGATTATTTGGAGAGCTTTTTAGAAAGTGTAGCCACCCTTGTCATACCATTCGAAATGTAGTTGAAAAGTCCAAATGCATCTCTTTATAATCTCGTTCCATTTCTCGGATGTCTTCTCATTTTTTGGCAATTCAAATGGGCGGTAACCATTATTATTAGAATTTCTACAATCAGTTACAATTTATTTAGACGTTGTAGATCAACAGATCACAATTCAATATTTTCTCATTCAAGCACCATTTTCACCGGAACGCCTATTTAATATTGTTTTGTTATTCGTGGGTAGAAAGAACGCTTATTCATGACTAACAATTGAGAACCTTCCATTGCATCGTTGTTTTTAGATGTTCAGGAAACCACTAATAAATTCTAGAATACACAAAGAGAGAGAAACTCAAAGTTATTACCACAATAGTTCTTGAAATGAACGAAAATGGTTGGTAACGAGAGAAAAACAACTACTTTCCTGACTATATGCCACAAAGAACATTGAATTACATCCTCTCGATATCTATGCAACGATTCGTAAAGACGAATACGATTGCAAATGTTTCCTTCCTAGATGCTGAATTATGATTAAATTGTTCAAGACCACCTGCAGACCGGTTTCAAGCTCTTGGCTCTCATCAGTACAGGGTTGTCCCAGATAACATTCTTGACCGCTATCTGGTGCGAACCTGACCCAACGTAAACGTATCCCAGCAATTGATACCCCACGAGGCATTCTATTCCTTGCCAGGTGGCGTTCGGCGTTCGCGTTCATTTCGCGGACGTTGAATGCCTCGTGGAGCATTAAATGCTGTGATGCGTTTACGTTGGGACAGGTTCGCACCAGATACCGGTCAAGAATGTTATCTGGAGGACAACCCTGTACTGATGAGAGCCAAAAGCTTGAAACCGATCTGCAGGTGGTCCATGCGTTCCTGAACAATTTAAGCACAATTCAGCATCCAGGAAGGAAACATTTGTAATCCTATTTGTCTTCACGAATCGTTGCATAGATATCGAGAGGATGTAATTCGATGCTCTGCGTGGCATATAGGCAGGAAAGTAGTCGTTTTTCTCTTTTTATGAACAATTGTGGTAATGACTGAGTATCTCTCTCTTTGTGACCATTGCATTCCACTTTGTTTATTTGGCTTTTTCCTGGTTGAATTCTAGATGATTTGAGATTTTCGCGACAATCTGGAACGCGCGATACAGGGGGATCGATATAGTTCCGCCCATTTGCGCCTACCGTCCTTTTAAAAGGATTTCAAAATGAAAACCGTATTTTTCTCATTCAGCTGACGGTTTGAAGATGTGGCCAGTCTGGAATTATATTCAGTTGACTTCTTGAACAAGGTCAATTACGATCAATAGGATTTTTGTTAAGTTTTGGATCGATAGTGACGGTTAAATAACGCTATGTTTCAAGTGATTTTGCAATGAGTGACTCAAGGTAAGACATGTTGAAAATCGTAAATCTTTTCGTTGTTTTGATTATTTTTAACAAATAACAATATACTCACTTTTTTATATTTGTGGTTTCACATTACTCGATCAATCCAGAGACGTTCAATTGAACGAGGACGGTAGGATTATATGCTACTATGCGGTTTTTCTGCAGGTATTGGAAAAAACTACTAACCATGGCATAGCTCTTAGAGGAATTGGAGAATGACTCTACGTCAGATATTCCTACAGGTATTATAATTTTTCAACCGTAAGTACCAACTAAAACAGCGATACCGATGAAGATTCTGGGGCTGAAGACGATGTAATTCCAAATAATTTACATGGAGTACAACTAAGAGCCCCTGCGGAAATTCAATTTGACGTGGAAGGTGATGACGACTGGGACAGTGATGACGATCTACCACTGTCCACTTTTGTTGAAAGGCGACCTAAACCCAAAAATACGTTGGACTATACTCTCAATGAAGATTTTGATTCTACGTTTATACAATGGAAACCAGTTCAAACTGCACAAAGCAATCGTTCCCCTGGAAATATTTTCGGGATATTATTTGATGGAAACTTGGTAGGACAAATTGTCAATTTTAGCAATATTTATGAACAAGCAAAAAAGACAACAACAATTCCGGACAAATATAAACACTTCTAAAGGACCTAACTATTTGCTAAGCATTTTGTAAGATATAATATAAACATATTTTCGAATATTTCTTCTTCTAATAGTAGCCCTTTATTCTACCGTCCTTTCAAAAGAACCGTTTTTTTTTCAAAAACTGGAAATCAAAATTTTTTTCATGATTTTTTCTAGATTTGTTAGACTTTCTATCAATAGTTTTTAAAATTATATATACAAAATTAGAAATAATAGTTTCAGGGCCTAATGGGTTAATGATATACCAGTATACCAGGGCTCTTCTGGAAATGCTCAGACTGTACAAACAGTTACATTCTGCTAGATTCAGCCGGCATTCAAAAAATAGTGGAAACCAAACTGAATGTTGCCCTTGATTCCATGAAGAACGAAGTAAATGCTGCGATAATAAAAATCAATGAAAGTGAAACTTCTAACTGTGTATGAGTATTCAGATGTACTGAAAGACAAATCACAACCAGTTATTTTGATTCATCCCAATAACAGTAATAAGTCTTCTTCTAGTACTAAGGCAGAAATTCTGTGTAATGTTGATCCTGTTCAAGAAAACTTGCAGCTAACGAAAGTCAAACATGTCAAAGATGGTGGGATTCTGATCTCGTGCGGGAGTAGAGCCGATAATGAAAAGTTGAAAGTCATTCTGGAAGAAAAAATGTCAGCAGAATACAAAGTTAAGGAAGTTGGCGGAGTTCTTCAAAAAATTCGATTGGTTGACATGACTCAGAAGTTTTCAGCGGATGATCTTAAAACCTATCTGATTAAATGCCACGAACAAATATATACAAAAACTCTCCTGTACATACTATGTGTAGCAACTATAACCTAATAAGTAACCAGCTTGATATATTTCATTGTAATGTGAGGCAAATCAAAACTATGATATATCAGCGCCGCTCAGGGAAATTATTATTACAATATTGAGAACTGACGTTTTCCATCCAGAAGTGATGACAATTTGAAACTGTCAGTGATGACAAGTGTCCTCACTCTATAAAAATATCCTTGAAGCATTAGCATTGACTACCCCACCGATAAGGATTGCTCGGACGACAATATAGTCTCTCAAATATCTTTGAAATATCCGATATCCACGTTCTGTGGAATCCATAGGTAGTAGTAATATAAACACTTATTATGGTGACACCCGAAACACTACATTGTATGTAGCAAGGTACTGTGTGTGGTACTGTGTATTCACTAATCACCTCAACTTTGTTTAGATGGCGTTTGGTTATATTTTACATGATATTATAATAATAATTACCTGATTGTTTTCAACTGGTTCGAATATCACTGGCAGTTTCAAATAATGTTCTGGGGGAACATTTGTATCTCTCATGTAAGGTATTCGAAAAGGACCAACAGGATTTAAGAGACTCGTTTTTGGTTTGATGGAGTTATCTAAAATATTTTAAATCTAGATATTTGATAATAGATGTCTGAAACAACTCTCACATTGTATATTTTGTAGAATGATATGTTCGGTTTTGCTCATCCCCACTGCTACATTTCCAAAATTTATTCTTTGCGTTTTGAGATTCGTTATGAAATCTGGCCTGACAACTCTGACAGACGCGTCCAAATATATAGTTTCTTGTCTTCGGATCATTGATGTACTGTAATAGTCAATGCTGCATACCATCTTCGACTGTAGCATATAAGGTTCAAGAGTTCTCCAGTAACACATCTCGGCTGGATAGTAATCGAGATAATCCAGAATTATTTCTGATTCTGTTATCTCAATTTTTGGGTGGCTCTCTTCGGTATCTAGTTGTAATAGACATTTTAAAATATAGAATTTGCGTTTTATTCATCCGATTCCGCCACTGGAATCACTTTAATGTCTCGTTTTATTTGCAACTTTTCCGATTCCGGTTGCTACTACAAGGAATGACGTGGAATGACTATTGACAGTTGTCACAAAATTAAATCAGATTGATGAAAAACGAAACTTTTTGAGAGTAAGAGACATTTATAAATCATTTCTATCGTGAGATTCACTATTTGATGATTCATATGTTCATTCCCAGATAAAATTAATTGTCTCGATCTCGAGAGGAGTTTCTCCAATCACCACAATCACTGCTCCAAATATTCGTCGATTCATTTTCTATAGATTCTTAATTCTAGTATTATTGATTTTGAAATCATTTGGATCCCCAATATATAAATATAACATCTTATGTAAATTCTTTCATGCAGGGTCATGAAGTTTCTCGCTTTATTTATTAAACGCCACTCTGTTCCCAGCACCATTCTGGTAACGGTGGTGGGAAAAGAATGACGTTTACAAATAAAACGAGAAACTTCAAGACCTTGATAGATGGCTCCAAATGATTTCAAAATCGTATCATATCATAATAGCACAAGAGAACGAATCAATGCATATTTGGAGCTGTGATTGCGGTGATGTAAGAAAGTTATCTGCGATTCTGCGATCGAGAGAACTCATTTCATTTGGAAATGAAGATATGGAACCTTTCCTACCCGGATAAATAAAACGCAACTATAGTCTCAGCTGATGTGGAAAATAGAGCTTACCTATAGTACTGGTTGATTGATTATATTTTACTGAATAGCTATCTCAAATAATATTGGTTTTACAGAAATGTTTGAATGGGCAAAAGTGAAGTATTTTCTATGGGCATTCAGAATCTCTTACTAGAAAATGCAAAAGAGCAAGAGCAAGATCTTTTTTTAAATGGAACACCCTGTATTTTATTTTTCCAATCGATAGAGCTCTTTCTCCTGATTTCAAATATATCATAGTGGAAAAAGAAGATGGTGTGTCTACGCGCATATTATGTTACGTCATCTGGGGATACCAATGACAGGTGCTAGTCAAAGACAGATACTGTTGCCATAGGCGTGCGCTATGAATTCACTCAAGTTTATTGAAATTTCTCTGAGTTTCTCGATCTGTCTAGAAATAATTCAATTTATATAAATAGGTACCCATTCCTTCGATTTTACTATTCTATTGATTCTGAAATTTGTGATCTTGCGGTAATCGCAATCGCAAAAATATCAAATACGTACGAATTATCATGCATTGCCAATCCCATCGAATGATCCACCACTGTGTCAATTCTGACAGATCAAAAATTCAGCAGTTCATGATGTTGACGTTGCTTCTGCTTTTACATCGACAGCAGTGGTATCGTTTTGCCGTTTTGTCATTCGAATCTTGGTGCAATTTATAATTTATAATTTGTGAGAAATTGAGTGTTATGAATTTATTTCCAATTATTTCTAACTCAATATTCGACGAAAGATTTTCTGTAGAAGTGGCAACTTGTTTCAAATATTTGTGATTTTTTGGAGGTGTGTAATTCAACAACTGTACTTTCAAATTTGTTTGCGAACATTTTGCATGGACATCTCGAATACGTTCTGGAATAGGGATGTGTTGAATATGATGATAGGTGAATACTTTGGAATGAGCATATAAGGTAGATACCCTTATTTGAGTTTATTTTCGGTCGGCAACAAGCTTCCACTCATCGTTTCATTAGGTCTCCATTCTGTGCCTTTTGTATATTAGTTGGAATTTCCATAACCAGATACGAAACAAGTGGGCGTTTTTAAATCATTTCATTCAATTTCAGAACATATAATACCTATCTGAAGTTTGGGACATCGATCTCACTATGAAATATATGTATATACTTCATTGAGATTACCTCTGTCACTTTTCGAAAAAAATATAACAGCTGTAAAACGCCTGCCTTAGGTCTATACCAAAAAAATCTAAATATTTCAAAAACTGACAGAAGATAACTTCAATAAAGTATATTATTTAAAATTTTCAGGTTTACGATGCTTTTTTTGCATTTTCTAGTAATATATCCTGAATGTCCATAGAAAATACTTCACTTTCCCCCATTTGACGTTTCTGTAAGACCAATATTAACTGAGATAACTATTCAGTAAAATATATCCAATCACCCTGTATACTTTCCAATTATGAATAAAACGGATAGTGTTTCACCAGATATTTGTATTCGGCAAGTTTATTAATGTGAAACGGGTTCTGCTATCCATGTTATCTACTTTATTCTTGTTTGGAATCAACTATATATCTTTTTTGAACTGATATTATGTTAATGGTCTGTTCTCTGTAGTTATGAGTAAAAGGATACGCATTAAACAATTTCAACCAAATTAGAAAATGTATACTCACAGTCGGTTTTTGAAATACTCTGACTTTTCATTTTTGTTTTCGATTTACTTTCGGTTTTCTTCTGTTTGGATTTTGTTTCTTTTTTCTCCCGTTTGTTCTCCTTGATATTTTTCTTTTCTTCTTTTAATTTTCCTTTTGATCGAGATTTTAATTTTCTTAGCGCTAAATCTTGTTTTCTTTTCTCATATATTTCAGTGTATTTAATTGACCTAGCTGTATCTTGAATTATACTTTCTGGAATGGAAGGCTTTGCAACCAAAATTAGTTTTCTAGTCTGTAAAAAAATATTACTTAGTGAATTATAGGTTCATTTAACACCATATTTTGTGGATGTGGCTCGCCTTCATTTTTATACTCTCATTGAATTTGAATGACAACAAATTTACTTTCTAATTCAACCAGAATATATATTTATGCCACAGAGGGTGATCAGAATTCTGAATCTTGAACCACCCTGTATTTGCTCCAATCAAATGTCAGTAGATAGTAAACATAGAAACACACTATCACTGCAGAACTTAATAATTAGCAGTATTCCAGAATGTGTCGAGCCAACAACAAAATAAATACGACCCTGTCACGGCTTATACTTTTATGGCTTTATCGCATGTCATTATCCCATCTCAGGTCAGGTTAGTTTCATAGATCTTGAAAATAAGTATGCACTCCAAAAAAGTATTTACAAAAATCCATTTTGCACTGCTTATTAACTTACCAAACTAAATCCACAGAAATAATAGCAAACTTCTTTTTCAAAATAATTTGAATATTCCGGTGCGGCATCGAACACCAAAAACCGAAATATCTCGAAAACGGCTTACTGTAGCGAATTTTTACAACAGTATCTTTTGTGCTCAAAGATGTTAAGAACATTATTTTCTTTACAAAAATAGTGAAAAACTACACTGAGAATAAGATGTGGCCGTTCTAAATTATAGAAAGTGCATCTTGAAGTTTCTAACGGCCACAGTGAAAAGGTGTCCGTATTCGCGTTTCGCATTTCAAAAAACCCCCGGCTATCAATTAACGAAGGAATACTTTACCAGCTTGTATCTCGGAAACGGAACAATTTCGGACTGAGGTAAGTTGCTGTAAATCGGTTTATTTTGACCTCAGCAATATGTGCTGAGATTTTGTACAGACCTTTTAGAAACACCCTGTGTGTGATATAAAATAATCAAATCTGATTCTTGATTGAATATGATTTTTAAGAGATTCGTACACTGATAACCGCTAATTCCCGATAGAAAATAAGCGTACTCCACCTATTGGCGTTTTTGAAAACTGTCGAAGCGGTTTGTTTACTCTGTTTTCATTAGTTCACATTTGTGTTTGTGTTCAAAAGTTGCCGTCAGGTGGGGCGACGTGTTATTTTCTATCGCGAATAACTATTACTTCATTTTTTTTAAACCTCAATATTGTTTTGTAATGACACTTATTACTGTCTGATTATTAGTCTTTTACCATTCAAAATCGTCATTATCTATGAAAACAAGTAGTAATACCTCTCCATTTCTTAGTGTTCCACAAGTCGGCTCGATCCTTAGTTCTTCATTATCACCCGTTATTTTGAACCAAGCTTCATAATTAGGCAAACTTGTTGCTGAACTTTTTTTCAAGAAGTCACATTCCAAAGTAAACTCTGACTTGAGAGCTTTGAGTTCTATTTCCACAAAAGAGTAGGAACCACAAGGAGTATCTGGAAGTTCTAGGTACTGACAAGACAGCTCTAATAGTGGACGAAGAATTTTTGCAGTGATAGATATCGTACTCTTTTCAGCTACTGGTTTCATGTTTGGATATTTCCGAAAAAAGTTTGCCTCACTACATTCATTTGCTGAAAATATCATTAATCATAGTCTGATGTCAGCTATTCTAGGGGGTCGTCTAGAATAATTGTTCACAGAATAATTGTACTGTAGGTTAAATATGCAGGTGGTATATGGTCTTGGCGAGGGTTTTCGTTTTCTCTTGGATGCTGACTCACAAAGTGGATGCAGAACGATAGAAGCAATGAATACCTACCAGTTGGGAAAAAAAGTTTGGGATCTATGTGATGTCAAGGTTCCGGGGTTTTCTGGCCTCAATATACTGGACTATATCGACGATAACGATTTTATCCGGCCAATTTAAAAAATAACAAAATAGGTGGTTTTTTAATGAAAATTCCCGGAAAAAAATCACCAGTCCCAAACAACGTGCAAAAAAATACCTGGTGAGCTCAAAATTATTCGATTGAATTAACTTACCTGCTACACAATTCAAACTTCGAGCTTTGGAACCGCGTTGGCTTACCAGATATCAAACAAAATGTGTTTTGATGCTTCTACAGAAATATGTTGATTATTTTTCTCTCAAAGTTATAGATTTTCTGCAGATTTTCACCACACTGTCTTCACAAATTCTATTACTTTAAGAGTTAAATATTTATAGAGATTTGATTTTGATTGGAAGTTTGCTTCTCATTTTACATTTAGTTGTAAAATAGAGTCGCATTTCACCTATTGAAACAATGCTAAATCATATTATGTACAATGCTAAATTGGTTTTTAGTTCACCGCTGTGGCAGTCACAAATTCCAACAGAGGTCGCACCTCTTGTGATTTTTGTGAATTGTTGAAGGTTATAAGTGAATTGGTCTAGAAGTTCTTACTTAGAAGCAGGAACAACCATTTGGAAATGATTCGAAATATGATTTTGACTTTTTCTGAATATCAAGACAATTTGAACATCGAGACCAAAACTTATACCTCCATCAATTTATATTGGATAATAACCGATTTCCATGTCATATTCATAAAGTCGTTTGTTGAGTTCTTCTGCATATTCATGCGACTCTGGGAAATATTCCAACCGTACTGAGTCTTTCAATTTAATTATATGTTGGTAAAGTTTGTCTTCTTGAGGGGTTCTCAGCTCTTTCAAAATCATATCAATCGACCTCCTCAGTTTCTTAGTACTGAAATCCTGTAACACACAGAGATGAAATAGCACTCAAATGAGTATTGTCTTCGATTAGTCACACCAACAAGATGATCCACCCTCTAGATGGAGGTGGAAATGTTGAAGCCAAGTTTGGTCTTAGTTCTTGGCTGGTTTCTAGGTGGCACTAGGGAAACTCAGCAAAATACGGCTGGTTTGTCTATACCAATGAACTCAATATCAACACCTGGAAGGGATCCTCTGTGAACGATGAGTGAGGCAAAAATATGTTCAGGCAACCCGAAGTGGTTACGGATACCTATCTCCTATCTTATGTTGGCTAATGGAAAGCGCTCGCAACATTTGAAATATTTTCTTGTTTTTTTGCTTTTATTTAACAGTATACGTGAATAATAATAAATATTCATTTAGGAAAAAAGATAATGTCAATTATTATATGAAAATTATTATTGATTTTTTATTGACTCAAAACTGAAATTCCCTTTTTATTCTTACAGGATTAGGGAGGCAAATGAATACAAAATAGAAATTATATATTCCCATTCAAATGTCACAATATATTATACAGGGTGAGCGAAGTAGGCGAAGCTCAATGTTTCAGCACTATCAGAAGAAATAGAAAAACGATCGAAAACATTTTAAAAGAGGCTCTTGAATGGTATCGAGTACCTAAGGTCTATTTTAAGCCTAATTTTCAAAAGTACCCATTTTTCCATAAACATTTCACAATTAGAAGGTGAATGAGAGGTGAATGAAAAGTGAATAAAATTACAATGTTAGAACGAATTTTTTCATTAATGATGAATATCTGCGTCGCCCGTAAACCTTTATTCTTTTCTTTCTGGAGAACGAGAAGCTCCAAAGGCAAATCTGAAAAGACAATATTATGATGTAGCTCTTGAGTTTGAAAATTTGAACTTGTTGTTGACATTGTTTACCTGTAAATGGTGGTGAATCAGCTGTGTTCTGGCAAATAGTATTTCTATAATTACAACAAACTGTGGTGTTCTGTTAGTTTTTAAGGGTTACATTTTTGTTTAGGATAGATCAATTCAGTATGAAATAAAGGAAACCCAAACACGCAAACTTTAGAGTGGTATTATGGACCCTGGATTATATCTTTGATTGATATATTACCCTACTCTGGATTTTACTTACTAGTGTTTTTTTTTGGTAGGGATTTGTAGAAGTTATTCTTTTAACTGGATCAATAAGCGTGAAAATATGAAAAATACCATTTTCGATGCCATTTATGGCTGTAAATAGTGCTGCTGCAACGATAAAGAGGGTTCTATTATTATTTACCACAAGTTTAATGAAAGGCAATGATTTTGTTTTATCATTTGTTTCTTTTGGAAAATTTTCGAACTTAGGGAATTCCTTTCGTGCGCCCCAAGAGATAAAAAAGTGTGGTGAATAATATACCAATAAAAATAGCTGAAAGGAAACATTTCAAAATGAGTTGAGACATGACTTCCATGTGAACTTCAAACTATTATGAGGATGAACTCTATGTGGAAACCTTCGAATGAAAGAGTGGCATTGAAGGCAAAACCAAAAAAGCTCGAGTGATTTAAAATTAATGGCATTTCATTTGCCTTATTATAACCTTCACTTCTATAAAAACATTTGGGTACTCAAAACATCACAAAAATCCTCACAGTAGCTACTTCGATCCCAATAATAATATTTTGAAATTCATATTACAGGCATAAGCAGGGAGTGTGATCAAACGTAATAGTTATACCTAATAACCCTGTCTCCAAATCTTAGTTTGGTCATTAGCCGTTTTACTTAATTCCTTAATATGTTCATTTGAAATATCTGCTAGAAATGAATCAGTAATTCATTCGCCTACACGGCCGTTTACTATATGATTTGCAATTGAAGACCACAGAGGAAAAAGGGGGAATGTCACAACGAGAAAAACGCGATTCAAATGTTAAAACCTCCTTACTTTTTGGAAGTTGAAGGAAACTGAAATGAAACCACCTGGAACGTTACCACCGATACAACAAGGCCAGCAGACTCTGACGTAAACAGCTCGTGACGTCACCAAGAGAGGCCAGTTTTTTATTTTATCGCTTGTCGACTAACGCGTCAGTTCGTGTTAATTCATCGGTGATTCACGTATGTTTTTGAAACGGTCCTGAATTCTTTTGTTGTTTATTCATCAAAATAATTGGCGGAAAAAATTACTGTTCTGTGAAATATTTTGTGTTGTGATCGGCGAAATAACAATGCCTTTCAAGTGTTGTGTTCCCTTTTGTCGGGGGAATTGGTTCAAAAGTTCATGCTTTCAGTTTCCCGTTGGACGAGGAGCTATCGAAAATGTGGGTATATGCAATTCACCACGAGGATTTTACTCCAAGTTCAGTAGTAAACAGAGCTTAATTTATAATGATGAATTAATAATAGAAGACAATTACTCTCTCATAAAAGGTATAAGTAGAGGAAAAACAGAAAAGCTTTGATTGTGCAGTTAGTTTTGTATTCGTATATTATAGTCAACAAAATCATCTCTGAATTCGAGGAAATTTTCTTGAATGTTCATAATAAACGGGCATTTTTAATTCTCATTCTCAAATTTCTTTCTGAAAACGGTCGTTTGCCTCGTGGCAATGAATGCAGAATGCATTCCAATGATCAAATTGCAACTATCATATTAACATGAACTACAAACACTCTACTTAAAAAGGTAAAACTGCATTTATCATGATATTTATCATGAAGATATTTGACAAAAAAGTTCCAAATTTCACCTTCTTTTTCACCTGTCTTCTGGATGGCATTTAGAACAAATTTCCCTTCTTTTTCATCATATTGGACAATTTATATATAATTCTATAAATATGATTTTCTTGAGATTAATCCATATTTAGTGAAAAGAAGGAAGAATATCATTCAAAATAATGGCGTGTGTAATGTCATTCGAAAGCAATCTATTGGCATTTGACAGTTCGTATTTTGATTGACTATTGATTAAATGGTCGTCATCTGGAATGCTTGTTCACTAAATATGAAAAACTCGCCATAAAAATCATATTTCCTGTTGAATTTTCTATATAAAAATGTGCCATCGAAGTACATCATGAGTATATAAAGTGTCCAATGACAAAATGAGAGCAAGTAGCTTCAAATCCCCCAATACAAGGGGAGAAAGAAGGCGAAATTTCGAACTTTTTCTTGAAATATCTCAATAAATAGTGGTTTGTTCACATTTTCATTATAAAATTCGGTTTATCAGACAAAAATACGTGAGTACCGAAAAAAATTCTCCAAAAAAAACCATCGCATGATGAATGCAGTTTTACCCTTAAAAATTACGGTTTCAAGTGTAACGATCCACTTGGGTGAAAAATCCAACAACAGAAAATTGAAAACACTCACTGGTTATTTTTTCAGGTAATAGAAATTCTCCAAGATAAATATAGGTAATTGTAACAAACGGCATGTCAATCAAAATAAAATACATTTTCCACAATTTTCTTTCGATCAATCTCACGATAAGTTTATGTTCTGCGGGCCCTGTATAAGTAGGTGTGAAGTTTACCTTCACCACAATTTTTGCCAATATATTTAATTCGAATGGGCTGCTGTAGGTGTATATTTGTGTTTTATCCTGGTTTTTGCTTTAAAACTTCGTTTTTCCATAATAAAATCGAATGGGGTGCGAAGAAGGGCTCAGTTGACGACTGGCATCCTTTTTTAACTGGAAGCCCTTCAAAAAACAGCAAAATCGGCTCAATGATGATCTAAAACTAAAATCGAAATACGCGCTATAAGCGCTTGTCGTTTCGAGCCGCTGGTTAGGCCTCACTAAGTGACGTCACCCACGGAGCATGCAGGCCTTGTTGTATCGGTGGTAACGATTCAGGTCCGTTGCCTGCGTCTTCGGGGCCACGCCCATCGCCGACAAAACGGCTCGAATGAACTATCCTTCTGTAGTTGTATAATCCTTGACCGCCACCTACTGAATAGGATTTCTGGCTCCATTGCTCTTATAAGGATGGCTCATCTTGTTGATGCAAATAATCAAGAGTAGTGTTAAAAACCGGATGGCTCATCTTGTTGATGCAAATAATCAAGAGTAGTGTTAAAAACCTGTTTGAATTGTCCTAAGTTACTAATGGTATCGAGATTTATGTCGAATTTAACTAGGTAATTGTTGAATTTCTCTTCTCTGAAAAATTTCTTGAGGTCGTTGATATCCGGATGATAGGATAGTTGCAGGATTTTAGTTTCTTCTGGGGCTAGCGTCCCGTATCCCAAATTTGGCGAAAGTGTCACACTCTGGAAAGGACCCCGCACTTTTAGTACGTAAAATGGTTCTCGGTGAAATTTTCTGAATTTTCATTATGTTGTAGAATTCGATGAACTGATTGAACCTGCAGAATCGTAAAGTTCTTTGATGAACAGATTCTGAGATACAGGGCGCTGAAGTTACAAATCGGTATTTTTCATTTAATTATTTTCTCGAAATTCAAAGATGCCAAGTACAATTTTCTTCGCTCATATCATTAACGAACCTCCATATTACTCAACATAATTCAGATGGTTCAGATGATGTAATTGTTCACAGAGTGAAACATATAAACATTTCAGTGATGTCTGAAAATTCGATGTAATAATGAAATATCAAAAAAATAATTTAGACATGCAATATTCTATTCTCATTCTATCATGAATCACAATTCATACATTTCATACAGGGTGACTTGAAAAATTGGTGACATCTAAGACCGCTTTATTCATACACATCCTGTATATTCGAGTGAATTGTTAATCTCCAAAGATAGCTGATATCGTATGAACATAATTTCGTTGAGATATATAGGGTGATCATGAAGATTTTCGATGATGAAAATGACAAAAAATCGTGTTTTTTGAAATCACCCTGTTATTCATGAGTAAATCGGTGAAATTCCCTAATTATTTTTTAATATATTCATCATTCGCTCCTCAACGCTGCCTTGAAAATTCAGTTTCCTATCATAACGGGTGTCATAGTTATTAATTCAGGAACTTACCATCTGCATGAAGGGTTAAAGAGACTTCTTCACTTACATTCGCATAGTGGCCGATATTCTTCACAAACAATGGGACGTGAGAATGTGGAGACGAAAATTAGGTTCAGTATTCATATACAGGGTGGGCCACCAGTAACGCCTCGGTCTCTAGAAGGCTAACCACTTATCTTCTTGGAATTCTTCCTCTCTAGGAAGTTGCATGTCAACATAGGCTACCATTTAAAATTATTTCTAAACATACAGGGTGTCCCCAAAAACCATAAAACACTGAAGTTAAACTTTTTTCTATTGAACACCCTATATATTATTTCATTTTGAGATTCTCCCTGATGAGCTGATTTCAACGACCCATCATACTTGGGGTCTAGCAGTTATAATTACTGAAATATAGGGTGTGAAAAATCGAGATTTTCCAAGTTCAAGAATTTTTTGTGTCGAAACTATTCATAATTGGTCAAAACGGCTCACATGTCCCTATCTCAACTTTTGATTAACTATCTACTGATATTTAATTGGGACATATACCGGGTGATCAAGATTCTGAATTCTGCACCACCCTGTATTTGTTTCAATTAAATGTCAGTAGATAGTTGATCAAAAGTTGAGATAGGGACATGTGAGCCGTTTTGACCAATTTCGAATAGTTTCGACACAAAAAATTCTTGAACTTGGAAAATCTCGATTTCTCACACCCTATATCTCAGTAATTATAACTGCTAGAACCCAAGTATGATGGGTCGTTAAAATCAGCTCATCAGGAAGAATCTCAAAATGAAATAATATATAGGGTGTTCGATTGAAAAAAGATCAACTTCAGTGTTTTGTGATTTTTGGGGACATCCTGTATGTTTCAAAATAATTTCAAATGGTAGCCTATGTTGACATGCAACTTCCTAGAGAGGAAGAATTCCAAGAAGATAAGTGGTTAGCCTTCTAGAGACCAAGGCGTTACTGGTGGCCCACCCTGTACAGGGTGAACATTAGAAATTCAATAACAATAGCAGATATATGAATTTAATAATTAAATTATATTATTACTACCAAATTGTATCATACAAATACTTTATAGTATCATCCTATTTTGTAGTGGTAATATTTGATGAATAGTGACTGGCTCCTATGTCATTATGTCCCATACAACACCTTTTCATATTTATCGCTGCTATTTCGGAAACATCCAGTATAATAGGATTATTTATATTACACCATCATACGTATTGAATTATATCATTGGAATGTGATATGAATATGGATCTAATGATATTATAATAATTACTGATAGCAAGAAATATGAAAATGATGGAATCGCCTGATTCTTAGTGGAAAACAAATGTGAAAAAATCTGTCGATTCCAGGATTCAACTCTCCCTTTTAGAAATGGAAGCGTGAAAGACCGAATCATTCTCCCATCTCCTAGGTATTGTTCGTTTTTCATTTTGGCAGAGCTTGTATACCTAACTATCAGTACATTATATTAATATTATTAAATTCATATATCTGCTATTGTTATTGAATTTCTAATGTTCACCCTCTATATGAATACTAAACTTATTTTCGTCTCCACATTCTCACGTTTCACTATTTGTGAAAAATATCGGCCACTATGCGAATGTAAGTGAACAAGTCTCTTCAACTCTTCCCGTCATGATAGGAAACTGAATTTTCAAGACAGCGTTGAGGAGCGAATGATGAATATATCAAAAAATAATTAGGGAATTTCACCGAGTTAATCATGAATAACAGGGTGATTTCAAAAAACACGATTTTTTGTCATTTTCATCATCGAAAATCTTCATGATCACCCTATATATCTCAACGAAATCATGTTCATACGATATCAGCTATCTTTGGAGATTAACAATTCACTCGAATATACAGGATGTGTATGAATAAATCGGTCTTAGGTGTCACCAATTTTTCAAATCACCCTGTATGAAATGTATGAATTGTGATTCATGATGGAATGGGAATAGTATATTGCATGCCTAAATTATTTTTTTGATATTTCATTATTACATCGAATTTTCAGACATCACTGAAATGTTTATATGTTTCACTCTGTGAACAATTACATCATCTGAACCATCTGAATTATGTTGAGTAATATGGAGGTTCGTTAATGATATGAGCGAAGAAAATTGTACTTGGCATCTTTGAATTTCGAGAAAATAATTAAATGAAAAATACCGATTTGTAACTTCAACGCCCTGTATCTCAGAATCTGTTCATCAAAGAACTTTACGATTCTGCAGGTTCAATCAGTTCATCGAATTCTACAACATACTGAAAATTCAGAAAATTTCACCGAGAACCATTTTACGTACTAAAAGTGCGGGGTCCTTTCAGTATACACATCAATAGACGATAGACAATAGAGATTGAATAAGAAAATCTGAAACAATATACAGGGTGTTTCACAGGTAAAGGGAAATATTTCAATGGTAGATAGGGGTCACAAGGTGGTTCTGAAAATACCATATTTGATAGGTCTTAGAGTTTTCATAACGGAGATACAGGGCGATTTATCGATTTCGAATAATTATTCATTCGTCTATAAGTATTGAACTACCCAGTATATTTTTCTAGAATTTGGTATGGGGCTTAAACTTGGGACGTTGAATACATTCACCTATCGGGCGAAGTGAAAATCCAGGTTCGGCTTCAGGAAAAATTTACGTTTATTCGAAATATTAAAATAACACACTGTATGTAATAATTGACAAAGTTCATCAAAGGAATCGTGAAGAGGAGGAAAAACTGAACTGGATCTGATGCTTTTTGTTTTCCCGCCACCAGTTCTCATCGTAACAATCATAAACAGGAAGCTAAAAGTATGTAAATTTCAAGAGTATTAAAATTATGAAACCACTTTCAATTATGATTATTTGATATATTCTCGTCAAATGATTGTTCGAAAAAACTTACTGTGTCTCAGTCTAAATAACAGAGATACAGGGTGAATTATCACTCGTCCATAAGTATTAAACTATACCCATCGCAGTAATATTTTCTCAAATTTGCTATTGAGCTTACTTGGGACGATGGATTCATTGACCTATCAGGCAGAATGGAAATACAGGTTCAGCTTCAGGAAAAGTCTCATAGTCTTTATAACAGAGATACAGGGTGAATTATCGAATTATAATTCCGCCTGATAGGTTAATGAATCCATCGTCCCAAGTAAGCTACATACCATATTTGAGAAAATGTTACTGGGTAGTTTTATACTTATGGACGAGTGAATAATTATTCAAAACCGATAATTCACCCTGTATCTCCGTTATATAAACTGTGAGATTTAGTAAGTTCTTTCGAGCGATTTTTTGACAAAAATATATCGAATAATCATAATTGACACTGGTTTCATAATTTCAATACTCTTCAAATTGATATACTTTCAGCTTTCTGTTTATGATTGTTACGATGAGAATTGGTGGCGGGAAAACAAGAAGCATCAAATCCAGTTCAGTTTTTCCTCCTCTTTACGATTCCTTTGATGAACTCTGTCAATTATTACATACAGTGTGTTATTTTAATATTTCGAATAAATGTGAATTTTTTCGGATGCCGAACCTGGATTTTCTCTTCGCCCGATAGCTGAATGAATTCAACGTCCCAAGTTTAAGCTCCATACCAAATTTTAGAAAAATATACTGGGTAGTTCAATACTTATAGACGAATGAATAATTATTCGAAATCGATAAATCGCCCTGTATCTCCGTTATGAAAACTCTAAGGCCTATCAAATATGGTATTTTCAGAACCACCTTGGTGACCCCTATCTACCATTGAAATATTTCCCTTTACCTGTGAAACACCCTGTATGGCAACATTTTTATATTTCGTTGATCAGATCATGTTTGTGAATGGCATTATATTCGGAATAAGAATAAACAAGGAATGAAAGTGGATGGTATTTGAGAAAGTTGAGATTTTGGCAATTTTTCATTCCAACATCTGAAAATCGCCCATGCCCATAAAATGGGAAAACCAAAGGGGACATCAAGAGTAAGCCTGGACTGAAAGGTTTGTGACATACACATGTTTTCGTGAAATCGTTATTTCTAGAAAACTGTGACATAAATTAGGTTGTATAAACTGAGAATAAGAAGGCCAATCGTACCCTGTATAAAATGTAGGTTTCTATTCAAAATATAAATTTGGTGCCGACTTTTGGCACATCCTGTAAAAACTTTCGCATTTGAAAAAACGAAGATTGAATGACAAATTGAATATTAGTAGTGATGTGGCTATTTATGATCATGTTATATCTGAACATTCAAAATTTAATGATAATAGATGGCATGCAAAGAGTTAGGAAACAGCGTTGGTGATTCAATTTAAGTGTGGTGCCTCTGGTAATGACACTTCATTGAATAGTCGAATATCAACATTGATTTTTAGTCCAGTATTTTGATTATCTACACATTAAAGTTCAAAATTTAGATCCGTGCGAACAAGACTGAAATGTCTTTATTTGAATTAGGTGATATTTGTTTTCGTAACTATTTTATTCATCGTAGGTAGAGTCCCTTCATGGAAATTGACGTTAAAGTCATCTTAACAGGGTACGGACAGATCATAGCTGCATTCTTTTTTAATGATCTAGAGACTTGAGTTTTGTCTACTGGCATCCCTGACATTGCTACAGAAAATCATTCGAAATTTCAAGAATAGGTATGTACAGGGTATTTACTTGTTGAGGAAGATCATATGGCGAAAGAGTTTTGTGATTATGATCCGATTCTATTCAAAATTGGAAGGTGTCTGGGGGTTTCTGGGGTTGGAGATAATGATTGTTTCTTCAAACTTGGAAAATTCAAGATTAAGGGTCCAATATATAGCGAAAGAAATTTTTAATTATTATCCGATTTCTATTCAAGATTGGTTTCTGAGGGTTTTCCGGGTCGAACTGTATGATTTTTTGTCGAAATTGGGAAATTCAAGATAGTGGATCCAATATGGCGAACGAATTTTGTAATTATGATCCGATTCTATTCAAAAATCAAAATTGGTATCTGGGGATTTCCGTGGTCGGAGATTATAATTATTCCGTCAAAATTGGGATATTCAAGATGGCGGATCCTATATGGTGGACGAGTTATGTAATGAAGATCCGATTCTATTAAAAATTGGTATATCTGGAGGTTTTCGGGGTAGGAGATAATGATAATTTTGAAAATTCAAGATGACGGATACAATATGGCGAAAGACATTAGTTCATATAATTATTACTCTACAACAAATAGAAAATATGTAGAATGCAAGAGTGAAAATAACGTGCCTATAATATAATATAATATAATATAATAAGGGAGACGGAAAAATCATATGTATAACATGAGGGTAAAGTATATTCTATTCTTCATTTTCCTGCACATTTTACGTTTTACTTTTTATCATCCTACTTTTGGTCCCAGACGAAGTTTTATACATAGTGTGATATTAGTCACCCCATAACATGACATGAGTATAGTAGTTCAGATACCCACATCGAGGTTTCCACCATTTCTCAATCATAAGGCTCAGCTCATTCAGCTCATAGATAAACTACTGCTCAACTTGAAATCAGAATTTATTCAGTCAATTCAGTCGACCCTGGTATACAGTTTAAGAACAGTCTCTTTTGGTGAATTATATTAAGCAATTTATGTTCCCAACCTCGCAAAAATAATGCTGGAGTAGTAAACTATAAAACTAGATGATTGTTTATCTATATCTTGGTATAGTTGAATCAGGAATTCCATATGGATATTACGATGATACGCCAGTGACCTCAATATAACCTAAAAAACAACGAATGTCAAAAATCTAGTGTTTACCCCAGAATTGAATAAGGATGGAGTTATATAACTGTTTCACAAACACTTTAGAGTGAGAGGAGACGAGGATCTGTCCGTACCCTGTAAAGATGACTTTAACGTCAATTTCCATCAAGGGACCCTAATCCCCATTTCCACTCGAGGATGCCATATGCACTATCATTCAAAAATGAAATAATACATATTTACTCTTTTCTGAATACGTAGAGCAATGTGGAGGATGGAAGATACGAGAAGCCTTCATATAAGCAGAAAAAATTCCTTGTTTAGCAAAACACATGACCTGTTTCAAAATCATTTCTGGCTATATCTGACTGTCACTGCTTATACATTGAAGATATAGTAATTCATAGAATATTCTTGAAAAGTTGGAACTGTGACTCAGATATCAGAGACCTAAGATCTAATAGTGGTAGTTTATATTTGTATGCCTTCACCTGTGGCAAATCAAGAAATCCATAGATTTGCGGAGACAAAGTTCTATTTTCAATAACGAGATCAGTGACGACCGTTTCATATATGCTGCATTCCCCCAAATCCACAATATCTCCTCTTTGATATTCGGTAGTTTTCGCAGATATTGCGATACCGTTCGCTTCTGTCAACACTGCGAAAATCTTTGCTCTCACTGGTGGAATAAGTGCATAATTCTTACTCATGGTACAAACATGAATAGGAAATTCCAGTATTCCTGTCTGCTTATCGAAGTGTGTCTCTGAATCTGAAAAAAGGGATTTCCTAAACAAAAGTTGAGTATCTGTTGAACTTATACCGAGGTCTACCTAGGGGATAACTTCAACCAAATCTTTCTCGTTGCTCGAGGTGGTACATACAAGTTTGTAACATCTGAGCGGATGTAATCTCCTAATGACGATGGGAACTTGATGGCAATTGCTTGTGTGGTCGAAGAAGTATTATTTATATCGAGTCCTAGTTGATAAATTGAATTCAAAATACAAACACCGAAATCCAAAATGTCAGGTGACACAGTAATGAAATGGTCTGTGACTTCGGCGTATAGCATAATTTCCTAAAAACGATAATGTTCTTCATGCACGACCGGGCGAGAAGTAGCACTTTACAGCCCGGTCTTGCGGGCGTAAAGTGGCACTTTAGTGCCCGCGGACTACATTATCGCCCGGCGTATAGGTAACTCGTAATAAGCATTCTGTATAAATCAGGACATCTATGTTTATATTTTTGAGATGCAAAATGATATAATCGTCTACTACTAGTTGGAAAAATTGACTGAGTTTCCTTTTTTGTTGATTCCATCAAAAGATATTCCTCAATGCAACCATGATGCATTTTTATCGTGCTTGAGAGGTATAGAGTTATTTACAATAAAAAATCAAATATAAAGTTCGTGCACAAAATGTATGTATTTCAGGCATAATTTGTTTTTATGGACCTAGGCTTCTTAAAAGTCCTCGCTGCGGTCCATAAAATCCTATTTGACGCCCTTGAGACATTGATAACTATTATTTCCTCTACAGATTACAGGGTATTACGTTTATTAATGTTTCAAAAATATTCAAGGCATCAAGATCATTGCTTTTGCAATAAATAATGAAAGATACATTTTTTTCCAAAATTCGTAGTTTTCAATGATTGCAGATTGTTGTTTTTGTTTATTCCCCCGGAAATTTTTCATTTTTTTGAAATATAATAATTTAATTTGCCCTATTTGCAATGTCAGGATAGTTCTTCTGATGTAAAGAGATTTTTTAAAATTATATCAGTTGCATCTTAAATGGCAACTAAGCTGATATTAATATGAAGAAAAATATCGAGTAACATAATTATATCTATTTTAGACTGAGCAATTCGAAATTTTTTAAATAAAACACCTTGTAACTCAGACATTAGACACATTTTATCTATGTGATTTGGGTTAAATCTTCGTATTTTTAATTCGGGTTTCAATAGTTGATATATTTCCAGTTAGTAATTCAACAGTATATACTTGAGAATCTTTAGGGGAGCAGGCTAGCTTGAAAGAAATGATCGCAGAAATTACTCACTAAGAAAACACATTCAAAAGTGATAAATATTTTAGGTCTAGTTGATCGTTGAGTAAAGTGCTATAACTTTGCGTTTGCTGATTTTTATTGATTCCAAATAATCAAGTATTATTCCTTTTCAATCTATAAATTATCATCAAAACCATGATTTCCATTCAACATATAGTTAGCATATAATTATTCGATGTTCGTGAATGCTGTGATCAAACGTCCTACCTGTATGACCAATATACAGGATGTATTTTAAGTGATGGCTAAAAATATAGGATATGGTTCCTTGACTCATTTTAAGAAAGTTCATATGAACATATGCCCGAAACCTCTTAACTTTATAGCTATTCCTCTGCAAACATACTATCATGCCATGTACGTCTAAATAAACTGCTCAACACATGAAACGTAAAATTGAATTTTTTCGATCAAATTTGAATCATCATAACTTGAGATTTCCTCAAACGATTTTCAATTATTCTTCAGTTTCTGAAAGCTCGTTGTATTGACTATCGGACCTATGGATTTGACTATTTAATCTTGTCCGGATGAGATTCTACAGGATGATAATAACACCTGTGCATTTTTTCAAAAATTTCAAACGCCTCCCGTTGAAAAGAAAATGTTTTCTATTTCTTTTAGTTGTCGAAAACATATTGCCATATGCTCTCTCAATACTGTGAGAAAATGTTTGGAATTGTCACACGCGTTACTGAATAATGAATGTTTTATTAAGATAATGCATAATTTGATGCTCTAATTTCTATTGGCGTGTTCCTGTCAATCTGGTTCGAACGATGGTCAAAAATCTTGAAATGATGCATGGCCAACATATTCTCATATACAGGGTAGTCCTCAAACAACAATTATGACATCAAGTAATAAAAAAAAATCTTGTGTTGACGAGCAAGAAAATTTCGAAGCAGGAAACCGATTGAGAAGTTTTCTGGCGATCAAAGCGTGTAGGAGATGTTGTCATAACCATGTAAAGTTGCTACAGAATCTATTGCCACAGATCAACTAACTTTCTATTGCAAGATCAAACCACTGGAATTTTTCGAAAAACCAGATTTTCAGAGCGTCGTTCTCACTTTGTGATAGATTTTTAGAAGATAATTTCAGGGCAAAATGAGATAGACTGAAGAAATATACAGGATGTCGTCTAAATAAAAAAGTTGCTGCCGAGACATACCATGCAACTGACAGAATTCATCACAATTGCAGTAGATTTCTTGCATCGAAATTTTCTTGTTTGTCAGAACAAGATTATTTTTTATTCCTTGATGTCATAATTGTTGTTTGAGGACCACCCTGTATATAAGAATAGGTTGATCATGCATCATTTCAAGATTTTTGACCAACGTTCGAACCAAATTGACAGGAACACAAAGCCAATAGAAATTAGAGCATCAAATTATGCATTATCTTAATAAAACATTCAGTAACGCGTGTGACAATTCCAAAAATTTTCTCACAGTATCGAGAAAACATATGAAGCAATATGTTTTTGACCCCGAAAAAAATTGAAAAATTTTTCTTTCCAACGGGAGGCGTTTGAAATTTTTGGAATTCACATCTTTGATTATCATCCTGTAAAATCTCATCTGGAAAAGATGAAATAGTCATATCCATAGGTTTGTAAGTTAATGAAACGAGCTTTCAAAAACTGAAAAATAATTGAAAATCAGTTGAGAAAATCGAAAGTTATGATGATTCCAATTTGATCGAAAAAATGCCATTTTACGTTTCATGTGTTGAGCAGTTCAGTTTCACTATTTCGATGTAGATGACTGTGTTGAAGTAAATTATAATTTCATTGCCAGATTACACCAATACTCAACTCACTAACCTTATTTCCAATGTGTACATTATTTTCATAAACATCAACCAAATACTTCTCTTGATAGTTTCCAATATAATCGACGTTTCTCATTTGCACTTTCAGATTGACATTTTGAGAACTCTCGAGAGCTATAGCAAGATGTTCGAATAAAAAGGTGTTGAATACATTTTCGAAAAGTTCTTCTATAACTTCATTAATGATGTCACGTTCTTCAATGTCATCTATAACTTCGTTACTAATATCATTTTCCTCCATCTTCCGATCATCTTCGCTCGTTTCGGGTAATTGAAGAATATCTTGTATTTTTTTAATCACGACGGTGCATGGTTCTGTTCCTTCATTCGTCAACTAGAATCGAACACCTTCCATAAATAACTACTATATTCCACTTTTGAGAAACCATGGACTTCCACCAAATACCTTTCGTAAATACCTCAGGCTCATTTATTATTCAAATATTTTCAAAAAAACAAGTACCTATTCAAATATTCTCGATTCATTTTAGTATGTACATGATTTTTTGTACCAAAAGTATTGAAATATTCTCGATAGGTAATTAAATAGGTACCTACTGTAAAAGTATTTGAACAGGTATTTCAGAGTTAGTTTAATAGTGCGGAAATATTCAAATACTTCAGATATATTCGAACACTTCAACGGACATATTTTTGAATACCAAGTAATGAATATATTCCAAGTTGTATTTGTAAGTATAAATATCATTTTTTGTTCGCCCAAAGTCATTGTCAATTTTGATTTCCAATTTAATTCAAATTGCTTGGAACGTTGCATAGCAACAAACTTTTTCTGCCTAGCCAGTAAAAGTACACCTATTCTGCCTGTTGAGTGTCATTAAAAATCCAATTTTATTGTCATTTGGAGAAAATACTTATTTTTCTCCAAACGGTATTGAGAGTGGCTTTTTTATGACACTTAACAGGCAGCAAAGTTGTACTTTCTCTGCCTAGACAGATAAAGATTGTTGCTATGCAACGTTCCAAGTAAAAATCCACTTTTAATGTCATCTGGAGAAAAATAACCATTTTCAGAAATAGCTGATTTCTTACCTTTAATACCTTGGGACGAATGCAATATCTTTGCCAAAATGGAATTTTTCCAAAATGGATTTCATCTGAGCTAATTTTCAGGTCTGCATGTGAGGGAATACATTTAACATTCACGTAAAATTTTTCATTTCTCTGAGACTCAATATCGAATGTCCAAAATTCTAGTGCTGCGTCTACTTCACAAGTTTCTTCAATTGGTGTGAAGAAAATCGTCAAATGAACTGAACAACCACTTGCCAGTTTTTGGATGCCCACTAAGGGTTGCGTTCTGAATAGCAGAACACTGTAATCTTGGGTAGAGGAAATCCCTACAAATCTTAATTTTTGAGTTCCTCTGCTTCTATTCTGGATGAGCAAGTTTTTTCTATAATTCTTTCCATTCAGAAAATTCTATAAAAAATAACAGTTCAAAGAATCATTTGAACAAAAAAACATTCTCAATCAGTAGCTGAATAGCACTGAATGACCTATTTCTTTAAGAAGTTCATCGAACTAACTTATGCAGGGTGATAAAATGAGCAGTTGGTTAGCCAATTATATAAAGGGTGTTTCCTAATTACGGTCCGAAACTTCAGGAAGGGATTCGTTAAGTTGTTTAATGACAGGCTGTGAATGAATACTTGCGAAAATATTTATGTTATGATTTTTCGTCATATTCTGGAAAAAAGTTCATATACATATGTCCTAACTTGCTTCTTCCTCAAGATACAGGATGTTGAAGTTGAAAATATAATATCTGATATCAAAATCTGATCTACTGAACAACAAATTACCACAAATGTTGGATTACGTCTCATAAATTCCCATCATGATCAGCCCCACTACACACCAATTCGAACAACCTGTATTACTTGTTTACAAGAAATAATACATCCTTTTCGAATATGTATCTTTTTTTTGCTTTTTGTTTTTTTCTGTTTGTCTTGTTTATCTTTTTGTGTTCTCTTATGTATATTGTCACGAGTAGAACATACGGTATATCAGTAATTTCGAACCATGAGGGTTTTATAAACATAAAGTAAATCAAATCATCCGTTAACATTGAATTATAAAAACTGACCAAGGAACTCTCATAAGAAACGTGCATTTCTAATAAAATGATGTATATAAATATTGGATGTGAGGGTTCCGAAGTTAGTCTGGTCTGGGGCTACTCTTGACTTGACAAGAGCTCGTCGCAATGGTCATTTTAATGTAAGTTGTTATTCAGTCTTTATATTCATTGTTGTTTATTCATATTTATACTCATTTCACCCATAATGTTTCATGCTATTATAAATATTGTTATGTTTGAATGCAGTCTCGTACTTTCAGTTACCCCTAAACTATTAGTGCCTATTTGAATATTACCTCTAGCAAAATATTAAGCCAAGCATTACCCCATATAAATCGATATGATGGACAAACAACCCTATTATATCGTGACATGGTGGAAACAACCCTTTTATCGTGTTTTTTCAATTAGATTATTTTTATTTCATTGAAGTCAAACAAATATTTTAGTAAGACAGTTTTCATTATTTTAAGTAATGAATATAAAGACTGAATAACAACTTACATTAAAATGACCATTTCGACGAGCTCTTGTCAAGTCAAGAGTAGCCCCAGACCAGACTAACATCGGAACCCTCACATCCAATATCATCATCATCATCATCATTTTATTAGAAATGCACGTTTCTCATGAGAGTTCCTTGGTCAGTTTTTATAATTCAATGTCAACGGATGATTTGATTTACTTTATGTTTATAAAACCCTCATGGTTCGAAATTACTGATATACCGTATGTTCTACTCGTGACAATATCATGACTCATTATATTATTTCCAAAACGTTTGAATTCATAATATTACAAAATTCCTGCTGTTAACGATATATATTGTTATTAAAATTATAGTTATTGTACGTAGAGGTTGGATGGAAGAACAAGAAGCGAATTAGATTTTCTCGTTTTCAAGTTCGTCTATTGAATTCTACCTTTTGATTCACATCTACTGATGAAATTCATATTTATTTCGTTTTATTTATACTTAAGTAGTCAAGATCATCTTTTCATATGTCATAATTTTTTTCACAGCACACTTCAAAATCACATGTGGTGTTGAAATATCTTACAAATGGAACACTGACTTTAATTTCAGTGATATTTACTGCCTAATTTAAAAATACATCTGGAAAGATCTTTTTTTTTATTTCAACTAATTTTGTCCGAGTATCAACTTGTCATACATCATTGTATGTATTGGGAAAAAAATTCAATGAAGAAAAAATAAAAAAAAAACTGGTGCCATTTGACAAAAAAAATATATCAGAGCCCACTCATAATATCTGATGGAATCATTTCATTTGCTTTTTTGTTGTTCAAAATTGGATAATTAATAGCAGTTCTATGGCTTGGGGCGTTTTTGTCAGTCAGCCAAAAAAGGTTTGAAAATTGTGACTGCAGAGCTACCTACCATCCAAACTGAGTACTTCAGACTGAAGTTTGCTGAAATCAAATTGATATACACGGTACACGGTAATATTAAAATACTCACCTATCTTCAGGAAAACTTACATTGAATGTAATCATTTGTGGTTTACATAAGAATTTATTATTTGTCGCCATTGTTGATTTTATTGGTGTAATTTGAGCCAGTAAATGTTTATCTTCCATAATATCATCTAGTTTATTGAATGTGTCAATAAGTTGATCTAGTTTTTCAATATCTTCAGTTGTTATTATATTACGTTGATTACAGATGGGGACTATTGGTAAAACTATTTCAGATTCTTCTTTCTACAAAAACGTATTAATAAATTATCTTTGTTGATACGATTTGAAAAAAATTCTGTTTTCACTATTTTTCAAGGAAAATCTTCTGAAGTCTTGGAAATATACCGAGTAAATGTCGTTTCACTTCTTATCCTTGATGAAATGGATGAGGCAGAAAATGGATTAGCAAAATTATGGTTGAAACTTGATTCGTTACTATAATTATCAGACTTGAATTTGAAATATCGAAAGCTTTTCATTTTGCGACTTGGTGTTCTTCCAAAAATTCAATACCCTGTGTTTTATTTACTTTTGATTTTTGGCTCTTTTTACTGCCTTTTGTGATAGTGCTCTTTTTTTCTTTCTTCTTATCGTTCTTTACGTTCTTCACTTTTTCTTTAGTCTGTTTGACTTTTTTATATTTGACTACATCTTCTTTACGTTTTTCAGTTCTGTTTTCAACATTGATTTCCTGATCGGCATTATCTTCTACAGTTTCATATCTAGAGCACTAGAATAATAATATTAGGGAAGTTTTAAATATCACATTTCCATTTGATCGAAAACATACATCCGTTGAGAATAAATATAGCGAAAGTTAGTTTACATACTATACCAGGAATATAACACATTATCAAAAATAAATTGAAGCGATAAAAATATAATTATGATATTATACTATTTACGTTCCTAATTCCTACCTATCATAAAATCAAATTTCGGCAGTCTGAGAGGAAGCCATAGCAAAAAATAAAAATGTCTCAATCTGTTCACCTATATACAGGGTGTCAATTTGAAAACTTCCCACCCTTGAAATTTCCCTCCAAGTCGATAATATTGAAAAATGAAAAGACAGGTCGATTTTATTCTCGAGGGGGACACTTTGAATGAATATTCTTGACCCTTATGGTTCAACCCCTTAGGAGGGGTAGATGTTACCCTCAGAATATGAATAGGGAAGAGGTGTCAAGTGGCACATCATTTTGAAGGTCGTTCAATTCTCTTTCCAACGGTACCTTACTTTACTATTTTTTGGCGAGCAGTTTCTGAAAAATAGCGTTCTAAACCTACAGAAGTGATCTAAACTTGCCTGCACTGAGATGCATGGTCTTCAGGTTAGTATTTGAACAGAGATTATTGTATTGATTCTCCTTATCTCCTTTCAGTAAAACTGGTCAGGAAATTTGGTAACAACTTTCCATCTTTTCAACAGGGGCAACAGTATTAGCCATTAGCCCCAATGAATCAACATCAATAAGTAATCTAATAGTGACATTACGTTTATCATTGGATTTTTAATTCTACAGATTGCCTTCCTTTTTTGCTACTGCTGATTTAAAAAAACTACGTTTCTTTAGCAAAAAATTGTTGAGCAAATTTAAACGATTTGGTAGTATTATTAATTGAGTTTTATTTGTTGAGCTGTTCAGTAATACCTTCATTCAGAGTATAAATTGTGGAAATGGTTTACACTCTCTCAAAAAGAACTGAAATGATTGTGATTTATGCAGAGGCTGGAAAGTTCGCACGAAGGGCGTCATTTCTTTTTAATGAAAGAAATCCAAATTGTAATGTAAGTCACCGGTATGTGTTTGATTTGGTGAAGAAGTTTTACGAAACTGGTTCTGTGAAAAATAAAAAAAGGAATAATCCTAGAGTACTGAATGAGGAAGCTCAAAATGAAGTTTTGGGAACATTTGCTGCAGAACCTACTAGCTCCTTACGATCAGTGGCAGAACAGACGGGAATGTCACACGAAACTGTAAGAAAAGCACTGGAATTACATAAATTTCATCCATATAAGATGCAGACTCTACAAGAGTTCCGTGAGGATGGTTATGATAGAAGAATAGAATTTTGTCACAACGATGTCATATCGAATCTATGCCATCCCTAATCTTTTGCTAAATAATATCTGTTTCAGCGATGAATGCTAATTATTTCTGAATGGAAATGTTAATAGACAAAATTGTCGATATTGGAGTGACGAAAACCCTCACATTTTCCGAGAAGGACATACACAAAAACAACAAAAAATTAATGTTTGGGCTGGTATTCTTGGAAATGCCATTGTTGGTCCTTTATTTATTGAAGAAAACTTGACTGGCAATCTGTACCTAGATATGCTTGAAGATACTATCGATCCCCTTATAACTCAGCGGCTAGAAAATCAAATTGATGCAGACGGTAATTTACTTTTGCAGGAGGATCTGTTACATTTCCAGCAGGACGATGCTCCACCTCATTATTTTCTTCCTGCCCGACAGTGGTTAAATGATGGATTCCCGGATATATGGATTGGCAGAAGGGGAGCAATTGAGTGGCCTCCGAGATCACCGGATTTGACTCCTTTAGATTTTTTCCTTTGGGGACATCTTGAATCCGTTATTTATGAAACACAACCGACGGATATTGATGAACTCAAAGGACGAATTACAGCAGCATGCCGCTCAATTTGTGGTGAAGTTTTCCAAAATGTTAGAGAGGAGTTCGAAAACAGACTTTATTACTGTTTAGAACAAAACGGACAAAATTTCGAACAGGTTATGAAATAGTGTATGAATAGATGTTTGTAATTTCTATCTCGCACTCTGAAAGTTTTTTTTAAAAGTAATATAACCAACAAACAAAAAATCAAACGTGTAGACTAGATTTATTTCTGTTGTAACGATTCCACCTAACCTTCTAACTAATCACTTCTGTGAGTTTAGAACGGTATTTTTCAGAAACTGCTCATCAAGAAATAGTAAAGTAGGGTACCGTTGAAAAGAGAATTGAACGCTCTTCAAAATGATGTTCCACTTGACCCCTCTTCCCTATTCATATTCTAAGGGTAACATCTACCCCTCCTAGGGGGTTGACCCATGAGATTCAAAAATATTCATTCAAAGTGTCCCCCCTGAAAATAAAATTGACCTGCCTTCTCGTTTTTGCATATTATTCACTTGAAGGGAGATATCAAGGGTGGGGTGTTTTCAAATTGACACCCTGTATATTATATTGGTATCTGTATTACTCAAATATATTCGTGTAATTTTGAACTGAAATCGTAGCTAAATTTTATAATATCCACATCAAGTTTTTAACACTCAAATTTACCAATGTAATGTGATGTCCAATGATTTCCATGTCTTTCATAATTTTGTCTCTTCTCTGAATTCTGTGACTGGGAGTTTTGAGTCTATCTTCATCTTTTCTCTTAGATTTGATCTCTCCTACAAGTTTTTTCACAATTGCAGTTATATTTTGATTCCTCTTAATTTTTCGTGTATGTAATATTTTCTGATAGCATAAAATGCGTTGTGTTATTTTATGTTTGTTTCTTTCTTTCCAAATTCGATAATCTATGTTGAATGATTGGCAGATTTTTTCTAAATTTCTTTTATCGCGGGCTTTCTTCGCATCCTCTCTGATTTGCTTTGTACATATGAAAATCTGTCTTAACTCCAAAATTGCGTCCTGAAAATTCCAATCATCATAAACAAAAAATAAATGAAATCTCATGATTATTAATGTACCTACCTTTATTATTTGAATTCCTTTTTCTTGTTTCTGAAGAAATTCTAGATTCTCTTTATTTTTCGTGTATTTCTCGAATTTATGTACGAATGCCATCATATTTCTGGACCTTGTCGTCAATGGATATTTATCTTCTTCCTCCATTTCCTGATATTGCATCAAATCGCTTTCACAATATTGTGCTGCAACATTTTTTTTCATGATATTTCGCTTCATCTCCAGATACTCCTCATATTCTTCCGAATTCACAAATTCATCTATGAATTCGTTCAGGTTCTCATTCCTTCTGTTTAGTTCTTCTAGGAATATTTGTTTTAGCTTTTCTTCTTCACTTTCTTCAGTATTATTCTGTGGAAAGCTTGAATTCATTTTAGAAATGATAATCTGACAGTTGTCTGACAATAATATATCACAAAGGAGTGTATTTTGAATAATGATGTATTGTGTGTTCATGAAAAAACGCATACCGTTAATTAGACGTTTCTGGCAACCAAGCAACAGATGAATCTGAAAATTTGAAGATATTTACACTCGTCTTCAGAAATCATGCTGCACATGGACGGTGTCAGCTCCCTTGATCATTGCTGCAATAAGAGCGCTCATACCGTCCAACCGCGACATGTTCGCTGAACTATTTTAGACAATGCAGTGAATCCGCTTTTGAAAGTAGCAACTTCAATTTTTCAAATAGAACACCCTGTATATAATATAATTATATAATGTCTGATCACATTCCCAATAACTTCATGTACTTTTTTCTACAGTGTGTCCCTTAAGTGCGTAATTCTTCGATATCTCGGAAGCCATAACCTATAGAGAAAAACCTTGAAGGAACAATTTTTTCAGTTACTAAAGTTGCTTATTTCAAAAATATTTTCAACATTACGGGTTGTTTTATAAAAGTGGAACGACTCGAAGATGAGTTTTTTCAAATGGAACACCCAGTATTGTTTATTCGGAATTTATTCCGCCGAGGTTTACCTTCACATCGCTGTAAAAAAAAATGAATCGGTTGCGGCGTTGCCAAGTTATAATTTATAAATCTATTTTTACCACTATTGAAGAGTCATGTTGAAATGGGCATGGTATAATATTCATTTATTCAAATTTTTAAAATATTTTTGGCATACGGTAGTAGCAAGGTCTCACGTATACCAATCCAGTAATTTTGTGACATGTTCTTTAACAGGGTGCTCAATTTTGCATTTAGAATTTTGCAAGATTCAGATGACATTCATTAGTATTTTTCGAATGGAACACCCTGTGTTTTTATTCACGAATTTATTCCGACATCTTTCGCCTTTTTATCGCTGAAAAAAAAATCAAAATTGGTTGCGGAGTTGTCAAGTTATGAATAATTTTCTTATTTTTACTACTATTTCGGGGTAATTTGTACGTCATAGTTCTTTCAATCATTTGTATTATGGAAATATTGCGTTGCTACGGTATAATCATTGGCCATTCATATATTTTTTTACAATAGGAACATTTACAGGCTCTTCAAGTTAAAATTCAAAACAGAGTGGGTTTTGAAAAATTGATCCAAAATGCTACTTCCCCAGATTTTTTGCAGACTATGAATTAATTTTTCGAAATACACTTCCATCATTTGTGTAATGACTTGTCGAACATCGGCACAATCAGATATATCTTGAATTTTTTTTAAATTTTGCTGAATTCCCTCCCGAAACCCGCGTAGTAAAGAGAAATATTGTTTGTATTATTATGTAGAGTTTGAATCCTTCAAGTTAAATAGAGATTTGGATTGTGGGAATAACGTCAATAACAGTGGTCCAAATTTAAAAAATTGTCCTTAGTATCGCAATCCAAATCTCCATTGTTTGTATTCAAATAAAGGAACCATGTCTTATAAGTAGCCCTGAGATAGTGATAAACATAAGGAAAATACTCATAACTTGAAAATGTCGCAACCGATTTTGATTTTTTTTTCAGCGTTGAAAAGGCGATTGATGTCGAAATAAATCTGTGATGAAAAATACAGGGTGTTCCATTTGAAAAATTCTAATGAACGTCGTCTGAATCTTACAATATTCAAAATGTAAATTTTAGCACCCTGTAAAAGATCATCTCGCAAAATTACTGGATTGGTGTACGTGAGACCTTGCTACTACTGTATGCCAAAAATATTTTCAAAATTTTAATAAATGAATATACCATACCCAATTCAATATGACCCTTCAATAGTAGTAAAAATGGGTTTATCAATTATAACTTGGCAACGCCGCAACCAAGCTAAAATACTGGATGTTCTATTTAAAAAAACTCGTCTCCGAGTCGTCCCGCTTTTATAACACACCCAGTATTGTTGAAAATATTTTTGAAATGGGAACCTTTAATAACGGAAGAAATTTGTTTTCAAAAGTTTTTCTCTAGTGATAATGGATTTCGAGATATCGCAGAAAATGGACACACTGTATACCTTTCTGTTAGGTACCGCTTAGGCGATGTAAATCAATTTGGTTTATTTCACATTTTTGAGCTCTACATCCAATTTTAGGTTAATATTGATTAGTTAATTCTCTCTTGATATCGAACCATTTCGAGAATAACTGTTTCAAACAAAAAGTTTCGAGGTTTCCTTGTATTATAAACTCCAAAGGTTCAAAAAAATTTCCAATACCATTATGGGAATCTTCTTTTGTACGCTCCAAGAGATAAAAAACTCGCTTTTACTACTAACATATTGTGAGAATCATTAAATGACAATTTTTTTCTGTGACGGGTAAAAAGTTTGAAATTTCATATCTGTTGACAGGTTATCATAAATTATTTTCTTCCCACGGAACAATAGTAAGTACTTTCATCCCGGATATACAGTGTGTGCGATTTCAACCGGCAACACCCTTTTAATCTGGAATTTGTCGAACGATTTACAGAAACAAAACTACCATTGTTATCTGAAATCCAATGTCTTTATAGTTGAAAATTCAAATAAAACTTGTTTCGATGAGTTGAGTTGAATATGACGTACTATATTTCCACAATTGAAGTTGATTTCAGGAACATTAAAAACATTAATTTGTTTTCAACATCTGATATCACATATCTACATAGTTTGAAATGAAACTGAATGAATTTTGCCAATAGATATAAGGCGCTTATCACTGATTAATTCCATTAAGTTTATACGAACTAACAAAATTATTGCGATAATCTCCCGCATATAAGCTATAATCAACGTAAACAAAAAGGAGCCTTCTAATTGGTTGAAAATGAATTTATGAAATTTCCTTCAGAATTAGTTTCTTTAACCATCGAATATCGATAATTTTCAAATCATAATATTACATCTTTCATATCTAAAACATGTTTATTGGAATTGCTAATTATATTTGCTCGTTTGACAACATCATGAGAATAAAATTAAAATAAATTTGACTAATGAGAGTCAGGTATAAAAACAAATTCTTGCGATGTTTCAGCTTTCAAAACAAATGCATACAGAATTTCATTTAGTCAATCAATTAATGACTCGAAGGAGGGTGTACAGTGCGTGAGCAGGGACCTGAAAGCGATTTTTTCAGAAACTTGTTTAGGCAGTGAATCTACTAAAAGTCCTGACGTCTAGGAGGTGAGTCGGAAGAGGGGGGGGGGGGCAGTAAAAGGGTTGGCTTGTGGCTTATAGGTCAGAAACGGTTCGTCGTTACAACTTTTTTCTATACACTTTTTTCGCATCCCCAACCGGTTTCGAGCTGCACGCTCCAGAAAGTTTAAATTATATTATAATTACCTCACATCAAATGATTGGTTTCAGAAAAAATAACCATTCAAAAAAGTTATAGGGAATCGAATTATCTTCAATGATATAAATTATCCATACTCAAAGTGGTCAATAATATATAGTTGTTCAACTAATCTTACAAATTGGGGCTATTTTCGTCCAACTGGAAATTTGCAAGGGTACAACCAGTTTCTAAAAAAGGCAAAAAGACCCTACCTAGCAACTACAGACCGATCGTACTGCTATCTATTATTTCAAAGATCATGGAGAAAGCTATCAACATCATGAAATACCTGGAACATTCTGGTATTATCAACGATAGGCAATATGGCTTCCGTCATCAGAGATCAACTGGTGACCTGCTCGCTTACGTCTCACATATATGGCAGCAATCTATTGAAAAATATGGTGAAACCTTAGCCGTGGCACTTGATATCTCCAAAGCATTCGATCGAGTCTGGCACCACGGACTCCTCGCCAAGCTTCCATCTTATGGCTTGCCTCCCCAGCTATGTTCTCCGCTATTTAGTTTTCTCTCAAACAGGTCTCTCCATGTAGTGGTCGACGGAGTTTCATCTGACTCCCTTACCATGAATGCTGGTGATCCGCAAGAATCAATTCTAGCACCAACACTATTTCTACTCCATATCAACGATTTGTTGGAAGCAACTTCATGTCCAGAACACAGCTTCGCGGATGATAGTCCCCTCCATACCGCCTTCTCTTCCAGGGCTCCAATACCAGCCAGGCAAATCAGAAACGAACGCGGGAGAAATGTTGACAACATAAATATGGACTTGGCAACAATTCTCGAATGGGGATCCGATAACTTGGTAGATTTCAATGCAAACAAAACACAAGCATGCCTTTTCTCTAGGAAAGCCGATCTCACTCGGCTAACATTTTTTTTATCGCTTGGAGCGCACGAAAGGGAATCCCTATAATGTTCAAAGAAAATCGTGCGTTCCTAGGGAGGAAGGAAGGATAGGGACAGGAGGTAGGTACTGGAATTTGTTTTGAACTTTTGGAGATTATATGTTGTTGGGAATATTTCCACAGGCAATGAATTCCAGAGCCTAGCCGTTCTATGGATGAAGGAGTCTTGATAAAGTGCTGTTCGACATCTTTCGAGGTTGACAACGAAAGGATGTGCTGACTGGGCTTGTCTAGTTCGTTTGATTGGTATTGCTAGTGAAGGGATGATAGCAGAGATTTCCGAAGAACATTTCCCGTGGAAGTATCGATAGAAAAGTGATATGTTTTGGTGCTGAACCCCATATGTGGGAACAGTATTCTAGAACAGGCCGTATCTGCGCTTTGTAGATCATGGGAAGTTGTTGAGGTGTAAAGTAGCTTTTCGCACGGAACAAGAATCCGAGTTTTTGTGAAGCAGCTTTTGCGATGGATCTGACATGATTATCCCATGAAAGAGTGTTGCTGATGGAAATACCGAGCATAGATATGGTGAGCTTGGTGGGGATAATGGAGCCAGACATTACAATATCGGGCATACTGAGTTCCGCCTTTCTAGAGAAAATGCAGGCTTAAGTTTTGGTGGCGTTGAATTCAACTAGGTTGTTGGTTCCCCAGGCTGTGATTTCAGCAAGATCTTCATTGACAGCATTGACATGCCTGCGCCGTGAGTTCTTAGTTTCCTGGGAAGAAATGGGAATTCTGGAAGAGAACGCAGTATGGAGGGTACTATCATCTGCAAAGCTGTGGATGGGGCAAGTTGTTACTCCCAACAGATCATTGATATGAAGCA